CAGCCACAATAGCGCAGATACTCGGGGCTATTACACCAATCAATCTGTGAGTTCACCACGCGTTACCCGATTTCGACAGATCAGTGACAAGAGAGAATACTAATTCTGCCTCACCAGTACTATTCCTCACATGACAGCGATGCTCTGGCATACCACTCTCAAGAAGAGCAAGTTCCTATCGCAGCTACCTCTTCCTATGACGCACAAACCACGAGTCTCCCTTATCACATTCGCAACCAATCTGCCGCTCATGATCAATATGATGGTCCACCGATCATTCCTGCTCGAACAACCTCCCAGCAACAAGGTTCCCCTCATGTTCCAGTAGCCCCATCGACCGCTCCATTGGAAGCTAGAGTGGCGGCGACGCGGCAGGCCAGACAAAATGCGCCAGAATCACAGGCCGGTCGGGTTCAAAATCGCGTCGGAGATTACCATGAAGAAACACGAGACCGGCCGCGGGATGATACAGCTACAGCTGCGGCATCTGCTGCGCGTAGCCGGAGAAAGGGTCCTGCAAGTCCCGAAGGTCCACACCGCGCCGCCAGCACAAGAGAACGAGGTGGACACGCCGCCCCGACTCAGAGCCGATCTGAGGCAACCATGCTGCCCTCCAACACCCCCGGCTCGCTGGTGCGAGAGTACAGCGATGTGATCAACAGAGTTGTCGTATCGGACCCGCAAGAAGATATCGAGAGAGCCCAGGAGAGAATCGCGGAAGCTCAGCCTGCGCCGATAGGCTCGGATCCCCGCAGTGTCCCAGAACTCAGTGATGATCTGCTTCCTCCGCCAGGTCCTGCGCGTCGCCAAGACTACTCCAAGTCGTCCCGAAGAAAGGATGTTCAATTCGGTGATTATGTGCTTGGACAGACCCTCGGTGAAGGTGAATTCGGCAAGGTCAAGCTGGGTTGGAAGAAGGATGGTAGTTCGCAGGTGGCTATCAAGCTCATTAGAAGAGAGACTGTGGCATCGAACCCTACCAGATTGCCCAAAATCTACCGCGAAATCTCCATTCTACGAGACCTAGCGCATCCCAATATTGTCCGACTCCATGAGATGGTCGAGACCGACCGACACATTGGCATCATCCTGGAATATGCTTCTGGTGGAGAACTGTTCGACTACATTCTCAACCACCGCTATCTCAAAGACCCGGCTGCAAGACGATTGTTCGCCCAGCTTGTCTCGGGTGTCGGCTACTTGCACAAGAAAGGCATTGTCCACCGAGATTTGAAACTGGAAAATCTTCTTCTGGATCAGAATCGGAACATCATTATTACTGATTTTGGGTTCGCCAACACCTTCGATCCCAAGGACGAGCTGTCAGACGAGATCGAGTACAACCTGACCAACAAAGAGTTTGTCCGAAAGTTCAAGCTTGATCGACTGGATGCGCGTGGCATGAGAAGAGGAGATTTGATGCAGACCAGCTGCGGTAGCCCATGCTACGCTGCTCCTGAATTGGTAGTTAGTGACTCCCTCTACACGGGCAGAAAGGTCGACGTCTGGAGTTGCGGAGTTATTCTGGTAAGTGGTCCGAACTGCGCAAGTGCCCTGTTTCAATGCTCACAAGTCACAGTACGCCATGTTGGCTGGATACTTGCCTTTCGATGACGATCCTGCAAATCCTGAAGGCGACAACATCAATCTCCTGTACAAGTACATTACCACCACACCCTTGACGTTCCCAGAATATGTCACGCCTCATGCACGAGATCTGCTTCGCCGGATCCTGGTCCCAGATCCACGCAAGCGTGCCGATTTGTTCGAAGTCGCCCGTCACAGCTGGCTCAGCGAATATCACCATGTGGTGTCTCATATTACTAGCAGTACGACGAATGTCGCTGAGATTGCCAACACTACGGTACTAGCAGGTAAGACAGTTTCTGTAAGGAGAGACAGGATATTTTCTGACTGATCATAGATGACGAAGACCGACCGACTGTCAACAGAAGCGCATCGGTTCGCGAAGTACCCACAAAACCCAGCCGCCCGTCTCCGGGTGCTCTTGCACACGCTCCAGAAGGCCTGCACCATGAAGCTGACGAAGACTCCAACGGTTCGCGACGGACCCGTCATACACTTCAGCCTGAATACGTCCCCCCACAGACGCACACAGCTCGTGGACAGACCACAGCCGCATTTGAGCCGACAAGCCGCCGCAGCCAAGAAGCTCCCCAGGTTGTTGCATCTGCACAACCGATTTCATTGTCAAAACCATTACCGCAGGATCCTCCACTCGAAACCCGGGAGCGCGCATCCACGCAGCAGAAGATTCCGCCTCCTGTTCGCCCCGGTCGAGATATCCCTAGATCGGTGTCGGACTCCACCAGCGCATTTGGCCAGGCTCCCATGACGATAAGCCACGGTGGTCAATATGTGACTAGGCCAAGTACTCAGGGCTCGTTGACATCAGCCAGTGGCCCCACCAACACTCGGTCTGATCTTCGTCTCCCTAGTCGGGGTTCGTATGGTCAGCCAGTCGCTCCTACGGTTGCTGCCACCAACGTGCAGGGCCGTGTTACGCAGCCGACCAAGACTTCTCGAGGCTACAACATATCCGGCCCTATTCCACAATCAGGTGCTCAGAACTCGATTGGTCAACCGATGACAACACCCATGCCACCGCCGGCCGAGTCGCAACAACCGCAAAAGCCTGCGCACCATCGACGATCGAGCACGTTGAGCGGTCTCGGAGAGCGCTTGTTTGGTAGATCCAATTCCGTCGTCAAGAAAGACACAGAGCGACAAAAGAATGGACGAAAATATCCACCAACCAGCATGAAAGAGTGGCCTTCGGATGCGCAACCGCGCCTGTCGACGGAGTCCAAGCGATCTTTCTCGTTCGGACTAGGCAGAAAGAAGAGCACGGACATGGAAAACCAGACAGAGAAGCCGGTACGACGATTTTCATTGATTCCTAACTCAATGTCATTCAAGGGTCTCATGGGAGGCGGAAAGGAGGAATACTCCTCCAAGCCAGGAACTCCTCAGGCTGATCAGTTTGCTCAGCAGACCCTGAATCGACCGCCGGTTGGACAAGAACACGTGGACTCGCAAGTTCCCAACACCGACGGTCAGTATGACGGATCGCGGCCCGTGAAATACAACAATTTCTCTCGTCCTCCGCAAGCACAACACTACCAGGCAGCAGAACCTGTTGGGTCTCAAGCGTCGAGTGATGTGTATGGTGGGACCGCGGTGTACAATCCACAAGGGCAGAATGCACACTCGCGTCAACGCAGTGAGCCCATGGCGCAAATGATGGCCTATCCAGACGTCGCCCAACCGGCCGGCAGACCGTCTATGCAACAAGGTCGTCAGGCTCGAGGGGTGCTGGTCAAAAACAACCGCAAGTTCACCGAAGCATATGATCAGGAGCAAGGCCCTACCCATCACAGCGGCAGATCGGGGGCTGTCAAGAAGGTGCAGGATTTCTTCCGACGCCGCCGTGCTCCTACCGATGGCGATTATCGTTGAATGAGGTGGAAAATGTCAGCATCTCTTCAGATCTGGGGAGAAAATCAGTCGGCTGCGGCAGCCATGCTTGGTCAGAGGATGGATATCGATTCTTCTTGTAATGATTAATCGGGGGCGGGAATCGGGTCTCAGCCTGTGCAACCGTGGGACCGCCCTTGTTTAGGCGGGAGCTCTACTTCCAGCGAACCTTGTCCTGTCTTTGGCGAGATTGGGCGGATTCAGCAACGGCCTTGTAATTGGGAGTGGTCTTGGACGTCTCGGAGCAAAGAGAAGAACGGTTCATGTCATCAGCCGGTGGCATTCCTTGTACGCTGGACAGTCTTGCACGCGCGGGAGGTCGGGTACGGTTGAGTGCGGTGTGCTGCTCGAGCCTGAGAGCTCGCAGCCTGCATTGATCTTGCTTGTGTTTTGCTGGGGATTGACTGCTTGTAAATCAAGCGTGGGATGGGCAGTCGGAAGATGGATACCCCCTACATAGCGTTGTATGAAGTTTGTCGAGCAAGGATTGAAAATACGAAGCAGCATTCCAGCGCAGGCTGTAAGGAGAATCAATCGCACTATCTCTCGGCGAATTTCCATGATGCTGATCAAGCCTCAAGCCAGTGACCAGCTCTCATCGCCCCACGTCGCAAGCCACGTCATCTCGCGTTGCCGGCAACAAGCTTGGTGTACGGAGTAAGCACCTACTGAACAACAACAGGCTAAGCTTTGTGGAGGCCGTTCTGCACAAGGTTGTGTCGACGCCTCAACACCCGCCAGTTCGTGAATCCCAATCCTGTCGCCTTTGACGGTGTGAAAAAGAGCCCAATGTCGCACGGACTACTGAACAGTCGCCAGTAGCGGGACCGACCTGCTTGTCATGCTTTCAGACCTTCAAGGGTTGTTCCTCACTTCCACCTCAGTCCTTGGTCACTCTCCGCCAGGACGGGTGTGAACCTTCCCCGCAATATGCATGCGACTGCAACTGTTGCCACAGCGTCATCCGACGAAAGGAAAGCCACTACCCAAGTGCAGACAACCTGTCCACACACGCTGCAGCAAGCTCTTGAAGCTGCCCGAACCGGCTTTGATCAGCTCGACGGCATCCTCCGCAGCTTGATCCCCTCTCGCTAGTCCTTCTCGAAGGTTGCAGTCGATGCCATGGAAGAACCTCTGATGAGAACCTCCCCGGCCCCCTCGCTTCGGAGACACATGACGAGGTGGATCTACATGGCGGTTTTCATATCCATGGCATGGACTTTGTGCAGGAATACATCCGGTCTCTCACGGTAAGTGTCCCCAATGTGATCATCGCTCTTTGCTGAATCCATCCACGCTACTGTACTTCATGCCTCTGTGGCGCCCATATCCTCAGCAGCCACGAAAGCGACAAGCTGCCGTACTGATTGACCGCCCACCGCTCGCTGCCACCGCATATAACTTCCGCATGCCTCAACCCTCACACTTCGTGTCCTAGGCTCGAACCGCTCCTTCAACCGTCGTCTCTCGTGGAGAGATACTGCTCATCCTTCTCGGACAATATGAGGTCGTCTCTTCTTTCCAGTTTGCTCCTTGCTCCTTGTCTTGCCGTAGCCCAGTCATCAACAACAGCATCTCGGGCATCAAGCTCGACCACAGCTGCGGCACAGTTCACAGTTCCCTCAGAAGCGGACACTGGGGTCACGCTCCTCCCAAATATTGAAGATCCATCGGCGCCGAATGCCCAACTGGAATGCCCCGGGTATACCGCCACAGGCGTGAGGACTTCTTCAACCGGCCTAACAGCTCAATTGACCTTGAATGGGACTGCGTGCAACGTCTACGGCACCGATGTCCGCGACCTGGACTTGACAGTAGAGTATCAAACCTCTTCCCGACTTCACGTCAACATTCGACCTTCCCACATCACGTCCCAAAACCAGAGCTGGTACCTGCTATCGACAGACTACGTCCCAGCGGCGACTCAAGGCAGAGGTTCCATGACCACAAGCGACCTGACATTCTCTTGGACGAATTCGCCCAGAACTGGATTCGGGTTCAACGTGACTCGCAACAGCACCGGTGATGTGCTTTTCTCGACTACAGGCACGAAACTGGTCTTTGAGAACCAGTTCATCGAGCTGGTGACGCATCTAGACGAGGGCTACAATCTGTACGGCCTTGGGGAAGTCATTCACGGCTTGAGACTCGGCGATAACTTCACTAGGACGATCTACGCTGCCGATGTCGGGGACCCGATCGATAGGAATCTTTATGGTAGCCACCCATTTTATTTACAGACCAAGTATTTCGAAGTGGGAGATGACAATAGCACAACATTGGTGACGGAGCAGGTCAACACAACTGATACTGGCAAATATACCTCGTCCACTCACGGCGTGTATTTCCGGAACGCCCATGGCATGGAGGTCGTCCTGCACCCGACGAATGTCACATGGAGGACCTTGGGAGGCAGCATTGACCTGTACTTCTTTTCCGGGCCGACACAACCAGAAGTGACACAGCAGTACCAAAGTGTCATCGGCCTCCCAGCGTTGCAGAGCTACTGGGCTTTCGGTTTCCACCAATGTAGATGGGGCTATGAGAACTGGACCGTCACAGAAGATGTCGTCAACAACTACGAGCGGTTCGGCATTCCTCTTGAGACCATCTGGAACGACATCGACTACATGTTCCAGTATCGGGATTTCGACAACGACCCTGTTCGCTTCAATTATTCCGACGGAACCACATTCTTGCAACGCCTACACGATAGGGGCCAGCATTATGTGCCAATCATTGACGCCGCAATCTATGTCCCAGACCCGACGAATGCAAGTGACGCATACGCACCCTTCAATGATGGAAACGATACGAACTCGTTCCTTCGGAATCCGGACGGATCGCTTTACATTGGAGCGGTCTGGCCAGGTTACACCGTCTTTCCTGACTGGCTGCAGCCATCTGCCCACGCATGGTGGAAGAACCAACTTGTCACATATCATCAGAAGCTCCCCATTGACGGTGCGTGGATTGATATGAACGAGGTCTCTTCATTCTGCGTTGGAAGCTGTGGGACAGGGAACCTCACCCTGAACCCCGTTCATCCACCGTTCAAACTCCCCGGCGAGCCTGGAAACGTCGTCTACGACTACCCAGAAGGCTTCAACCTCACCAATGCAACTGCAGCCGCTTCTGCTTCCTCGGCATCTCAGGCTCAAGCGACACCCACAACTACCCCCACGGGCACCGCTACGGCTGCAACCTCATCATCCTCGTCATCTTCGACAAGCTACCTCCGATCCACGCCAACCCCAGGTCTGAGCAACCGCAACATCAATTATCCCCCATACGTGATCAATCACGTTCAAGGAAACCATGACTTGGCAGTCCACGCCGTCTCGCCGAATGCCACCCACCACAATGGCGTCGTCGAGTACGACGTGCACAACCTCTACGGCCACCAAATCCTGCAAGCGACCTATGCCGGCTTGCTGGCCGCCATTCCTGACAAGAGACCATTTATCATCGGACGTTCTACGTTCCCCGGCAGTGGGACCGTGGCTGGACATTGGGGTGGCGACAACAACTCCAAGTTTCTGTACATGTATTTTTCAATTCCCCAGGCCCTGTCGTTTTCCCTCTTTGGCATCCCTATGTTCGGTGTTGGTGAGTTTCCCTTCGAAATTGGATCATCCGTTCAACAGTTCAACAGTACAAATCGATGCTAACGATGCTGCCAGACACGTGCGGCTTTAACGGCAACTCGGACGAAGAACTCTGCAACAGATGGATGCAATTGTCAGCCTTCTTCCCATTCTATCGGAATCACAACGTCCTAAGTGCGAATCCTCAAGAGGCATACGTCTGGGCAAGTGTCATTGATGCGACCAAAACGGCCATGAACGTTCGTTTCCAGCTCTTGCCCTATCTCTATACACTGTTCTATTACGCGCACACTCGTGGAGACACCGTCATGAGGGCTCTCGCTTGGGAATTCCCCAACGACCCATCCCTCGCGAATGCGGATCGACAATTCTTCCTCGGGCCGTCCATCCTGGTGACCCCCGTACTCACCCAAGGAGCCACATCGGTCAACGGCGTCTTCCCAGGCCTCGTCGAAGGCACCGACACATACTACGACTGGTACAACAAATCACCCATTGCTGTTCCGAACACCAAGAACACCACGATTGCCGCACCATTGGGACATATCCCGGTCTTCATCCGAGGCGGGACTATCCTTGCGACGCAGCAGATGGCCATGACAACTCGGGACGCAAGAAACACATCCTGGTCGATCATCGTGGCGCCAGGTATTGACGGCTCCGCCACTGGCTCATTGTACCTCGACGACGGAGAATCTCTTGCACCCAACGCCACTAAGCTGGTCAGTCTGACAAGCTCATCCGCCAGCAACGGAACACTGAGCATCAAGGTCGCCGTGTCTGGGAACTTCACAGGCCTAGATCTGCCCTTGGCGAATGTCACGTTCCTGGGCGTCCAGAGTGCTCCCTCGGGCAATGGTGTTTCCATCAACGGCCAGAACGTGGGCAATGGTACGTACGATGCGGCGGCCAAGACGTTCAGTATTGCGAATCTTGCAAACGCACTTGGTGGGACGGCATGGGGTGGGAACTGGACCTTGTCCGTGTGAGGAAATGAGTTTCTTCCTACATAGGCTCGATAGTACCTAATTCCATGGCTCGCTACGCTCTGCAAGAGTTCAGTAATTATACAGTTCCTGAACGAATCATGAAATCCCGCCAGAGAGGACAGAATGGGCGAACTCGCTCGGCACAGATTGCATGAGTTTTCATACTGCACTGCCCTGTACTGTGATCTGTAGTCTGGAGTTAGCATCGTCGCAGTGTATCTAGCTCCATCATTCCCTCCCTCCCTCTCTCTCTCTACTTAGCTGTCTACCGAACTTTATCAGCCAGCACACAACCCCCCAGGTCCCCTACCGCAATTTAGGAGGCAATGCAGTACTGTAGATGACAATTCCCTCGTCCTTGTCGATGCTAGACTTCCTCCCTCCCTGCCTCCCTTTCTTCCTTGCCCTTCCCCCGCGGAGAAAAGAACACTGTGGCAGCTGACGAGGACGGACGCCTGTTTGCGCGTGCGCGGCATATGTGGCATATGTGGCATTTTTGTATTATCATCATCCATCAGTGGTCGATCTAGCCACATTCCGATTTCCACCGTCCTCGAGAGAGCTCTATTCGATCCACATTGCGTTCAGACTATTGTAGATCCTACGGACGGGGTTTACGGCGGTGGGTGGCGGCCAATGTTTGAATCAAGCCAAGCCCGAGTGGCCGACACGGCACGCCTTGGTCCGGAGCCTAGAGTAAGAAGAGGATTGCCGTGAGATACTGTAGCATGTCACGGGCAGACTTCCAAGCGAATGCACGAATGCAACGAGGTCGGGGAGGATATAAGTAAGTGAGCGACCGGCAGTTGACATGGAAAAAGACTCTGGGATCGCAGTCTGCTTGGCATAGTCATGAAAACAGTACGAGAGCAGCCTCGTCAAGACGGAAAATGGGCGGGTGTCCTCGTATTTTGTACTCTCGAAGCTGCGTGTCTTGACTGCCAGAGGAACATGTCCGTGGCAGAGTCCCTTATTGTTCTCGACTAGATGCCAACGGACGGCTGCGGCGTTGCTCAAAGAGTTCTTGTTGAGGCCGTGAGCATTCAACTTCAGCTCGACACTGGACCATGCCAGACCTTTCTAACTCATGAATGTCTTGACTTGAGCAGCCAACCGTACCAGTACATCTCGTGCCTGGTATCAAGACCCGGAGTTGTTGTACGCCATGTGCTTTTTTTTGTCGGGTTTAAGGCGCGAATCCGATCTTCGATCCTTTGCATATGTTGACTTCCTCTAGGAGGGTTGCTTTTTCAGCCACACTCTCGAAACGTTGGGCCCAGAGCTCCTCACCCACACATCTTAGGGTGTCAATCATGCATCCATTCACTGGGTTGAGCAGTGCCCCAGGGTGTTTGGTGCTTTTGTAGCACCTCCCCGGCCGGCGAATCGCTTGGGCATTTCGATAACCTCGACATCTAGATCATCGCTGCTGTCGTCTGAACCAGCCGAAGAAGTGTCGTTGAAGGCTTCTGCTTCTGTCCCCATGGGTTTGGTGGTGGCTGCGATCGCAGGCGCAGGAGCCAGCACTGTGGCATTCTTTCGTCCCTCCAACTCGTCCAATCTCGCCCGCTGAGCTCTGACAATGTTCAACATCTCTTTTTCCACGACGTTCGACATCTGCTCCATCTGAAGGAGTTGCGCCCTAGCCAAATCGATGATAGTTTCCCTCGCAGCGGTGAGCAGCACAGCCATTTCCGTCGGCTGACTACCTTCATCCCGTTCCAAGGCGTTGATGACACGTTCCAGGCGGAAAACCGGAAGAGATTCTCGCAGTCTCTTGACAGCATTGGCTTCGACTTCAACGCGGCGTTTGAAGGCTTCTGCCCCGTCCTCATCGCGTTTCCGCTTTCGAGATCTGTCGGCGGCGGCTAGAACAATCAAATTAGCTGAGTGACCTTGGTATTGACTAAGATCGAGATGTCCATTCACCAGCTTGCATTCCCTCGATGGCTCGTGCTGTCTGCTGTTCCATCTCCTTCTTGACCTTCTTCTTCTTCTCCTTGCGCATGTCTTCTTCCACTTGCATATGGGTCTTTCTTGTCACTCTTGTCTTGGCGACATCCTCTTGATTCTCCTTGTCCTTGTGCTTCGACCTTTTCTTCTTCTTGTCCCTCCCCTCTTTCTGGCCTGGGGTGGGGGTCTCGTCGCGAATAGTGTCGTCACTCTTCCCGGTAGCCTCCTCCTCCTCCTCATCGAGCATTACAGTACTGAAAGATGAGGGATGACGTTGGGCATTGTTTTTAAAGGCAGCCACCCGCTGGTATACAAGGCGGGGGTCGATGTTAGGGTCGTGAGGAACGCCGATGACGGTACCAGAACGTGGCGTCGACTTGTTTCCCGTGGTCTTTTCTCCGGAGAACGCAGGTGACAATAGGGTGGGTTTTGAGATGGATGCAGGTCCAACCGACTGGGCTCGTTTGGCTAGTCTTGCTTGATGAGCCCATGGGTCGGTTTTCGTGAGATCAACGTAGTCCGTCCGAGAGTCGACCTTCTGTGGAGTGACGCTCGAAGCTCGTGGACGATGCTTGCGGTTCTTGTCTCTGCCCATTTCGTTGCAAGGAGAGCGACACCGTGGCACCTGTGAGATATCCAAGTCAAGAAAAGGTTGGATGTTAGACGATTGATTTGTGATCGGTTTAGTCAAGTAGGGAAGTAGAGAGAAGAATCGAAGAAGAGGTTGAAGTCACTGGTGAATTTTGCTTCACTCTCGCCCAACCCGCTTTGTGGCTGGCGAGGAAAGAGCACACCGCGGAGCTCACTGATGGGTCAAGATGCAATGAGGTGAAGGTGAAAGCCAGGCAGGAGAGGACGCCAGTACACGATCATTGGCCGTGACTTCATTGAAGCCTCTGCCGGATCGTCTAGAAAGTCTCTCTTCCTGTCTGAAGAAACAATGTAGGGAAACCATGGTTTGGTAACAGCATCACTGCAAACCTTGAATTGCCCACGTGTCTTCCATGGGTGCTCATTTGTGGTCATTAGCACTGTCTATACATACCCGCAACCAGATGGGTAGATGGAAGCTTTCATCTGCCTTGAAATGCCAGGCATTGTTTCCCGGCCAGCTGAGCAATCTTCTCGTCAAACAGCTAGCATTTCCCTTACAACCCCCTTTGTGTCATTCTGTCCGGCCTTCGCGTTCTCGACTTTCCCCCAATTCGCCCAGATCTCAGCCTTCATCTCCTTCAGTCGGTGGTGCATTCTTAACAGATCATTCATGTCCTTATCGTCACGATCTTTCTCGTCTATTTGGCCCAGTCTAATGTGCAACTCCTTGTAGCGTTTGTAATATTTTTGGAATCGCCTGGCCTCTTCAATAATGGCATCGCGGTTCACATTTTGTTTCTCGGGGCTGGAGGAGCGTTCAGAGTCACTGCGTACTGGGCCGGCGGGGCGCTGAAGAGCAGGATGTTCGCCGTTAGTCAGAGGCTTCAGGTGAGCGGATCGAGGGAGAGGAAGAGGGTCTTGTTGTTGTTGTTGCTGCTGCTGCTGCTGCTGCGGTTGCTGCTGCTGGCGTTTCGCAGGGCGTTCATCTTCAGCCGAGCCCGTCTTGCGCTTGGCCGCACTTGGACCTGGACTTCTGCCGCGAGATACGTTGCGACTCTTGTCAGAGATCACTGGAGAGTACTTGTTACCTGCTCTTGTTTGAGGCATGTCTGAACCGGACGGTGGGGAGGAAGGCGCTGATGACTGGTTGGATGCTTTGCTGGAGCTGGAATTGTCAACATCAGTCGACGTTGTGGGAGGAGATGATCCAAGAGGAGACGGTTTTTGCGGCGAGCTGTCGTGCCGTGGCCGTGGTGAGATGCGGGAGCCCGAACTCTCCGTTCTGTGATGCTGGGATTGAGGTTTCAGCGACGTTGACGAGTTAGTGACGCCGGACTGATGTTGATCGTTCCCGCTGTTATTGCTGCTGGATGATGACACACTCGAAAGCGAAGGCTTATGTACAGGTTTCTTCGCAGAGGCAGTTAGCACTGGCGACCTGTTCGATTTCAGCTGGTCGTGCTCTGATTTCCGCTTCACAGTCAAGCTGGTCTTTGGGATAGCAGCGGCGTCTTGCTTCTTTGGCTTGGCCAGGACAGTATCCGCCGCTTCAGCTTCCTCATCGGAATCCACGATGCGCTCCGAAGACTTGAATTTGGTGTCTTGTCTCGCAAGTTTTGAGCCTTTATCTTTGGCCTTCGAATTCACTCCCGCCTCACTCTTTCCAAGAGGCTTTGAGACGGCCACTTTGTCTTTGCGAACTTTTTCTACGACCGCCGCTTCTTTGCTCTTCTTTGATCGGATGTTGGTACGTTCTCGATCAGAATCATTCTTGTTCTCGTTGGCGTCTTCACCTGGCTTTGGAGTGGCATGACTGGGGACTGGTCTGTCGAAATTGAGCTTTGACAGGATCTTGCCCTTTCCTCGCTCTTCTGGAGGAAGCAACAGCTGCCAAAGGGGGTCTCTCTTCTCCACCCGGGTCCTGTCGTACGCTTGGATGGCATGGTCTATGGCGGCCTGTCTGTCTTCTTTTGACCTGTAGGGAAATTCCCAAACATCAAGTTCCCGGTAAATCTTCTCTTTCAGCTCTCTCCTGCCATCTTCTACTTTTGATTCCCACGACACCTTGTCGATCAATTTGTCAATGTCATCTTGGGTGGCGTGGAGCTGGTCACGGAGAGCTTTCGATGTCATAGGTCGGACAGCGAGGAGATGCACCAAGGGGATCCGAACAGCGTCCAGTCTTATCCGGTCTTTTGGGGACAACCCCCCTCCAAGAGGAGCAGAAGTCGGCCCCAGTCTAGGAGAATACGAGGTGCTTAGGAAAGGGCTGCTCGGGGAGGACCTGTTCAAGCTGCCCAGGAAGTGTTCCTTTCTCAAAGCCGTGCCTTGTGCCAGTAGAGGTGATGGCTTGATGGCTTTTTTGGCTCCATGCCCCGTGCCCTCTTTCAAGCTAGTCTCATTCGACGCTCGCTCTTCTTGAATCGATTTGAGTGTGCTTTCCAGTGTTGCTAGTGCCCCGTCGGCTCTTGCAGTATCTTCCTCGGCCTTCCGCACCTCCAGCCTATGGCTCGCCTTCCCGGTAAAGTAGAGGGGGCTGGTGTTCCCGGTGGACTTTGTGAAGATCTCGGAGGGGAAGGAGTCAACGCTGCTTTCTAGGGATATGGTCTTCTTTCCGAACCGAACCACTGGCTTCTTGCCGCATTGGAGTCGGACTTGCTCGTTATTCGTGAGAGCTCGGAGGATATCTTTGGTCACAGACTCGACCAAGTCCAGGCGAATCACTGGTGTCGAGTGTTTACTGTTTGGGTCATGTTGGGATTCGTGTCGGACAACAACCCCTTCCGGGGATATATTGAACGGGGCCATAATGTACGAAAGGAAGGATGGGTTTCGCTAACGTAGGGATATCAGGTGTTGGTGTAGGCGGACCATTCCTCGTATTGGAGAATTCACAGGACGGAGTCAAGGCAAGATGGACGTCAATGAGCGTCGGCTCGCTGCTGCACAGTCGTGACAGCCACTGGCAGGCGCCTTCATGACACTAGAATAGCACGGGACAAGGGAAGTGAATGCCAGTGAAGTCGGACAAAAGGTGACTGTGGTGAAGGAACAAAGCACCCGTTCGGCAGAAACAAGGTCGAGGTCGAGGGTCGAAGGCGAGGACAAAGGCAGGACAAAGGCATGCTGACGGTTATTGGAGGGCTAAGCTGTGGAGAGGGGGAAGTGGAAGCGATCTTGGAAGCACGCGGTTCGGACTGTGGAACCGCCCACTGCGATTTGCTTGTGCGGGCAAGAAAGTCCGCACGGGAAACGGTGCACTGCTATCAAGCCTCGACTTGGCTGGGCCGCCTGAGAAACAGCGAGGTCCTAGGGAAGCCAACAACACCCTAGGCCCGTCCCAAGGCAGTTGACGAACCGGGGTACGAAGCCATTAAGCCCATCTTCGGCAATTCTGGGGCCGCTGAATGGCTGCCCACTTGTAGGCGCGAGCCACATTCTTCGGGTCTACTCCCGCAGTAGCTAGACTGCCGCCTTTCCGGGGCTCTTCTGGTTGTCATTTGGCGCTGTGTCAGCACGGGAACAGCGAGTGAAGAGGTTCATTCATCACGCGCAGGCATCAGCTCTGCGTGAGCCAGCCATTTGGGAGAGTCGGCCTAGTTCCGGCACTGCAACCCCGTCCTTGGCTCGATAGCGAGAAGAGCTCGAAAATAGATCAGAAGTGCCTGCACTTGGAAGAAGCATGGAGGGTGTTTCAGGACCATGGCAGCGGCTGGGCTCAGCTTGTAGAGTTTTGGAATCCCGAGCCCGACCGAGCAAAGGGGTTTGAAACAGCGAAACCCAGAGATTTGAGTGGATGGAGGGATCCGGCGGGCATGAATCGGCAACGGTTCGCCACTGACGACTTTCGCCTGTGTACCAAAGCTGAAAGAGTCTTGAATCCGCTGGAGGTACAGCCAGACGTCAACGTTTCACGGGCAACGTGTCAGGACCTGAGTGTACATGTCGACAGTGCATATAATCTAATGCTGCATTCGATGTCATACCAGTCGATCAAACGAAGTAGACGCCGGTACGGAGTACCAGACTTGATACTCAAAAGGTGCGCCGTGCTCTGAAACGTACGGGCTGCAAATATGAGCAACCCCGTCGTCCTGATCAAGAGAGGCTACTTCCTCTTGTGTCGGGTTCCGGTCTACGGCGAGGACGGATAGAACCGCAGGATGCACCGCCGGGCCCACGCCCACCACCCAGAGTGACCAAACACAAAGACATTTTGTAAGATCTTACTATGGACACGCTGACGGGCTGTATCCTGCGTTCATGCACGTAACCCCTTGCCTACCTTGAATCGATAGTGCAGACACCAGAGGATCAGGAACATCTGATGTTGTTCAAGAGTCTCATGGAGATTCGTGGGATCCCGGACATTTCTGACGCACTGTATTCGGTACCTGAAATGTCAGGTTGAACTACAGGACAAACAGACATGGGACCCCTTGGTTGCGCCCGGAAGGCAAATCTTCCTGCACGAAACTCTGGCGGCTCTCTCCAATTTCCGTCCTGGAGTACTCGTATTACGGCGTGGCTCGATGCTCGAAATTCAGCAGCAGATGGTGATATCATTGGAGAAGTTACGACGACGAATGCTCCTGCGTCGAATGGATGCTGATGGGGTGCTTACCGGGGAGCAGACACAACGAGGCGTTATTAATAACGCTGTTGCATTTCCTCCGTCACCCTGCAGCAGCATGCGCACGAGCAAGGCAGACCTTCTCCAGAGAACATAGCACACTAGCTCATTATTTCCGGCGCCAAGCCCGGAATATCTCAAGTTCCGTGATCCGGGATGATGCGGGGCCGTGACTCTGCCACATAGTCAGGCGCTTAGGCTGCGTGGCTGCGCCAAATTTCTCATCTCGGGTTTGCGCGCCTCATTTAGCCCAGACTCTGGAGAAAGCCTGTCGCATGCAGCCTCGTCGACGAGCATGCTCTAAGAGCAGACACCGCAGCAGGATTCCGACATCAATGAAAAGGCAGTGTGCCTTCCGCGGTCAAAATGTCTCTTGGTAAGCCCGTCATTGTGTATTCGACATCAGTTGAAGCTCAGATCATTGAGAATACTAACTCGGCATCTTCCATTAGACGAGCGGGTTCTCGAGCAAGTGGCCAGCAATGGCGAGATGGACTAGTATGCCCGTTCCTCCTCTCCTGACGTGACACGGCAACTAAGATTGCCACAGTGAGAAGTGGCCGTCCATCATCGAACCGCTCCTCCAGCGATTGAACCAGGTTGTATATACCGAATTCCCCATGCCACGACCATATCCCGTTGTCAATCGACCTGCGCCGTCTTCACCGACCCAAACACAGCCTCCAACTCTGCGAGACTCTAATCCAGTATCTCAAACGCCATCGACTCCTGCTCGCAACCTCCCGCCTGTGCCACCATTCCCAAACTCATCCGCTACCACGACCAGCCATGTTCCCGACTCTCTGCCCCCCTCACAAGATCCACCAATTGACATCGTCAACGAGCTTCCAGCCCTATTGCTCCAGATTCTCAACAGCGTGACGTATAACCTCCGCTCCTCTTTCTCCAAAAGACCGCCTCACACGATCCAGCGCCTCGCCGAACTCATATTATACCCTACGACGCACTACAAAACACTTCCTGCGTGGTTGCGCGCGATAGATAGAGTCGTCAGCGTCAGCAGCCCTGCGGACATCTTTCCCCTCTCTGAGACCCCGGCCCTCGTGAACGGAGTAAATGGCGACGGTGGAGGAGGAATCCTTTGGAGCAATAGCGATATAAGAAACGGCTACGATAGTGCCTCTCTAGGCAGCGACGAGAGTCTCGGCGGAGCACTCCTCACACCTATACCATGGTTACGGAACGGGGGCCCCGGCAGCGAAGACTCCAGTGAAGATTCCGGACTTCTGGACTCAAATGCTAGTGCGAGCACCGATGGCTTGGAAGACCCATTGGCAATGCCAGTCACACGAATGAATGGAGATACCCTCGTTCCTGAACGGCCGGACGGAGCTGTGACGCAAGGGGAGCTGATTCGGCTAGAGCAAGAGGCGGGCGTCGTGCCTGTGACGCGGAATCCTCCCGATACCCACGTGAGCGGCACGTCGGAGGAGAATTCGCTGCCCGAAGACGCAGACATGGTGCCCCATGCGCGCGGACCTGATCTGGTGGGCTCAGTCGACATGGGTCGTGTCGACGGTCAAGATGTCGAACTTCGCATTGGCAGTCCGCCGGGCGAGGATGGCAAGCGGGAGACTGATGCAAATGATGCACAGACTGTCCTACCTGGAAATGTCCCAACTATTGGACCAGCTGGAGACTCGAAGACATCCTCCAGCGGAGCAGCATCCACGGCCGATACGGAGGACTTTGAAATCGTGCTCAAAGACGCAGTTGGAGATGGTGACTCGGAAGCAATGCAATTAGACGACACGGATACGAAAGCGCAAGACATTCAACGTCAACAGCCATCAGATGATCAGGATGTGGATATAGTCCTCGTTGACGCAGACGGGAAGACCGAAGACGAGAACTCAGGGGAGAACAAAGGCCCCTGATGCTGCCGGAGTGGGTGCCGTAGACCAAGGCATGACATCCGCGAAGCCTGGCACAGGATCTAACATCAAAGCAAGCTCCGAAATGGTCTATTGTTGCTACCCAAGCCGAAGCCGAAGACTCAGTGTTTCATCCCTTTCGTACAACAAAAGCATGCTCAATGCTCCTCCTCACCCATCGTCCCAAGCCGGACATACGAGCCTCGCACAGCACGCTATGGCCTCTATCACCTCGCAACTGTCATCTTTGTCGAGTATACTACGCATTCCCTCCAAGATCATGGCACAACCTTGCACGGTCGAGGACTTCCGTTCCACGAGGTCGTGCCGACGTGTTACTTATGCTGTGATGGCCAGGAACACGGATTAGCGAGATGGAGTTGATGAGGCAGAAGATCCCTTTCTGTCCTGAACTGTGCCGAACAGCAAGTTGGTCATTGGCATCCCGGTGGTAAATTCTAGCAAGTCTAGGCTTCCGCGCTCCCGGGAGAAATGAGGTCTTGGTGCGTACCACGGATCGCTCTGGTTGAGCACAGCATGTCTTCCGACTGTGAACTTTGCCTCGGTGTCGCGTATGCAATGATGGCGATGATGACATGGTTGCTCGCAGGAAAGATCATTTGATTAGCTGAACGGTAGATGGCGGATCCGCCGATCCTCGGAGATCTCCCAGGTTCAGTTGGCAAGTATGAAGGTCTGACCACATGCCAAGGTCTGGAGATTTGGTAGGAAGATCCTTAGAAGTCGGATCCTTGAATGTCGGCAAGGCAGTCGTCGAAGGAGCAGGATAGTGAAGTAATCCGCAGCTTTCAACCACGATGCGGCGGGGCTCGAGAAGCGAGCCGGATTCCACGAGAATTGCATTGTGCAGTTCCGATACCAAGATGTATGCTGGGACCACGATGTGAAATCGAGATCGGAAGCAATAGAATGATGATAGGGGAAGTCGAGCCACACCTGCAACGACCAAGGTTGATGTCATCGGGTCCAGGAAGCCGACTTCTTGGGTGTGACGGGAGGCCAGGGATCAGCTCGAAGGAGGCTTGGAAACCACCTTCGGGTGGCCCAGTCGGGGTACTTTTAACTGATACCTTATCTCATGTCGAGCCCGCCGAGCTAGACTGTTTAATGGTCGGACGCCCATGAGGATTAGGACTCGAAGCCTTGACTGTTGTTTCCTCTGCAGTCTCGTTTGCTGCTGCAGTGGCCTCTGCGCCGTTGTCGTCTGCACCATCCACAGCTGCCAGACTGTTCCTCTTCTTCTTCTCCCTCTTGGCCCAGCGGAGTCCACATGCATTGCACAAAGTCTTTGGCCCATTAGGCCCTTTCCGCCACTCGGGACTATCGAGCGTACCGCAATCGGTGCAGACATATTCGTCCGCGGATTTGACTTTTTTGTGCTTTTTGTCCATGTAAGAATACCGCGAGTCGGCTTTGTCGATAGGAATGTGGATTCCCGCGTCCCCGCGGATGAGAGCCGGTGACGTGCCGCCGGTCGAGATGCCGTGTGAACGTTCGCCTTCACGGTAACGCAGACCTGTCAGCATCTCGATAGAGTCAACGTGCGAGGAGCCTTCGTAGCGGGCCATTTTGTCGCGGATGCTATCTGGACGCGCAGAGGCGTTGGCTTCATCCAGAGCTTCCCGAGTTAAGGCGATGTTGGAGACGGTCGGTTTGGCGGGCGGTGGCATGCTTCCATACTCCGGGTAAGCGGGTGTAGAGTTCAGCGACGGTGAACGCGGCGGTAGGTCCGCTGAATTTGAGGATGTACGGGACTGAACACCAGATGCTTGTTTGTGGTAGTGTTCATGCAACCCGTCCGCATCTTCGGCTTCCTCGCGCTTCAGCGCGGCAATCCTGGCTTGTAGTCGGACATTCTCGATCTTGTGCTCCAAAAAGGAATCGAGCAATTCTGAGTTTCGTGTCGGATAAGGCCTTGCCATCATAAAGAAGCCCCGACAGTAGCCTGCGCGTCCGACTGGGGGCCCGCTCTGCTCAAGCAGTGTAGCCTCATTGGTGAGATGTGGATGGCCATGGCATTCAAAGATGCAGTACTTGTCTTCAGCGGTGCGGAAGCGATGAAAGAAACGCAGAGCGTTCCCAGTGGCGATGCTCTCGTTGAACTCTCGAATGTACAAAGAAGAGTCGTCTGGGTGGACAAATTCAGACACTGATTTTCCTATCAGGTCTTGTGGGTTGTACCCTGTGAGCTGTCTGGCCGAGGGCGACACGTAGAGGATCCGACCGTCGGGAGTCAAAATGTACATCAAGTCTTTGAGCTCTTCGACCACACGCTGGGACCAGTTTCGTCTCTTGGTGAATTCGGTCAGCGTACTCGTGCTAGTCGGATAGTGTGTGTTCTGAAGGGCAAAGTCAGTTGGTAAGGGGCCAGCACCGACGCCATTTGCGGGCGTGTTACTTTCAGGGGTTTCAGATTTGCTCGGAGGATCAGGCATCAAGCTTGGCTGAGCGGACTCCATCTGATCGAAACCTGGAGGCGGCATCGAGGTCAGATCGAGAGACATCGCAGGATCGTAGACGGCCATGTCGGGATTCGTGACGAGCGACGCATCCAACAGGCCTGGTTGGAGGCTGAATGTGGGATCCAACATGGGACTGGGGTCGGTCTGGAACGTGCCCATTATGCAAGGTCAAGCCGAATGGCTGTGGGTCCCAGGATCGTATTGTCGGCTGTGTGCAGCCTTTTCGTGACCTGCCAATTCGATAACCAACAGTTCGTCGGTGTCTGCGCCAAGGGGACCTTGCTGGAGGCAGACACCGTGCTTGAACCAACGAAAGAGCCGAGCAGGCTTGGTTGAAAGCGAAACTGGCAATAGAGGGCCGAAAACGCACGGCGTACACGTACAAGCGTAGCACAACGGAAAACTCAGCCGGAGGACCGTGCGAGCGAATAATCGGATACGACGGCGATGACTCGATCGAAAGTCTGATAGTTGCGTGGACGACGGGATCAAGATCTGGCGATGACAACTGATCTCTCGATTGCCACGTGACCGTACGGTGAGGTGGTTGCGCAGAGCAGCAGAATACGGTGGGACAGTCGCTTTCGAGCAGCAGAACGCGCCGACGCGCTAAATTCAAATGACGCAGGCAGCCACGCCTCACCTGCCGAGTTTGCTCCACGCATTCCTCCATCTTGATATGAGGCGACGATCAAGCCGCGGACGGTCACAGTGCATTATCTGCTTTATAGTCCGTACTTGGCTTGGAACGAGAAGTCGACCTCCGGATTGACATGCGCCAACACTCCACTCCCTTGTCTTTGATCATCTCATCCGCGTCTCCTTGAGCCCCCGTCGCCCCTTTCCGATGACCGCTTCTGGCGTGTCCATCGATGCCTGAGCAGCTGCTCTCCTTTTCTCTCTTCGGCCAAGATGTCACGACTCCATCAATTGAAGGTACAAGGTATCCGCTCCTTTGACAACAGAGGCACCGGGCAGTACATCAGATTTGAGACGCCATTGACTCTCATCGTCGGCCAGAATGGCTCTGGCAAGACTACCATCATCGAATGCCTCAAATATGCCTTTACTGGAATGCAGCCTCCGAATACCAAAGGCGGCGCCTTTGTGCATGACCCCAAGCTGAACAGCGAAACTCAGGTCAAGGCCCTGGTTGCAGCCTCCTTCAGGTCGGCCGACGGCTCAGTTATTACTGTCACTCGACGCCTGGAGCTGAAAGTGGGAAGATCCAGGCGTGAGTTTCAAACCTTGGAAGCGTCGCTCTCTGTGAGTAGGCGGGGTGAGAAAACTTCCCTATCGTCCCGGGTGGCCAACTTGGACGTCATCCTTCCGCAGTATCTTGGCGTGTCCACGGCGGTTATTGACAATGTCATCTTCTGCCATCAAGACGAAAGCTTTTGGCCCCTCAGTGAGCCAGGCACTCTGAAGAAGAAATTCGACGAGATCTTCGAGGCACAAAAATACACAAAGGCGATTGCCAATATAAAAGACATCCAGAAGAAGCAGAAGATAGAACTCGACAAGTACAAGATCCTGGAGGACCAAGCCAAGGTCGACAAAGACAGAGCAATCAAAACTCAAAAAAGAAAAGACAAGCTCGCGGAAGACGTTGATGGACTGCGGAAAAAGAGTGAGGATTTGGAGAGACGAATTTCGCATGCTCGAAAGATGGCAGATGAGACATGGAGGAAAGCAGAGGAATATGCCAAGATTCTCGGAACGCTTGAGGGAAAACGCATCGAGGCCCAAGGCAAACAGTCTACCATTGACGACCTTGAGAGGCATCTCGAAGAAGTCAATGAGACTGATGAGTGGCTACAAACCACTCTAGAGCAATTTGATGCTCGACAGGAAGAATTGCAGGACGAGGTGCGCAAGAAGAAGGGAGATTACCTCGAGCAAGAAGATCAGATGAAAGCGCTCAGCAAACAGCGGGAGGGGAAAGTGAGACTAAAGGGCAAATATGAAGAAGAACAGGACGCACATGAGAGACAACTCGCGCGACGAAAGGAAATGGTCAGGGAAGTCGCCGCTAAACATCACATCCGTGAGTACGAGTATCTTGACGACGAGAGTCAAGTGGGCGATTTCTTGCTCAAGATCAGAAAAATCTCGAAGCAGAAAAAGGACACCCTCGATCGAGAGAAACATGAACATACCGCACAGCGACGAGACGCTCAATCATATGTGAATAAATTGACTGAGCGGAAATCCGCACTCCGGGACCAGAGAGCGAGCGCAAGAAAGCAGATGGACTCGAACGACCGAGAAGCTGGAGAGTTCCAGCGGAAAGTCGATCAGATTGCATTCGACGAGGGGAACAAAGCTGTGGCCGAGTCAAGGTTTGAGACCCTCGCCAAAGAGCTCGAGAGGGCTCGTGAGGCTGCAGAAGCGGCTGCTTGGGACGACAAGCTTCAGAACGCAAACGCAGAGCTCCGACAACATGAGGAAGTCAGTTCCAAGTTACGCGCCGAGTTGGTCCAGTCGACAAAGAAGGCTGCGGAATTGGCAAGATTGTCCCATCTCAAGCAAGAGTTGAAGGAGCGACAGAAGCGCCTGGAGACTCTGATGGCTGCTCACCGGGATAACATTTCCACTCTTCTCGGTAGTGATCAGCAATGGGCTGCTCATAGTGTCGAAGAGGTCCATCGGGAGGTCCTGAGAGGCGCGGCAAATGAGGCTCAAGTTGCGGAGCGCAAGAGAGACGGGATAAGCCGGGATTTGGAGCAGCTGCAGTTCAAGCAGAACACTGTCCGTAGAGATCTCTCCCGCAAGAAGGCTGACGCGAGCAAGTGCGATACGCAGATCCGCGCTGTGGTCGAACAAGGTGCTGAAGCATATGATGAGGCACTCGAACAGGCCCAGAAAAGTGTGGATGAAGCCAGAGTCAACAGTTCAGGTTGGAGTGGACTGCACGACTATTTCCAAAGTGTCCTAGAGGCAGCGGGTCATGAGCACAAGCCAGCTTGCAGGACGTGCATGCGGGCCTTTGCGCCTAACAGCGAAGCCTTGGCCAAATTTCAACAACGCATTCGAAACTACATCTCGGATACGGAACAGAAGGCAAAGCAGTTCGATCCCTCTGCAGCCGAAGCCGACTACAAGCGGGTCCTTGATCTGGGCGTAGTCCGCGACACCTGGAAGAAGCTTGTTGAATCTGAAATCCCGGCAGCAGAAAAGGAACTGCGAGACCTCGATTCAGAGCGACAATCTTTGATTTCAAAGCTGGAGCATCATGACAAGGCAGTCCTACAGAGCCAGCGAGTCAAGCGAGATCTTGAGTCAATCAGCCAGACGGTCGCATCCATCGGTCAATGCAGTGTGGAAATCGGGAATCTGGATGGCCAGGTTGAAGAGCTTACCGCCAAAAAGAGCCAGCAAATGGCCGGGCGGACCTTGGAAGAGATTCAAGAGGAGCTCAACACCACCGCTCAAAACATCCGAGGCGCCCAAAATGTCATCACTCGGTTGAGAAACGAGCAAGAACAATCTCGAACAAGCATCTCCAGCATGGAGCTCGAGTTACGCGATCTCAAGAGCAAATTGGAAAACATTGGGTTCCAACTCGAGAAGAAGGCTTCTCTGGCTGCCCGGGTGAAAGAATTCCGTGCTATGAACGAAAAACAGAAAGATATCATGGAAACTCTCACCAAGGAAATAGAGGAATTAGACCCTCAGATCTCGACGGCTCAGGCCAAGTACGACGACATTGATCGGCGTGCCGCCGCCCAAGAACGAGAATTGTCGGACGAGCTGTCCCGGCTGGGTGACAGCATCAACAATCTTGATATTCTCAACGACCAGATCCAATCCTACCTTGATCGGGATTGTCCGAATCAGCTGGCACGAGTCGATCGAGAACTGAAGGATATGGAGCGTGAATTCGATAGTCTTCAGAACGAGCAGAAACGACTCACTAGCGAGATCAACAAGATCAACGACCGGATCAAAGACGGAGAGACCACCCGGAGACGCTACTCTGACATTCTTCGGCATCGGCAAGAGACGCGGGCTCTTGCTCGTCTTCGGGAGGAGATCGAAGAGCTCGAAAGTCACAACGCCGAGGTCGATCGCAATCGGTTTCAGCAGGAGTCGCAGAAGTATAGCATGGAGTACAACAAACTCACAGCGCTGCAGGCGGGGGTGATGGGCGAAATGAAGTCAATGGACGTCCAGCTCAAGCAAATCTTAGAAGAGTATCATCAAGACCTGAGAGACGCACCCCAGCGGTACAAAGAGGCACACATCAAGGTCGAGGCCACCAAGGCGGCTGTGGAGGACCTGGGACGCTACGGAGGAGCTTTGGACAAGGCGATCATGAAATACCATGGCCTCAAGATGGACGAGATCAACGCCATCATCGAGGAGCTCTGGCGCAAGACGTATCGCGGGACCGATGTCGACACCATCATGATCAAAGCGGAGAACGAGCAGGCGCGAAGCAATCGATCGTACAATTACCGTGTCGTCATGGTCAAGCGTGGGGCGGAAATGGACATGCGAGGACGCTGCAGCGCTGGCCAGAAGGTCCTCGCCAGCATCATTATTCGATTGGCATTGGCGGAGTGTTTCAGCTCCAGTTGTGGATTGATTGCGCTGGACGAGCCGACCACGAATCTCGACCGCGAGAACATTGAAAGTCTGGCGCAGTCGCTGAAGGAGATCATCGAATACCGACAACAACAGAAGAACTTCCAGCTGATTGTGATCACGCATGACGAAGACTTCTTGCGGCAGATGGAATGTTCCAAATTCACAGGGACGTATTATCGGGTTTCGAGAGATGCGGCGCAGAACTCGGTCATTGAGCGACAGAGCATCGCCGAAGTCTTGTAGGCGTTGCTGCGTTGCAGGGCTCAAGTTGTCAGCTGTTCAGGCAAGGCCAGCACGTGGATTTAGAGTGTCGGGCTGGAAGCCACATTGGCGGCTGGGGGCTGGCATTGGCTGGCCGACGGCGCCATGGCTGACTCTGCAAGGGACCATCGCCCAGGTACCAGGGGCGCCTGGTGGAGGTTCATCACACTGGGTGGGTAAGCGAGGCATTCATTGCTCCGAGCAACACGAGCGGCAGGATCTGCCACTGTCAACTGGAACTCGACGTAGAGCTGTAATTGTCCTTTGCCTGAATGCCTCTGTCCTACCTCGGCTTGAGTTGTTCAAGCAAATAACGCAAATGCTGCGAAGCATGTTGTACGAGTAGCAGCAGCGTTGCGGTCACCCGACACGGGCCTGCGGGTTCGCGGGTTCGCCCAGTATGAACCGAATTGCGCGGTGGTGGTTGGTTGTGACGGGGCAGCGATGACGAATCTGAGAAACAGGTGAACAACAGGTGAACAACAAGTGAACAAACACAGCTCACTGTGGGCATCGCCTCCGCCTTGCTTCCCAGTTCGCACTGATCTTCAGCGTCGATTACTTGAAATGATAGCTAACCTTCTTAGCTGCACCCACTTGGAACTCTCCTCGCTGTCCTCTTGGTCGTTGCTGCGGCACTCTTTTGAGCGGTCAATGGTCACGGGTCTCAGGTGAACCTTTGTCTGGCCTCGTCTTCTCCCTTCCTCCCTTCGGTGCTTCCCCACAAGCATCACCCTCAAGGTTGCATCACATACCAGTCGTCCAGTTGTAATACGTGTTCGAGCACCGAGCTTCAAATGAGTGGCCCTTGTGTCCATCACCAGCTCCCAGCTGGCCCACACATTCTCCTCCTCCGCCTGCCCACAGCTTGAATAGACGACCACTGAACCCAGCCAGTGGAAACTGCGCGCTCCAGCATTCTATACCCACAGCTTCTGAAGACAGACCAAGCTGACAAGCTCCCTTTAGTCACGTCAAAAAAAGTTACCCGTCGAATGCGAATCTCTTCGATCGGCGGCATGGCGACCGTCATTGTCGGTGCTCGTACCCATAAAAACTACATTCATCGCCATGCCCCCGGAGGACAACATGTTCGGCTTCTCCTAGTCGGGACTTTCTCTATACCACATGACACCACAGCGTGACATCCTCTAGCAGCTTCCCCCTCACCTTCTCTAAGGTACCGCTGTCCGAACCAACCAAGTCGACAGCAAGATCGTCATTGAACGTTTGCTTCGCTTGCACATCCTCCGCGGCCAGAGAGAAAAGGTTACACGCGGGAAGGCGCTGTTTGACCTCCAGATTTGGTCCTTTCGTCCCGGCTGGGAACGCTTCAGCTATTTATACCGGAGCCCGAGCTCTTGGTCATCCTGTTGTCTTCACCCATTTCGTATAGCATCATGCTGGTTGTGGAGGCTTTACTCGTCGCTCTCTCAGCTACGGCTGTAAGCAGGTAAGCGACCAGTCTCCAAGGCATGGCTCTCGGGTACTGACATCTGCGACCAGTGCTCCTTTGGCAAGGCGTCAGTTCTCGTATGGATCGACGCCGGTAAGAGGCGCCAACATCGGCGGCTGGCTGGTGTTGGAGCCATGGATAACGCCGTCCATCTTCAAGCAATTTGATGGTGGGGTGGTCGACGAGTACACCTTGACCCAACAAGTGCCCAATGCGAGGGACATCCTTCGCAACCATTGGGACAGTTGGGTGTCGCTGGCCGACTTCCAGAAACTTGCGGACAACGGCTTCAACTCAGTCCGGATCCCTATAGGATACTGGGCCTTCGAGAAGTATGGAGGCGATCCCTACATCCAAGGCGCAGCAGACTATCTCGACAAGGCCATCGATTGGGCTCGTCAGACAGGACTCAAAGTCTGGATTGACCTGCACGGTGAGCGGCACTGTCTCAAGAGCGCAGGGATCGAGGGCTGACTTCCTCCTGACAGGCGCACCGCTTTCACAGAACGGACAAGACAATTCCGGCCTATTGACCTCAGCACCAGGTTGGACGTCTGGTAACACAATCCTTGCCACGCTCGATGTCATAGGCCAGATCTCCGACAAGTACGGCAGCGCAGACTATGCAGACGTGATCTCGGGTATCGAGTTGCTGAATGAACCCAGGATGGGTGCTCTACCTGGCGGGCGAGGCGCCACTGAAGGGTACTACCAAGCAGGCTTCGAGACTGTCCGGAGCAAAAGTCAGGCGCCAGTCATCTTCCAGGACGGCTTCACCGATCCGTCGTCGTGGAACGGGTTCCTTACCGGTCAGGGCACTTCCGGTGCCATCGTCGATCACCACGAATACCAGATGTTCACCAACGAACTCGTGGCATTGACCCCCGAAGAACATGTCAACTACGTCTACTCCAGCGCCGATTCGTGGGCGCAAGGACAAGATAAATTTGTCATCGCCGGCGAATGGACCGCCGCCATGACGGACTGCGCCCCAGCCATCAATGGCTACGGCGTCGGCGCGCGGTATGACGGGACCTATTCGACCCCCAACGCAGACGGCAGCTACACCACCTCCCCGTACGTCGGGTCGTGCGACACCATCAACTACATCGACCAATGGAGCGATTACAACAAGACAACGACAAGGGCTTACATTCGCGCGCAGCTGGATGTCTTTGAGAACCAAATCCAGGGGTGGTTCTTCTGGAACTTCAAGACCGAAGCAACGGCCGAATGGGATCTATTCAGGCTCATTGACGCTGGTGTCTGGCCTGACATGTGACTGAGTTGAGTCTGGTTTAATCGCTCTGCCCGATGATGGGAAGAGGTCGTCAGAATTCGGCTTTTATTTCCCTGTCGCCCACACGCTCACTACTGATGGTTGGGCTTTTCATCCATCATGACATTGATCTATAATTCCAAGACTTTCGTCGTCTCGCTGCATGGCATCCGTCGCCTACATACTGCCGCGTTGGCCACATTGCGCTTCCTTCGAATTTGATACCCCCAGGGCAAAGGCATGCAGGCGTAATGGATGGACAAACGAGCGGGATGAGCGTTTCAACGAAGGGTTTCCCTCTTGCGTAGCGCAGAGTATGCTCGCATACTGGATGGAACAGGAAGGGCAAAGCTGGCATGCATTGGTACATCTATGATGGAAGGTCGAAGGTTGGCTGAACGTGTCGGCACCACGGCATAGCACGAATAGCATAGCGTATTATGCATACATAGTATAGGCGCGTTACGAGGTAATCATAATGGCGGGTCTCGAAGGTAGAGAGATCCATCACTCAGTCTAGCATTGAAAGGCTCTCATCATATCGTCTTGTGCCATCCATGCGTGCGACATGACATGACTTTTTGCTTCCACCAAGAAGGCGCTCGCTCTTCCGCTCTACTGAACTGTACTGTACTGTAGCAAGGACGTTCTACAGCCCAGCCGTGCCTGACGTAGCGTAGCGTAGCCTAACCCAGGTACTTACAAAGACCACGAAACACCGATAAAATCGCTCTAGAACCCAGAAAGCATGAAACACATGCCATCTTCGTCGATCGTCATCATGAACATGGCCATGTGCGTCTTATGCGCTCATGATCATAATCGTGATCTCACGACCGGCTTACTCAATGGCGAAGCCCTCGGCATTCGCCTTGACGACCTTCTCAAAGTCGACTCCTTCCTCCATGCTCCCCTCGAGCATCCTGACCTCTCTGACGTCCACGTCCACAAACGTGCCGCTCATCTCGAAGCTCACAGTCATGGGGAAGAACTCGCCGTCATCCTCCGCCTGAGCTTCGAACTCGAAGCTTCCGCTCGGATTGTCCGCGTCGATCACCCCGATATTCCATTCCAGACTGTCGCCCGTGACCTGGTAGATGGCATCGAAGGACGACACGGAAGGTTCCGAGGAGACGTAGGGGATCGTGATGGACACGTCTCGCAGGGTCGTGCCCGAAGGGTTCGTCAACTCGTACTCAATTGTGATGGTGTACATGCCGTCTGAGGACTTATTTACCCACGCCGTGAACGTCACGGGGAGGATGTCGGTAGGGTGGTCTGCCGGCGCCGTGACCCGCCAGCGGAGGACGCCAATGCTGTTGTTGGCCGGGAATCTCTTGGATGTGTCCTTAAGCTGGATGAGCTTTTGGGACGTGAAAAGGGCTTTGTCGACATTTGGGTGAGTCCGGAATTGTGCTTTTAAGGGGCCCTCGACTGCTTGCACTGACAGAGCAAGCTTGGTCAGGGAGGGGTCGGTGATCCGAAGCTGCAGATCTCCCTTGACTTCCATGGACTTCAGGGCGCCTTCGCGGCTGAGCTTCGCGGACAAGGTCTCGGTGATGGATATTAAGATTGGAGTCGCGGCCGAGGACGAGAGGGTCGTGTCGTGCGTGCTCGCCGTGGGGGCACTGCGGACGGGCAGTGCTGTCTCTGTCGCAGGGGGCTCCTCGGCGCCGATCTCCTGCTGCACCTGCGCAAAGGCGTTGGATGTCTTGGACTTCTTGCCCAGCTGCATGCCCTTGGTGGAGCGGGAGGTAAACTTGTTGGAGAGCTTGTTCTTCTCGGCCTCGTATGTGTCGTACGACGACGTCTGTGGCTGTACTGGAGGTGTGTACGTAGGTTGACTGGGCATGCGAGGAGGGACACCCCGTCCGTATGCAGCAGAGCGGGCGGCTTCTTTGCGCTGCACCTCGAGCTGTTTGGCCTTGCGCTTGCGCTCCTCGGAGGCTTCTAACTCTTTGTTCCGTGCAATGATCTCTTGGATTCTCTCCTCGTGGGATTCGCCTTCTAGGAATGTCTTGATTTGGCTGAGGGACAAGTTCTCCCTGTAGCCCATGGTGACGAGCTCGTCAAAGGCGGAGAGTAAGTCGAAGGCATTGCGAAGGATTTCCCGTTCGTCGGTCTTTTTGCAGATGGAGGTGACCACCTGGCCAAAGAGATGGAGACTGTCGATATCCTGCAGGATGTTGGATTGTTTGTTTGTGATCAGGACGAGGTAGAGTTCATCCAACGGCTGGTAGACGAAGCGGACGTTTTCTTGTTCGACCGTCGTGTGTTGGGTTGACGAGTCGGCGAGTTTGGGGAACGAGGCGAGCAGGGCTTCTATGCGGGTTTTGGGGATTTCTCTGAACGAGCGAGACAGTAACGCCTTGCCGCCTCTTGTGATTATCGACGCCGCAAGGACGACCATGGTGGCGGTGTTGGGGTTCTTGTGAGCTGAGGGCAGGAACAGTGAGGGAGAACTGAGGCCAGGTGTGTATTCCGTATGCGGTAGTCGAGCGCCAAGGTGGGTGCGGTGCTTGTGAGTGAGTATCACGTGCCAGCCGTAGCCTTGCGGGCGAGGCTGACGTGTTCGGCAGTCCTTCCTTTCTGGATCTACGCTGTCGTGGGTGTAAGTGCTGTATCTTCTACTCATCAACAATAGCTCACTCGCCTGGTCGAGCTGCAACGGACGAGCTCGACATCACCACCAATCTGCAAGCCGTCCTAGTGCGGCTGCGGTACAGCCCTCGTCAGATAACTATCCACGTAGATGTGCATGATGGATTAGCCTAATACTGTGGCCGGAGCCTCTTTGTCTTTCTGGTCTCAATTTCCCTGTCCCCTTCCCCCCGAACTTATCAGCAAGGTCCATCAAGAGTATCACACGATAGCTGTGCCGGCAGCTTTCATGCTCGAATCGGACCACAGCAGTGGGTTGTGGCAGGTTCATTTCGACACGTCAAACAGTTGGCACCTAGTTGTTTGACTCGATTCGATTGACGTCGGGCTTCGCCCGCGACCACTTTATGCGTATGTACAACCACACCTCATAATCGCGGTACGGCAAGCGTGTTCCAGATTCGCACTACATTGACGAGGTGTGATATCAGCCAGCACCTCTCGTACACTGGCGAAGTCCAGCAAGTGAAGGTGTTGGGTATAATTATTGGGCCTGATCAACGGCGGCGAGACTGAACGGAGAACATCGCTGCGTGAATGTCCTTGATATTTGATACCCAGGCGGAAAAACACCATAAGTACCCTATGCGCTCATCTCTCCTCATATCGTAGGCAAAGGAAGCAGGGAGGATGTAATGTGCCAAACCCGAAGTCGTCCCTTTCACCGGCTAAATTATGGCATTGCAAACCACGGCAGAGGGTATCGGGCCAGCATGTCCTTATGCTGCATCAGGGCGAAGATGTTAGCCTGCTCGCTGGTTCCGTGACAGCCTCAATGCACAACTGGAGATTTGCAATCGATGCGGAATTTGATCTGCACAAATATGCATATGCACAGGCAGCCAGCAGGATATGGCCGGTCGTGTTACATAAGATCATGCACCTCGCAACGGACACCCAGACGAAGAACTCTAACAGTCAGCAAACGCTCGCAGCAAAGGTACACAGCGAATGGCGGGCAAGTGGCACTTGCCTATTTCATGCTCACGCTCTGCGCCATGCCACTCGCTTTCGGTTGCAGTACCCTTAGCTTCCCCAGATCTGCTGGGGGCCGCGGAAGAAGGCTTGAACACAGGCGAATCTAGGGCTGCAGCACCAAGCAGCTAAAAGTGACACGATGCAGGACGCCAAGAGGTCGCCGTCGAGGGAAGACAAGTCGTTGGTGTGGGAAGTCTGAGCCACGGAAGAGCTGGCCACTCACAGGCGCCGCACCCTTAGCGAGAGAATCCCAGCTGCTTAAGTAAAAGCCGTTGATAAAAAGCTTCGTCGAAAGGAATGCACAATTATGTAAGTGGCAGATACGTGCGCGCAGCAAGGCGACAGCGACTTCTGCCCTTCGTACTTGAGCTCGGCTCAATACCACCATGATCAGCCTCAGCCTCAGCCCATTTGTGAAGCGGCAAAACCTAGATGCCACATGAGTGCAGTAATTCGAAGCTTCTGCCAAGCTCGCACTGCCGATGGGCTTGACGTCGTCGGGGGCCCCGTTGTACGTGTCCCTCGAGGCAACTTTCGTCGCGGAGCCCCTGGATCGGACGAATCTGCGGAAGTTGAACCCTTCTACCAAAATGGTTAGGTGGGAAGGATGAAGCCCATTTAAAAAGGCAGCGGAGTGGCCTCGAGGGCAGGCATCCTGCAAGGGCAAAGAGACTCCTCAGCATTCCAAGCATCGACGATAAACTGACACGCGGACGACGTCGTGCGGGAGCATGGCTGCTCATTCGACCGTCCTTCGACGGAGTCACGGCAAGTCGAAGAATGGCTGCAAGACATGCGTTGGCAGGAGGATCAGGTGCGATCAGGCCAGGCCAGCGTGGTGAGTGAAGATCACCATCTGTCCAGTGCTGTTCAACCGCTAACCGCTACACGAAGTCAACGGTGCACACGCAGCGGGCGTGAATGCATCTACGCGAGCGTTCCGGGAGAGACAGTGTCAGAGCACGCCACTTCGATGGCATGGCTCGACGCCATCGACGGCTCTTGTCAAGCATGGAGGGACACCGGCGAGACGCCTTTCCCGATACTGATGATTCCGTCGTCCCTCGACTGGCATGGCCTTGATGCTCGCGGCCTCCGATATTTCTATTTCATCGCTTCGCTCGGGGACGTCCTGGACCGGAATAACAGTCGGCATTTCTGCCTCTGGTGGATAGGCTACGACCTGTGAGTCTGATCCCGGAACCCCCTCGACCAAACGTGTGGCAATCGTTAACTGTCGGCTAAGGGGTCTCCAAATGGCGGCCAAGATCGACTACGTCGCCTACGCCCATATCCTCGTGGCGGCCAATCGGCTCGGGAGAGTAACAAAAGTGGCCAGCGTCATGGAGGATGCACAGCACTACCAGGGGCTGGCGATCAAGGGCCTGCGCCGGGCACTCGCCTCGTTCTCGAGAGAGAACGCCGATGCCGTCCTTGGAGCATCCATCTCGCTGATGAATCAGCAGCAAACCCCGGCCGAGTGGCAGAGAGTCACGCAAGGCACCGCAGCCGTGATCAAGGCCATGGGACCGTGGATCAAGACTTCCTCGCACTGGCCAGTCCTCAAACACATCTACCACGCCGCCGAAACCACCGTCGTGAAGAGCGAGGAGAATGCAGCTCGACCCGCCGACCGGAAGACCACGTGTCCGATGGTCACCGTGCAATCAGTCGGGGCTGCCGTCGAGTTCCTGCTCGACCAAGGCGTGACCGCTCTGAACCGACTCGCAACATGCACGAGGGACCGGAAGGAACTCTGTACAACGGCGCGGGGTCTCGCAGACATGCTTCGCCTGGCCCACGCAAAGCACCTTGCGGGCCAGAAGCGCGACGCTTTCTGGCTTGCCCATCCCTTCTGCGAACTCACCAACCGCGAAGCTATATCCTTCACGGACATCCATGCTTCGAACCCCTTTGTCCTCGTCATCCTCGCACACATGTACAGCGCGCTGGTCGTCCTGTCGATGCTGTACCCGGAGCTCGACACGGCATGGTTCATCGGCATTCGTCTCCACTCGCTGGACGAACTGGCGCGGCACTTCCAAACCGTCGCAACGATCGACTGCGACGTCTGCAGTGAGCCGCACCACAGTCACGAACTGCTGGCCTTCCCCTCGAACGCAGTGCAAGCGTACCGACAATGGCGGAGCGACCAGCAGGCCGTCTTGTCGCAACAAGGCCACCGTGGATATTCGGCGGGGTTAGACCACAAGCAGAGCATCTCACCGCCGGCGTAGGTATGCCACCCATGAAAAATTTGGAAACGGGAAGACAGGACAAACAAATAACCATTGGGACACCTTTCTCAACAGACCACCCCTTCAGATGGTATCCAAAAACAGCAGCCTTCAAAGCTTCGTAGCTGAATGTGTAGTGACAAAGGTATGGATCAGCTCGATAGAACCACCAACAGGGACCGAGGGGAATACTCCATCTGATTCTCCTCTGGTTGATGGCGTGGCAGGCAAGCCGTCTTGCCTGCAGAGGGGGGAATACCTGGCAATGTATTCCTTGCCTTCGAAGACGGGACCTCAGTAATAGACACCAGACATCATCTCGCCTGCTCGATCTGATATGTGTGTGCGCGTGCGGCATTATCTCACCATCATCATCATCCTCCACCACCACCACCACCACCACCACCACCTTTTCAGTCGTTCGAGCTTTGACTACCCCATCCGTCACGCAAGCACTCTTCACCCTGCGACCACGTCCTTGTTCGTGTCCCTGCCCTTGGGTATTCGTTCCCGTCTTCTTTGCCGTAAATGCTCCCTTCAACTGTGCGCTGTCCGACGTAACTGCCTCACCCTTTCACAGCTACGGCTCGCTCCTTCAGTGGCAACTGAGACCACAACCCACGCCAAACCCACACCCCGACCGGCCTTCAGTCCCCTGCGAACAGTACGCAGTCAGTACGGACAGTCCCTCAGCGCCACGGGCTAATACCCAGCAGGATGCAATTGACCAAAACGACTCCATCCCCCTCCCGCTGCGACAACCACAAAATAACCCACGTAGCTGGTGGCCGCAAGACCGAGGGCTGATTTCCCATCAAGATCCATCACGATCCGGTTGAGCAGCTCAGGCGGCAAGCCGAAGAGAGGAGGTCGTGGCTCGAGTGGAATCTGCGCCAGGCAGGGGACATGGAAATGTGAGACAACTGCGACAGAGTGTCGACGGGTGGATAATGCGAACGACTGCGCGTCCTGCAGGTAGCGAATATGAGAGATTATGCTCTGGACGAGTTCGGTGCTCAGGTGCTGAAGATGAGAAGCCGTACAGGTTGATGTTGAGGATTGCGCATGAGGACCAGTGTCGGCAGATTGAACAGAAGAAAACTCGCCGGCCTTCTCATCCGCCTCGTTGGCCTCAATGGTCCGTACCGGATTCGGCATTATCTCGGTGCCTGCAGGGAGTCGTGGTTGCTTGTTTCGTGTTGCGAGAGTTGCGATCCTTTTGGGGGGCTAAGCAGAATCAATGTGAAGACGGACGCATCTGTGAAGCAGACGAAGGCAAGTTGAGGAGCAGCTCAAGGAAGACTCGTTTCTAAGGAGGCAGTCCGTTGAAGGGTGACCTGAGTGCACAGGCTGTTTGTGAAGCAACGTCTTTCTTTGACAAACATAGCTCGTTGCTGCAACGGCCATTCGTACATTTAGTAGGTCGCCCATCGCATTTGGTCTTCAACAGCAGTTCCGAGGACAATAGCCTCCTGACACACAATCTCCGGTTGAGACCGTGAGATCGTCCCCGTATCATGTGCCGAGTGATGGGGCTATGACTTTATTGAGCGGGTTCGCCTCCAGACCGTTCGGCCTTGCTCTTTATCCTTCCTTCAGGAAATCCATGTGGCGGATGCTACTGGTGCAGAATGGATCGGATTCGCTCCTCAATCCAAATCAACGCTGAGTAGGCATGCCCGTGATATCCAAATTCTCTAGAGACCTTCCGCACAATTCGTCGAAGTTTGCCTGCCCTTCTTGGTGCTGGCGCATGGAAGTTGGAGGCGAGCTGGATGAGGCGTCGCAGAGCCCGCTCACGACGCATCTGGCGCTGCTTCAATCTCAATACCGAGATCGGCTTCGTCTTGATCCAATTATCGCCCAGTCTTTCCCTCAACGCCATGAAGTCCATGCTCTCAATACATTGCTGATTCCAGAGATCCAGCATCAAGATGAATTCGCGGGCCACATCCTCAAAACGTCGACTGAAATCAAATGTGGTTCTGAGGTACGATCTGGAGACGTGTCAAATGAGATTTGTGCACGAGGATAGATGCCCTGCACAACCGACAGTTGAGATTGGTGTGACGGTTGCGCGTCGCCCTCAGCTTTGTGGTGCCACTCCACGTGTCTAATATAAGCTAGATGTTTGGCCATCATGGGCCTTGTCGATCATCCAGCGGTTGGGTATCTCGTTTGGCGGTTTGGATTCGCCTGCTGTATCGAGGGCAAGGGTGTTGTATGATTGTGCATCGATGATTTTAGGCAGTGGCTTGCCAACATCTCTGGGACAGATATCTTCGAGCAGTGAGCGGCGACATATCGAGAGGATGGATTCGTAATTTTGGTGACAGGTCAATGCCAAGCAGACTGCAGAGGGCGCATCGAGGAAGGAGACGATGTGTGTCAGGATGTCGTGATTGAGTTCTCGAAGCATGGTCAGACGGTCAGTCATCGATGCAACCACAAATGGTGTATTCAGCGGCGCTCAAAGATGTAGGCTATAACATGTTAGTCGACGGGGTCCAGGACCAGTGTGGGAGGCATTTACTTACCTTTGAGAAGTCAATCGGCTTGCTGGCGCGTTTTCAAGTTGACCTCACACTACATGCAAGACTTCATAGTGTTGTAAAAGTGAGAGTGCCCAAAGGCTGAGAGGTGAAACTATTGTCAATTCACGCTTCTGTTTCTGTCGGACCATCCATGCACACCGCCTTCGATCACCTCTCAATCTAGCTCATCTCCCAGACCATACAGCTACTACGATGCTTCATTATCTGTTGGTGACGTGCCACCCAGCTGTCACTTCCTATCATCTCGACATTTTCCCGACCACCGACACCATGGGAGAGCACATCGATGAGAAGCTGTCTAGACCGTGACAGGAATATCGACACCTTGACCCAGAACCGTCTCCTGAACAGTGGTGTCTGAGCTAGATGTTTTAGGATTTCGTTCCATGACTGTACCCTTGCCGTTAACACTGCCCTTCGCATCATCCACACACTCAGCTTGACCTTTGATCTTGTTCTCTGGCGTCTTGGAGATAGTACTGTCCGTGCGCTTTCGGAGGGCGCGGCGGCTGCGCCAATATCCCTTCTTCTTGCTGGTCTTGTTCTGAGGAGACTTTGGGTTCTGGTGATGGACTTCAGCGCTGGGTGCAGCATTCTCCTTGTTAGAGCCATTGTCACCAACCGATTCCGCACCATGTCCGTTGGTCACAGCTTGAGTAGTGTCTTTGGCACCTGCCTCTGCCGCAGCTTGACTTGGAGGACCACCAACAGCAGGTTCCGCAGCTTTTTCCGCAGCCAGACGTGCACGGCGATCTTGTCTAGCGAATTTCATGGCGGTTTTGGGATGTGCTTGACTTCCTCCTTGCATGTAGGCCACACCACGAACAATAGTGTCCGTAGCCTGCTCGACCATCAGTAAGAGCAGGTTGTTATAGCCAAAGTCACTTACGATGTAGGCAGCATTCATGAGCTTGACAAGGTTGTTGGCAAGCAGGGTCAATTCCTTGATGTCCTGTTCCGACTTGAACGGGTTGTCTCCACCATTTGCAACTCTGCGAGCCTTGTTCATCATGTCTCGGACATGATCTTCCATGATAGCATCGAGTTTTGGGGGCGTGCGAATCGGCTTGCTGGTTGGTGCGGAGATCTTGTTGTGGTTATTGTCATGGGCCTCAGGAGATGCAACCTCAGTTGAACTAGACTGAGGGGTTGTGGCATTGACAAAGCCAGTCTTCTGGGAAGTAGCAGACTCTGGGCCAGTTGCCGTCTTCCCAGCGCTGTTCATGGGAGCGGGCTCAGCTTTGACGTTAGGAGAAGAGACATCGGCCATGGTTCCTCTGGCCAGCGGCAGTCAGTGCTCCAGAGCTGATGAGATGAGGAAGGCACTCACTCACTGAGGGAATATGCTGTCACAGGGTTTTGAGGATGGGTGGCTTTGGGCTCGTAGCAGTGTTGGTGTGAGAAGTGCGTAGAGGTTAGAGAAGGGCGGTAGGCAAAGAAATCTGCAAGACAAGGTGAGAGCGAAGATGAACAGTTGGGACGGATTCGCTTCATTCTGTTTTGACACAATACCAGAGACAAAGGAAGGCACCTACCCGCGCACAAGCTGCGGAGCCTGGCAAGGACGGTACAAGACGCACCGAAGGTCTGGCAGCACAAACTCGTTGATGATCGCAGCCAGGCATGTTCAGTACCGTAGTCATTGAGCATCTTCATCTTCACACCTTCATCATCCAGCCAGATCCACCTCCAGCGTCAGAAGCTATTCGGTCAGTGTCTCATTGGTGGGATTGGTTAACTTCTTAGAAAGACCACTGCGTCCTGCCCTTTGATGTGGACGCTGCTTTCACTTGCTCGTCAGTACTTGATCCGACGGGAACATTACATCTGCCGCCTACGAGAACACTGCCTGATGGAAGATTGGAAGTGAGAGGAGCTGAGGATATTGCTCGGCCAACCTGCTGTGCCGCGCATCTCCGAACTGACTTGTTTCATCATTACTTGCGGATTGCTCGAATTCGCTTCCAATTGTCCAGATGAGCTCTACTGTATCTGGTTTTTTTTGAGAGACGAGGTCCGCGCGGAAGCAAACACCTCTTCTGAACTGCACCTGTACAAGATTTCCGGGATTGACGAGGAACTTGAGGCCACAGTCATGGCAAGCCTGCTAAAGAAGCCCTTCAAACTTGCCCTCGTGCAGCTTGCATCAGGTAAGTGGTGAGTATTTTTGACTTGAGCAATGCCACGAAATCATACTAATACATTAGTAGGCGCGGACAAGACAGCAAATCTGCATCATGCTCGGTCGAAAGTCATTGAGGCTGCTAAGGCTGGCGCCTCGATGATTGTTCTTCCCGAATGCTTCAATTCTCCCTATGGCTGTCAATACTTCCCCAAATATGCCGAGACCGTACTACCCTCGCCGCCGTCAGAAGAGAAGTCGCCTTCATGGCACATGCTATCGAAAGTCGCAGCAGAGACGAAGACATACCTGATCGGTGGGAGTATACCGGAGTTCGTACCAGATACAAAGGAGTACTTCAATACCTCGCTAGTATTCTCACCAACAGGGGAATTGCTGGCAACCCATCGGAAGACACACTTGTTCGATATCGATATACCTGGGAAGATCAAGTTCAAGGAGAGTGACGTGTTATCTCCGGGAAATAAGGTGACTATAATCGATATCCCAGATTATGGTAAGATTGGACTAGCAATTTGCTACGATGTCCGATTTCCCGAGCTTGCCATGATTGCAGCAAGAAAGGGTGCATTCATGTTTGTTTATCCTGGGGCTTTCAACACGACAACAGGTCCGATGCACTGGACACTACAAGCGCGGGCGAGAGCAATGGACAATCAGATCTACGTCGCAATGTGCAGTCCCGCAAGGGATACTGAGGCAACTTATCATGCCTATGGGCACTCGATGATTGTCAATCCAAACGCGGAGGTTCTTGCTGAAGCTGAAGAGCATGAGGATATTGTGTACGCTGAGATTGACGGTGCGAAAATTGAGGAGACAAGGAAGGGGATTCCCATCTATACACAGAGGCGTTTTGATGTGTATCCTGACGTGAGTGCCGGCAAGGTACGCTTTGATGATTGAGGTGAGATAGGGAACAACGAGGGTCAATGAGAATATCGTGATATGAAACCATGCTGCACCCCTCCTCGTCAATTATGCGTGAGCTTCCATTATGGCTCTTGGAGACTCCACCAACTACCAAAGCCTGCAAATTATCGTCAAGTTCCCATTCACTCGCTGTTCATTCTAGCCTGATAATGGACTGCGCGACCATAATTATGGGCTGTGGATCCGCCCACTGGTGTGATGGATGAGCTCGCCCAGCTCTTGAAATATTTCACGTGATGACAGAAATCTTGGCAAACTATTCCGTTTTCGAGCAACGTGCGCTCCCACATCCCCAGAAAATAATCGACGGTCGATTCTCTCGCAGACATCCAGCACGTCGTCGACCTCCCCTTTCCTCCGCAGCTCTTCAAGACAGTACGTATAGCGCTGATCCTCACTTTTATTGACAGACCGTCTCGAACGTTTCGAATCACAAAAGTCTCTAACCTTACCCGTCGCAGAATACCGTCACAATGGTGAAAAACAACCCCAAAACCCAACCCAAGAAGTCGACGCAGACGCCCAAGAAGTCCCGCTCCGCCATCACTGATGTCGTGGCCCGCGAATACACCATTCACCTCCACAAGCGCGTACGTACCCTGCCTTGAAACATGGGAAAAGGTCCACAAGAGCAAGAAGAGAAGGAATCGCAAAGAATAATCAGTTTTATGAAGTCCACCCGAATGGCTTGCCTTGCGCACCCCTTCCCCTGAGTAATGTCAAGCATTGGGACGGAAGACTGATGATATCGGGAATAAAAGGTCCACGGCGTATCGTTCAAGAAGCGAGCCCCCCGCGCTATCAAGGAGATTCGAAAGTTCGCTACCCTGGCAATGGTACGTATGCCCTTTGGCGTTATTTTCTACATCCCGCTGCATTTTGCCGCGCGGATTTTTTGTTGGGTTCTATCGGCTCCTGTCTTTTGCAGCCAAAGTCTTCTAACATCTGGCTCTTCCACCGTATTCTATAGGGCACAAGCGACGTGCGTCTCGACCCCCAACTGAACAAAAAGGTCTGGGAATCCGGCATCAAGGGCGTCCCCTTCCGGCTGCGCGTGCGCATCTCGAGAAAGCGAAACGACGAGGAGGGCGCCAAGGAGAAGCTGTACTCCTATGTGCAGGCCGTCAATGTCAAGGAGCGGGAGGCCAAGGGGTTGAACACCGTCGTTGTGGAAGAATCATAGATACGCTGGCCGCTGAAAGGGAATGCGGATAGAGCGGATAGTGTCTGCATGGATGCAGAGGTGAAGTACTCGCTTGTCCGCCACCATCAAGAGATGCTCGGTGGAGGAGGTCCATGTCCATATGATCCGCCTCACCACACTGTCGGACGGTAGACCGCGATGGTACACGATGCCACCACTTCGCCATTTTGCCTGTGATCGGCATTGGTGCCGTGGTGGTGAACGTTCACAAAGCACGCACTGGTGAAAAAGCACTGCCAGGAAGCCAAAACCCGCCTGCGGCAGATGCGGAGACCACGCAAGATATTATGAGAATCACTCTTAGGTTGCACTCCTGCCATTTGGATTGTCCCTCTACTCGTGTTCTCCGCAACGTTGATTCCTCCACTTTCCAACAGCTCTCCTAGGTGCATCCTTGTTATCTCATTTCAATGCCTGCAGTGTTCCAGCATGTCGTGGACCGAGGAGCTCAAGCGGCAAGAGAGGGAGCTCAACCCATTTCTCAAGAGAAACGAGGAGCCGCGCCTCTTCTGCTGCGAGCTGCAGTCGGGTTGCCGCGCACCAGGATGGTCACTGCTGACGAGGGAGCTCAACTTGCCCGAGGGACAAGGAGCCGCGCCTCTGCAGAGACCAAGGCAACCTGATCGACATCGACGACCGGCCAACACTATTGCAATGATGCCATGCAATCAGACAGTCTGAATCACCTCTTCACCCGCGTCCACGCACCCACACACTCCAACTGTCCGTCTGTCACTGTACATTTGGCAAAGTAATCCTTTCCCAAGAACTCCATCGCTGTGCAAGAACTCCGTGTCTGTTCTTCTTGACCTTTGCTACATGCATTTGCCCGTCCAGCCCATATCAACCCAATTCCACATTAAGTAATCACATAGTAGAAGAGACCTGCGGCCAAGAACCTTCTGTTCAACCCATCCAAGCGCAACATAAGCAATTCAATCAAACACTCTTGTTCTCCTCCAAGACCTTGGCCAACTCGTTGGCCATCTCTGCCGTCTTTAACTTGAACACCAATCGTGTGAGGTTGCCCTTGTACATGAGCGCTCCTCGCACCGCACCACTCTTGTTGCTCGGTACGCTTTCGTATGTCGTGCTGCCCACGAGATGAGAATTAAAAAGGATATTCGCGGATGGCTCGACCCGGAAGACCAGGCGAGTTTTGTTACTGGTTTTGTCCTTGAGCACGCGCACTTGACCAATGCCCACAGAGTTCCAGTCATTGGGCGTATACTTCGTGCCTTTTGCCGTCTCGGCATTGACAAACATGAGTGCTTTAGAGCGGCCTTCCCACAGAGTGGTTTCGTTCTCTTCGCCGGCGCGAGAATCCATCAACGATGTCTGCGGGTCTTCGGTGGTATCCTCCGTTTCGTTTGTAGCAACAGATTCATTTTCTGAGACACCCGGCGATGTAGCCCGAGAGGAGGCCGCGGAGCTGGCTGCAGATCCGCTTGCAAGATGGGAAACCGCACCTAGAAAGCCTGGTGCCGGAGTGGAAGTAGGAGCACCAAATTGAAACCCGAGATTAGGTGTGACAGTACCGCTTGAGCCAGGAGCAGCAGTTCCAAAGAGAGTGCCGAAGGGACTGGAGGTATTCTTGTCTTTCTCCCCAGGCGAAGCCGCAGTGAACTTGAAGGTAGGAGCACTTAGAGCATTGTCGCCATTCGCGAAGGATATGCTGTTGCCTGGTTTCCAGGTGTTGTCAGTTCCCGCTGGAGAAGTGAGGACTGATTTGGCGAGATTGCCATTCTTCTCTGCATTGCTGGGTGTGCTTGGTCTTGAGCCGAACAAACCTTCTCCTGGAACGGGACCGCCTCTGACAGCGCCGCCAGAGAAGATCGAGGCGCCTAGAGCTGGAGTAGGTGTCGTGGTAGGCGCCGGAGTGAAGATGAAGGTGCTGGCTGGCTTCACAGTCGAAGCACCGGTAGTAGGGGTCAAAGGAGAAAATGAAGGCTGCTCAGGCGTTGTCTTGCCAATGTGGGAGCCCCAGACCGCAGGAGGGAACGAGGAGTTCTTCGTCGGTTGCATGATAGGGCTTGCGTCCTCAGGCTCCTTCTTGTTCCCGTTTGTAGTTGGGGTGGCTTTCTCTTTGTTCGGGTTAGGCTCGATCCGCTCGAACAAGCTCTTGCCAGCATTGGGATTCTTTCTCGCTCGATCCATGGCAGCCTGTAGATCGTTGTCGTCGTCTTCTTCATCTCCGCCTTCTTGAACGACTTCGTCTTCGGGTAGGCTCTCTTCGCGCTGCTCTTCCTCCGCATCGGCGTCACCGCCCTCTCCATCCTCACCATCATCAGTCCGATCATCGCTGGATGAGTTGGCTTCGTCCTCGTCCTCGTCCTTATCGTCGACGTAACTGCCATCTTCATTGTCGTCATCATCATCAGCTGCTGATCGTCCGTCAGATATCGGTGTTGAGGTGAGAGCGGCGAAAGAATTTGCTGAAGCCGCAGTGCCCAAGCCGCCGAAAGCAGGCTTGCCCGCCTTCTCCGTTGAAGCAGCCCCGAATGAAGGCTTGAAGCCACCTTTGGCAATGGCATCGATCTTTGCGCGCTTGGCCCGATTGTCCTCTTCGACTTTCTTACGGTACTGCTCTTCGTCATCTTCGTCGGAGTCAAACTCTTCAGCCTTGCGCTTCTCGAGGAGATCTTTTTCAAACTTAGCTGAGCTTTCCTTCGCTTGCTGACCAAATGCGGCAAGAAAGTTGGTGCTGCTTCCACCACCAAATTTAGGCATCTCAAAACCAGGCTTCTTTGGTGGTGACTTGACTGGAGTCGTCGATGGCGCAGATGTGGTAGAAGTCGAGCCTGTATTGAGAGAGGCAAATGCGTTGGTACTTCCACTGGATGTTGGGCCAAACCCTGCAGTATTGGCTGTGGTTGGCTTGAAGCCCGATGTGGATTGTGAAAGACCACTTGTGCTGGCGGACGTTGATTTCGGAATACCGTCGTCGGGCAGTTTCGTCCCCTGTGAGGGTGTAGAGGCAGCGTTGTTGGTTGCAGATGAGGTTGAATGCGAGGAATTGGTACCACCGAAGCTGAATGGCTTTTGCGCAGGTTCTTCTCGGCTTCTCTTGTTTTGCCCCGGTTCCTCGTGATCGTCAACCTGATCACCCTTTCGCTTTGTGCCTGCAACATTACGTATATACATCCCCAGCGAAGCTCCGATGTTGTCACGTGCGGCAACATAATGACGGATAACGTTGTCAAAGTCATGTGAGCGGGGGTCCAGGGAGGCAAGCTTCTGTTGGAAACCGTGATTCAACGAATGAAGGCGATAGTCGCGATCATATTCTTGGAACTGCTGGGCAGTGATATGGCCAGGTACGCGTGTTGGGCCCTTGGTATAAACTGGTCGTTTGTTGGGTGCCTGCGTTACTGCAGAGTCTGGTGTGTTCTCGGCGGTGTTCTGAGCTTGAGTGGCCGGGCCAGGTGCAGGAAAGCTTGGTTTCGCGGCAGGAGACTTACTGACTTGAGAAGATGCGGCCTCAGACCTCGCCGCGGTGGACTGCGGTTTCAGCGCAGGCTGAGACTGTCCGGACGCTTGAAGTGACGCACCACCGAAAGTGGGTGGCGCAGTCTTAAGCGCCTCTGCTGCACCCGTGCTGCTCTCTGTCCCCACCTCGGACGCGGACGTGAATGTCGGGGTCGCCGACTTTGCTTGGGCACCAAACAGCGGCTGCGTTTTGGCAGACGTCTCTACAGCACTATTCAGCTTGCTGAATAATCCGCCCGAAGGTGCGCCGTTGTCAATGGACGGCTTCGCTGGGGAAAACAGCCCCCCACTAGAAACTGACTGCGAGGGACGGTTGAAACTGAAAGGCGGAGTCGAAGTGGTTTGCTTGGCATTTCCTTTGTCTTCATCAGTCGTCGGCGGGTCAGTGGTAGCTTCTGAATCTTCTGGTTGAGCAGGCTTCCCGAACAGCCCTGATGCCGTCGAACCTCCCGGAGAAGCCGTTGAGCCAAATTTGAAAGTGGGTGCGGAGGTCTTCGGTTCAGAGCTGTCCGATGCTTGAGCTGCAGATCGACTTGGTGAAGCAAATGTGAATGGCGAATTACCTGGCATCGGTGTTGATGCATCATCTGTCACTTTAGCTCCGGGGTTGCTTGCTGTTCCAAAGCCGAATGCCGGTTTAGATTGCCCCTCCCCAGCCACAGGCGCGGGTGGTTGACTTTGTGTACTGAAGCTGAACACCGGCTTCGAAGCTGGTGCGACCTGCGCTGTGCTGCTTGCACTCCCGAAGAGGCCGGCAAAAGGATTAACGGCTGGTGCATCAGACCCTGAAGTCTCTAGCTTCTCTGGGGACTTCAAGGCTGGGTTTGGCTCCGCCACTGGTTGTGAGATGCTCGCAGACTTATCAGACGAGGCGGGAGCAGAGTTAAAAGCATCGGGCTTCGACGCGTTGGGGTTTGCGAATGGGTTGGTTGTGGGTGCAGCTTGGTTCGAGGATTGGCCGAATGTGAAACCTGATGAAGACGGTTGAGACGGCGTAGGTCCGAAGAGGTTGCTGCCACTGCTTTGGCCTGGCGGGGCCGACGAGCCAAACAGACCCTTACTCGGAGGCTGAGAGCTGGAACTCGCCTGTCCGAAGACGAACTTAGAAGGTTGGGATTGAGTCTGCGTGTCACTACCTTGCTGAGTTCCAAAGGCCGGCAGTGCACTTTGACCAGTGATTGGATTATTCTGACCGAAACTGCCGAAGGAAGCACTTGTGGTGGCCGACGAGTTGTTTGTGGTTGAACCAAAACCGCCGAAACCTGATGTTTGAGCCTGCGATGCGGGAGGCTGCGAACCACCAAAGCCCCCGAAAGGATTTGATTGAGCGGATTGACCGAATGGATTGGAGGGCGCAGAAGTCGTAGTCGTCTGCCCAAATAAGATGCTGCCATTCGTCTTCGCCGTCTGATTCCCATCGAGGCTACCGAACGGGTTTGACGGTTGTGGTGCCGGCTGCCCAAATGTGAAACTGTTCGACCCGAAGGTGTTCCCAAATGCTGCTTTCTTCTGGGGCGACTCCATCGATATGTCTTGCGCGTCACTTGTTCCGTTCAGGTTCGCGAAAGGATTTGGGGCATCGGAAGGGGCCCCAAAGGTGAAGGAATTTGACGAAGGGGGCTGGAAGTTGAAAGCACCGTTGTTTCCGGCCGATGGTTGAGGGAACGACTGGCTCGCGCCGAAAGTCACACCGCCATTCATTGCGCCAAAGGTCTGTTGTTGTTGTTGTTGTGCTGCAGGAGGGTTTTGTGAGAAAGGATTCGCGACGGCATGGGAGGAGGGTGTGTGAGATCGATTTGCGCCTAGCCGGCCTCGAGGCTGCGCGATCCTGACAGGCAGTTAGTGTTTTGGTCCTTAGTCACTTCGGGCACATCATAGGCACAGGTGTGGGATTGAGACTGGTGAAGTGGAAGACGGGTAGCCGCAGCCAGCAAGCCGGAGCAGTTAATCGCGACGGAGCCACTGGCGATTTTCGAGTTTCAATCTCAGGAGGGCAACAACATCAACGCGCAGATGAGATGTTGGATGAATGACTTACTTGCGCCTGGCCTGCTGAGCGGCGGTCGACATTCTCGGTTTATCGTCTTCTTCGTTCGCTATAGAACCGTGTTCCTTTGTGATGTATTCGGATGGACCACGTTTTGGCATGTTACTGGTTGACTGAAGACGGCCGAGAAGAGGGGGACGAAGAGAGCTGAGGTCCGAGAAGCTGTACCATCGAGACGAACGCGTCGGCGAAGCTTCTGTTGCGACTGTCCCTGTGTTTTGGAGAAAAAACGACCTCGATCAATGGACGAGTCGATGAAATAATTGTTGCTGCTGCTGGTCGAGTTTCTTTGGGCAGTAGAAGTTGAATCCGGGGTCGGGGGCAGTCACGTGCGTTCAGCTTGGCGTCAACCCTCCATCATTTGCTATTGTCCTTTGCCTCACTTTTCATTCACCGTTCATTCACTATTCAGTTGCCGAATAGTTCAATGGCTCGTGGTGGCAATGCCAGCGCTCTTTATATTGATCGCATGGGCCCTCAAGATACTTTTTCCTCCACAAGTCTCAATTCTGCTACTGTTGTTTGTGGCTACCTGAGTCGAAGATGTCCTCTCTTCGACCTCCGCGCCCTGCCATTTTTTGACTCTGCTACTTGTCCGTACAGCATATCTTGACAGCATTTGTTCGAAGGCTCGGAGAATATTTCAACACATCACCATGCGATCGACAAGGCTATAGGCCTGCTCAATCACGGCTGATTGTTGTCTCGCCGCACGGTCATCCCTTCGCCACACGCAACGACTCTTCTTCCGAACTCATACGGCGCAATTTACTAGCAAGACAAACATCCCGACTCCAGAATCTTGCCTGCCGAACGGGGCTCGTTTTGTTGTAGAGTCTCAATGTCAAAGTATTAGCCACTGCCGTCTCCAGCTATTGTTCGCGGTTGCTATTGGGAGGATTCCTTGTCAATTGACATCGTTTCGGAATCTCTTTCAGTCTAGGGATCCTTATTGAACTCAGCACCCAATTCAGCTTCTATTGCGCGTGTATGTCATGTTCCTTTGTTTTTGTTCTAATGAATCAGAATTGCGAATGCTTGATCATGGTCTGAGCGATATCGGGTGATTCGTATTCAGTACATAGGCTGACATTTGACACCTCACCGACCTCCACAGCATTTCGCCACACTGCCCTTAGGCTCAGGCAAATGAGAACAGTCAGTATGGACAAAGCGTCTTGAGGTAACACCGAAAGTCCACATGATGCAAACGAGGCTGATGCTATCTCACTATGAAGATTGATACGTACGCCACGAAAGGGCTAGCTCCAAGGTTGTGGAACACGAGGCCGGTTGGCATATTTCTCCGAGCTGCACCCCAATCTCAGGTATTCGCAATGAAACTGGCGGTGATTGCGCAGCTGAATTACTGTTTCACAGTTGAAAGAGAGCACGTGGCGAAGAATGATACCTGCGGATGAAGGCCTACATTGGTGTCTGGCCCAAGCAAGCACCACCTGAAAGTCATCCGCTGCTGCGGGAAAGAGGATTCAACCTCGGCATCTGCTCTAGCGGGCCTTGCACAATGCATTGACAGTACTCCAATTCAAAGCACCGACATCGACCTCGCTTGGAGTCCTACCTGCGCTCGTCATCAGTACCAGCACACATACAGCTTTCCGTATCATCATGCCACCATGTCAATACGTGTCTAGGATCTGCGTAAGTCAAAATTGTGTCCCACAGCCAGCGAAGAGGGTAGTCTGATCCGGACCAGGGCATTCACAAGTGCCAACGCCATTGTGCCACAGATGAGCGGACAAGGGAGTGGGGTGGTCTGCGTCGTGAAATCACGAGGCTCGTCGAGCGAACCACTCCGTTCACAAGTCGCTTCCTCGGAGCGACAACTAGCTCCGGGTTGCGGTTACGAATGATCTCAAGCGCCAAAAGCGAACCGAGAGACACGATCGAGATGGTCTATCCGAGCCGCGTTCGAAGGCGCAGCATGGAGATCTGAAAAGGAAGGTCAATATGGACAAGATTCATTTCAGTGGAAGGCTGATTGCCCGAACCAGCCGGGGTTGCAGCCTATAAAGCAACCATGAACAAGCTTCGGATGCGGTTCCCCGCATTGTCAATGCGGCCTCACGAGGAGAATTGGCGCTGGTCAAACTGCGAGTTCTAGTGAAGCACCATTAAGCTCATTTCTTAGCTGAGCGACCTAACCTGGACCGGCCTCGGGGCATTTGGCAGGCCATCCAGCTCGGAGATGGCGAGCTGTCAGTGGTCATACCGACTTCCCGTGCCTCAGCATACCCCTGTCAGTCCGCGCAGAGAGACCCACGGCCAATGCAGACCACACCTCCCTCGCCAACCTGCCATCGCCTTGCCACGAAATCATATTTGTATTATGCAACCACACATGCATTCCGCCTGACAATGCCTCACAGATGCGGCTAGATGCTGCAGACGAGGATGGCCAACCAGATAAAGATCGCTCGTTCGCGCGCCTTGCTTCCCGCCTTGGAGGTCCCGTTGCCCAGTATTTAATTAGGTTGGTGTATCCCTTCTCTGGAGGAGGTGACCTCTAACTTCTCGTACAGGGACAAAGGACACGTTGGACACTGCCCATTCACTGTCGAATTGTAGGCGTTGTCCAGGGTCACATACTTTGCCCACGATGCTTCATTCGCTCTTGTCCTTCGCTGCCATCACCGCTCTCCTTGCCAATTTCTTTGTCTCTGCCGCTCCTGCAAGACACGCTGCCAGAGATGGCTCCTCGTGCACACTCGACAAGATCAAGGCCAGGGTAGATTTCAACAAGATGCCCCCAGACGGGCGAAAGGCCTACACCGACGCGGTGAAATGCCTGATGGACAAGCCCTCTAACCTCGACCCAGCCGTGTACCCTGCGGCAACCAATCGATACATGGATTACGCCGTCATCCATGTCAACCGCACCCAATACGTGCACCTCGACGCCTTCTTCCTCACCTGGCACCGCTACTTCCTGTGGCTGTACGAGACCGACCTCGAACAATCGTGCGGCTACTGCGGCCCCTTTCCCTACTGGGACTTTGCCTCCACGGCATCGGACCCACGCGCCTTCCCCATCTTCGACGGCTCCGAATACTCCATGTCCGGCGACGGCGTCTACAACGACACAGGGCCCATCACGCTCGGTGCGGAGTTGACGATCCCACACGGCACAGGCGGCGGGTGTGTCACGACGGGTCCCTTCGCCAACCAGGTCGCACCCCTCAAATTCATCGACCCCAGCCAACTCATTCAGGGGACCCTCCCTGCCGACGCGTTCGCGTACAACGACATCTGTCTCATGCGCGACCTCAACGCCTACGTCTCCCAGACGTACACCAACGGCACGGAACTCGTGGCCGCGGCGCACGCAACCAACGCGTCCAACTTCGAGTTCCTCCTCAACGGCGTGATCGGGTCGTCAAGCCTCGGCATCCACTCGGGCGCCCACTTCAGCGTGGGCGGCCAGATGGACTCGATCCACGTCAGTGCGCAAGACCCGGTCTGGTATCCCCTCCACACCATGATCGACAAGGTGTACTGGTCATGGCAGCAGAATTACCCGGAACTGGCGGATCAACTCGATGGCAGTACGGGCACGGCGCTGAACACGCCGCCCAGCGCCGTGGTCACGCTCGACTCGGTCGAGCCCGACTGGGGATACTTCCAGCTGAGTCCCATCAAAGTCAGGGAGCTGATTTCTACGACGGGCGGGCCGTTCTGCTACCAGTACGATAGCGTGATTGGATGAAGCAGGTCGTGGACGTCACCTGGTGGGAAGCATGCAATGTCAGGGTGTATTGTACTGCGATTTAATTGGAACAGTGCTGCCTTCCTTCCTACTTACCTACCTTCCTTTGCATTGGGCTTCTCGAATTTCCTTTGTGCGAGGTGGAGTGACACCTCTTCAGCTGCATGCGAGTGTGATTATTGATTATTGATTATTGTGCGCTGTGCGCTGTGCGCAATACGCGACAAAACAGCACGACACGACGACCCCATGTCAAAGCATTGCCACGGTCCCTGGTTTCACAGATTTTGGGGTTTTCAAACGGCGCTGCCATTACGGCGTCACCGGCGTTGGGCAAGGGAGCGGGAAGTCGTGCTGCGCGGGACGAGATTGCAGGATCATGCACGGCGACGCACATGTATGTACAAGTAATCATGGTTTCATTTCATGCCGAGCGGGATGGATTCGGAATCGGACGGCGGACGCGGAAGGAAGGAAGGAAGGAAGCGATGGGGGGAGGGTCTCGAGACACGCAAATGCATGCAGATGCAGATGAAGATGAAGAGGCAATAATTAAATACCTCGTACACCCCGTATTACAGTAGTAGTCCGCTTTCGTGTAGGTGTGTGCACGTCCAGTGCATACCATAAGTATGTACTCTGTACAAACGTCTTTCCAGGTTTAGGTGTAAAAAGCCAGGACATATTTGTGATCCGTGTCGACCAACGCGTGTCGCTGTTCTTGAGATTCTTCCGCATCTGCTGTATTGTTGGCAGGTTTTCGATTCTTCTAGTCTCTTATTTACTTGCTTGCCTACTTGCTTGCCTCCTTATTTACTTGCTTGCCTACTTGCTTGCCTCCTTATTTACTTGCTTGCCTCCTTATTTACTTGCTTGCTTTCTTGCTGATCAGTCCACACGACACGGCATGGCACTCATTGCTTATAACTATTGATATCCATACAGTATGGAGACAAGGATGGCAACGTACATGGCTCGACTCGAAACGCACTTGTCTACTCGAATATAGCTCTACGCAATGCAGCTAGCTCACGGTATCCGGCGCGCCTCACATCGTCACCAATTCCTCGTCTTGAGCCTGAATTGACTCATCCACCGTCGCTCGTCGGCCTGGCGCTCCAGTGCCTGCCGCATAGTCTTGGAGTACTCTTCTTCCTTCCTCTCCTGCTCTTCCTTCTGCTTCTTCTCGTCCGCATTCCCCTCCATCTCATTGACCATGTCCTCGTGGTTCATGTACTGTGGATTCGTGGTCACGATGCCGATTTTCTCGCCCGTCCAGATCAGCAGGTCGCCATCACCTCTTACGCCTCTTTCGGAATCAGGTTCGGCTAGGGGAATGATCTTGCGAGCGACGAGGTCACCTGTCGTGAAGGCCGAGGTGGCCATGCCGTTTGCGTTCCCTATCTCAAAGGCGTTGATGTTCCACCTGCGTGCCAGGCTGTGGCCGTCCCGCTCCACCCACTTCAACCCGCCCTCAGAGTCGGAGAAGACAATCCTCATGCCCTGCGCGGCGACGGAGAGGATCTTGGATTTCGCAGCGTCTTGCCGGTTTTTGTAGCTGAACAGGCCGGCGTCCGACGGAGACGTGGATATGCGGGAGCGAGATTTGCCAATGTCGACATCATCGTCTTCTGACGGGGTGTCGCAAGGGGGCGGATGGTGCTGCTGGTCTAGTTTTACGTGCGGTAGGGAGTAGAGTTCAAGGGAGCCTCGACCACGATATTCCCCGCATGCGACGAGCGTGGATAAGCCGGTCACGTTCGAGGATGATCCGGCCGGAGGGTGGGGGATGGATGTCATGGCGGAGAGACTGGCGCTGGAGTGGATGACGTACTGTAATCGAGGGAAGAACCGGCGATCGTAGGACAGGATGCTGGGAAATCTGCCGCAGATGAGGATCTCGTTCTCGGCCTGATGAAGGATGTTGAGCGGGCCGGGCTCGACTTTAGCAAAGCTATTCCATGATGGGTTTCGCAGGCTTTGGGGTGGTAGCCAGCTTGGCGAGCTGGAGAGTTGTGCGGAAGGGAGAGGGTTGGATGAAAAGGGCGACGACCTTCTGAATATGGCGGGCAGGACCGAGGAGTCCCCCGGTATATCGGTGAGCAGCAATGACGACTTTCCGACTATGTCCGGGAGCATGGCCGTCAGCCTCCCTGGCTGGGCTGATATCTCTTCCGTGCGTTCTTCCGAAGATGGAGAGGAGTGGTGGACAGGCACTCGCGGATCGAGAACATGGAGACTCCATTGGGTGCCTACGGTCAGCGGAAGATCCAGCGGCCCTGGTTGCGACAGAGCCGTGATTGGGTATGGGTAACTCGAATGCGACAGCACTGTGAGAGTGTTGAGGTCGATCTCCTCCACAACGCTGCCGACGGCCACATAAGCTTTCTGCTGCGAGGCGAAACTGCTCACGCAGTCAACGACCAAATTATCGCCCGTGTGTCGAGGGCCGACAGGTAGCGTAGACGTTTGCAGTTTGCTTCGTCCCAGTTCCCGGAATTTTCTCCGTCGAGTCGAGGCCCGGGTAAGATCCCAGACGCAGACACTATGGTCTTCCAGGTATCCGACCACTAGTTCGGTCCCCGGGAGCAACGATATGCCTTTGACCTCCGTGTGTGCTGTGGCATCGTCGGCAAGCCAGTCCGCGCTCAACGGGGCGTATCTGCCCTTGTACTCGGAGTACCAGTCGACTATTTCACCTTCCGCTGACAGATCCCACCGGTTGACGGCACGGGCTCGGGCACTTTCAGCCACTCGTTCTGATCCATGGCTGCTTGCCGCGGAGTGTCGGGGTTGGGCAGGTCGCTCTGAGAGAGTCAGACCTTCCAGCGCATTGGTCAGGGTGTTCAAGATACTACTGGTCTGCCTCATCGACGCGCTTGGCGATTTCTCGAAGCATTTGTACCTCCACAGAGGATTGGAATATGCCACGTGGGACAAAGCCGAGCAAGTTCGCTGGACTGATACCAGTTCTTCGGCATCGATGTAGTCGAGGATATCAACAAGGATCTCTGCAGGGAGTCTGTCCATGGCTGTTGCGTCCAGCAGCGACTGCACGCCTATTCCGGAGATGAGGACAGCGCTCAATGCTGACAAGGATCGAATCAGAGTCTATCTCGAAGACTAGCGGCCACGGGTCAGACTGCGTGGACTCAAAGAGAGAAGATGATCGGTACTGCTTGATCGGTGCCTGTGAGATCGAGATGCAGAGGAACGACGGCGCTACTCGTAGAAGGCGACGGCATTGGCACATCAGCGGCCCCGGCGAGCCCCACCAGAAACGGGAAGTGCGTCATTGGCAGTCATGGTCTGCAGTAGTGATCCACCGTACTTTCCCCCCGCATTACGGCAATCTGAATGGCTGCGCAGCGATACTTGCAACACAAACTTGGCGGGCGACCAAAGAAGATATGCGTCTACACTTGTTTCCAAAGTACTCGTGTGGGGAGTGAAAGATATCGGTGAACCTCTGCGATTGCTGTCCGGGCATTACGGCTGCCGGCAAAACCAGCCTCTACAGAGTCCACGAGGTACAGTACTGGGTATAGCTCAGCAAGTTTGCGGGACTTTTTTGCGTGTCGAGGATTCTACTCGTATTTATTTGTGCCGCTGACGTCACCGAGATTCGCGTGCGTTTGCTCTCGCTTCCGGCTTTCGGAGTCACCACTCTTGATGCCGTCTTCCAAATGCCCATACTTACAAGACGTTCATCAAGCGCCACCCCGTCGCTCCGGAGTCACAGCGCTTGCCGGACCTCTCCCTATCATGTCGGCAATTTCCATCCCGCTCAGCTGCTAACGTCGAAATCGAACCACCTCCCCGCCGTCGACCATGTGAAGCCCCTTCTTGCATCGGCATCAGCCCTTCTCCCCAGGGCCACACCGAGCAATGCTGGCCCAGCTCTCGAGACACGTCGGACGGCGCGGCTTCCTCCCGCGACACCGCCGGTTCAGCAGGACCGTCTTCACGAAAGACCAGATCAAGACGGCCGAACTGCAAAAGACGCCTCACACGCCGAACCAAGTGGTGACCGAAGTCCCACACTCGACGGAACCGTCGTTTATCGACGTGCCGAGCCCGCTGTGGTACCACCGTCTCAGCCCCGTCAAGGACTTTTTCAGCTGGTTCAGTCGCATACAGCGGCGGAGACCTCTAGCCACGGCCGCGGCGACGTCGATGACGACATATCTGTGCGGAGACCTGCTGGCCCAAGAGGTCGGCGGTGAACCGTACGATCCCGTCCGGACCGCGCGAATGATAGTGGTGGGCAGCATGGCGGCCGTACCAGGGTACAAATGGTAGGGCCTACTACCCTGCGTAAAGAAAAGCCCAATCTCAACGTTGGATGTATGTAACTGACGGGACGTTGTTTGGGGTTGGTGTTTTACAGGTTTCTTTTCCTGGGAAGTCACTTCAATTATGCCTCCAGGTGGACCTCGATCACGGTCAAGGTGCTGATCCAGCAGTTCTTCTTTGCCCCGATCTTCAACACTTACTTCTTCGGGATACAAGCGCTTTTGTCGGGCGCACCGCCCTCCGTCGTCATACACCGTGTGGTATCAGCTGTGCCGGAAAGTGTAGTGAGCTCGGCCAAGTTCTGGCCGGCGGTGACGGCCGTGAACTTCACTGTAATCCCGGCACACCTTCGATTTGCATTTTCTGGCTTCTTTGCCGTGGTGTGGCAGACCTATCTCTCATATCTGAACAGGCGGGAAGAAAAGACCGGGCCGCAGGGGACGCTCGCGGACACGGCGCGACAGAAGTTGTACGAACATGCCCCGTCGGCCTCGGTGGCTGATGTAGCGGATGGGATTGAGCAAGACAAGCCGACGTAGCGAATAGGCCTTCGTGCCAGATAATTGGGGAATCTGCAAACAACGGCGCATCGCCGGCTGTGGAGCTTGCACGAAGCTGTGGAAGGTCTTGCGAAGAGGCATCATCACAATAGCGGCGCGTTGGCCGAGTCTCAAAGACCATGCATGGTCTAGTACACAGACACCTTGAGCCCAGGCTCATCCAACACAATCCAGTTCCCCGGCATGAATCCAACGCCCACTCTTTCGTACCGGCTTCTATTTGACTGCTGTCCCACAATGAGAACATAGTGTCTCCGCGCGTCGCCATCAGCCCCCAATTTGCTCCGCCCAATGATGACACACTTCAAGGCATGCTCCCCAGGTGGTGGCTCATCTTGATCGAACACAATCTGGTACAGAGGCTCGGACAGCTGGTCGCCGTCGCCGCACGACTGCACCCAGAAGGACCTTGCGACGGCTTCCAGATGAGTGCAAGAGCCACGACCGGTAGAAAGCCACGTCGGACCCGACGCCGGCTGATGGTTCCAGGGAGAGCGGATCTCCTTTCGTTCCCAGTCCACGCCTTTGAATGGGAGGTCCATGAACGTGATGCCTCCTTCGTACGCCATCCAAGACCACGACGGCACTACCTGCGTGCGGAAATGGATTCGTGTCATGGTTCGCACCTGCGCGTCCCGCTGCCACAGGAGGCTACGGCCCAGATACTGCTCGAAGAGACCAAAGCCGCCGTGAGTGTCGAACACACGGATCAGTCGTTGCTCCAGTCCGGCGATCGCCACAGGTTTGTCCTCCAACGCGGTGAATTCCAGCCGCGAGTACCGCTTGTACAGAGACTCGTATAGCCGGATCTTGGCGCCCTTGGGAGATTCCATTGCGACCCGAGGGAAGTTCGGATCTCCAAGGAAGTCTGCTTGGTTGCTGCGGTGCGGTGGTAAAAAAGTTTGTTAGCATGCCTCCCCCAGAACAAGACAGACCATGATGAAGGAAGCCTGAAAGGGCTGAAACTCACTTGTGCATTCTGGTCAACGTCTCGCACCGCACTCCGCAGCCACATTCCCAGTAAGTTTGCTGGGCAGTGAAATAGATTGTCCGACGTGCTAGAGCGCGTTCCTGCAAGACCCACCCACGCTTGTTCAAGGCACCTTCGATAACATGACCTTGAAAATCATCGATGGCCTCACAGACAAAGACGGGGGATCCCTCGTCCCGTCGGCTGTCGATCCGAACGACCTCTCGCGTGGGCCGATCGTCGAGGAAGCCATCCGACATCCCCGTGGCACGGGATGCAGCAATGACACAGTAGGCATTGCTAAACACCATTTCCATTCGTTCGATTTCGTTCTGCAAGTCGCCCCGGTCGTTCTGGATGATGCAGAGGCTGTCAATCCACAGGAATCGCACTCCTAGCGCTCTCGTCACGATGACGGCATCGCTGAATGTGCGAGGGAGCGCTGTAATCGGAATCGCCTGCCAGTGCTGGTCAAGGTTGTGACTCGTTGTGCAAAAGTGGCTGTGGACTGCTGGGTCTCCCCACGGATGGGATAATGCGATGTACGTCAAGTCTTCGGCCTCGTTGGTTGTCGTACGCTTGCCGGTTTCGTGCAGACGTACTGTTGGAGCGTGCGGATCAGTCCCGACGTCGATGAGCCGGGTCGGTGTGCCCTTCGGGTTGTGTGGATCTCGACGACAGTGGCTGTGGTATTTGTTACAGTCGTCAAGCCATTGTCGAAGCACGTGGAAATACTCCAAGCTGCCGATGGTGGGAAGTTGGGAGAATCCCAACGTTACTCTTGAGAGGCCGCTGCTTGGCTGTGTCCATCCATGGCCTGAAGGCACAGTCCCATGGTGTCAGTAATGCCCGATCTTGCATGAATCCACGTGATGAGATGTGTACGTACCTCGTCCGACCCCTCTGCGTATCGATAAAATGGGCATTCGTCCGCTCGAATGCTCAACACTCAGGCCCGAGCCTACCTTTTGAAATTCTACAGTGGCGGACGTGTCGCCACCGTCGCCACATCGCTTCCAAGCTTTGAGGAGCATTGAGCAGAGATCGCAGCTGGATGCGCTTGCCTCTAGCGCAACTAACGGCTCTCGTATGGAAATCCCGGAGTTGAAATCATGTTCTCGACAGCGGCTGCAAAGATCCGACGCTTTCCCGGGGAAGACGGATGCATAAGCCTCTCCCAGGTTTTTGAAAACTTGGAGAGCGAACCGAGAATCGTCCACAAATTCCCAGTCGTCTTGGCTCAGCTTTCATTTCAACTCAGTTAGAACAGACAGAGGAAGGCAGAAGGTCGGGAAGGGACCCCCTTGGTACTTACTGGCTAAACAGCAGGTAATCTAGGTTAGACGCGGGCGGGCTCAGGCAAATCTCGGAACAGAAAGAGCTCTGACTTGCCTCCTGCAGTGACAAGAGCAAAGACACGCCAAGTTAGCTACAGCTGGCGCAGATTATATGCTGGGTCGCGGCTCACATGCTGGGGATATATTAGCGAGGATGCGGTCGAGCGAGCGTGACAACGCTTACTCTCTGTGGAAACAGGGTCGACAGCGTCAGCTGCCATTGCACCAATTGTGTTCGGAATTGCACTCACATACTGCTGGCGATATTAGCATTTCCAGGCTTTGACGGCATCTGAGCTTTTCCACTTACGGTCTTTGAAATCGACAATACTTTGGTCAGCTCGGACATTAGACAATCGATGCTTGGGAGGCACATACATCCTGGATAACGCAGGGGCAACGTCAGTGTTTGTCCCCAATGTCCCCTTTGCTTCGTCCAGGGTGGTTGGGACTTGCTGGTGAAAACCGCATCTCCATCGACCCACTTCCCTGAACAGCCTTGATCGAAATGGGTTGGACTACGCCTGGTTCACGATATGGCCTGTGTTGGAATGCTGCACGCGGCGACAAGTGGGCCGTCGGTGGTAGCGGTACATCCTGTGCCGTTATCACGCGTGGAATCTGAACATTGGCGCGGTTGTGGCCGGTGAATAGGTATGTCATATCACGGGATCTGCGTTTGATGTTAGCAAGTGCTTCGGCAAGCTTTTCGGCGTCGATACGGCATGTCGACTCGGAGTTGACGCCAGGGCCGGGCAGGTCGACAAGAAGTAGTTTGTCGGCGACCAGCCTGATGAGATCGCCGAGCGCGGAGCCGGAGGAAGCATTGCATTCAGGGTCGTTTTCCAGTATATCCTTCATTAGGCTAGTGACGAGCCCGCTCACCTCGGCCCTTCCACCGCGGATCGTGTAATAAAGTGTATTTTCCGACTGCGTTGAAATTTTGGTGTTCAAGAACTTGTTCAGCGCATCGAGCCCATAGAGCAGCCAGATGATGGTCTCGAGGATGATACAACCCATTGCCCACATGTCATAAAGACGAGACCTTGGCCCGTATCTGTCGGTGACCACTTCGGGTGGCTCGTACTGTATCGTTCCATATTTCTGAGTTGTTGCTTGCCTTCTCTGAATGGTGTCTCTTCGGTGCTGCTTTGCCAATCCGAGATCCGCAACTTGGAGAGTCCCAAGCCAGCTGCCGTGTCTGTTGAAACGAAGGATGTTGTCAGGTTTCAAATCGCCATGACGGAAATGGCCGGTGCGGGAAGGTTTATCATCGTCCTCCTCGCTCTCGACAAGAGAGTCCGCATCGTTGAGTGTTATGGCCGGAGCATTGCTAGGAAGAGCACCATTGTGATCTTCTTTGGCATCGCGGATGTGGCTGACACGAGCTGGGGAGGTCTGGTTGCCGACGTATTTGTGTAGAGCCTCGACAGCCTTGGCCAGACCGTGGAGCTGTTCAACGATCTCCCTGACCCGATCGGCCGTCAGCTCCGGTCGACTTTCACTCTCCCAAAAATCCCGAAGAGTTCCACCGTCGGCCCACTCGAAAAGGAAGTAGTACTTCTCCGCGCGAGATATCGCAGCGATGCGACGTATAAGATGGGGGTGGTTCAGGTAGCTGATCATTTCCAGAGCCCTGGCCTCGCGCTTCCAGACCTTCTCAGCCTCATGTGCGCTGCCAGCTATATTTGTGATCTCCTTGATGGCGATGCGGATCTCTTTGTTCTCTTCCTACGCTCAGTCAGACAGGTGGGTGCATGAGCAGGGGCGGTCCTACCGTGGGAAAAATCCGTTGATGATCTGCGCGAAGATATACCTCTCGCACTTCGCTGAAGTGGCCTTTCCCGGAACCGCCCCCTCGCCTGGTGAAGGGCAACACGATTCTTGGATCGAGGTTGTGCTCGAACTTCTCTTTTGTGAACACCGGGGACAAGAACATCCACTGATCGCTGTAGAGCTGGCGAATCTTGTCATGCTTCCATTGCTTGTGGTGGAGGGCATCCAATGCACGACTGTGAGAGCACTGGGTTACTGCGGTCAGTCGAGAGTGCTGTTCTCGTCCCGGACTGCTCCGGTTGTAGGAACACACTCCCTTCTCATTGATGTTCGGAATAGGAAGGTGTCCATCTGTGAGTCCGTGTTTCCTGAACCTGGTCATAGCGGAACTCAGTTCTTTTCCAAATTCTTGAATGTATACCACGATCGCAAAAAGCCTCGGCGCATGGTCTGAAACGAACTCAATCAAGTCCTCCTTCACACCCGGCATGCAAATTCTGATGCGGTCTCTATTGATCAGTTGCTTGAACGAGCTCTCTGGCAAGAAATCTTTGTGGTCGAGAGGATTCATGACCATGTGTTCGGAAAGTAGCCCTCGTAACTGTTTTTCGGCTGGCTCTTCGTTGTCAGACTCTTCGGGACTGTTCGTCGCACTCTCGGACCCGTACACGGCGTTCATGACGGCCGACAGACTCGAGTCGAGACCGTTGAGGGGTGTCGCGTCTAGCAACGACATTTGATACGAAAAGGATGGGGTGGAATGGATAAACTGGTGTACGCGCCGAGGAAATGAGAAACTGGGCATGCAGAGAATCATGAGAAGGCAGGCAGCACGCAGGCGGGCCACAGGGAACGGCTCGCCCTTCCACGATGCAAATCCATGCCCGGCCCGGCATGAGGCTCTGCAGCATTCCAGGTGTTGACCGTCTAGGATCAAAAGCAGCCCTGGCAGGGATGTAGCTGCAGCTGCACCACACCGCTGCAAGCCCTAAGATACTGTACCGCTACCTGATTTGCGAAGGACTTGGCCCCGAGTTACAGGGTCTGCTCATGGGGCGCGGCTGGAATGGCTGCCTCCATCCCTAGCTTGGGGGGCAGCGTACCTAATCAACGGATGGTCCCCAGGAGCCAAATCGAGACCGGTGTGACTCACTGGCTACATCATGGAGATGATTGGTGGTTCGACAACAGCTGGATGCGGCATGATTGCGTGGTGATAAGCCAGCCAGCAGACCCTCTCAGCACGTCTCGTGCACACGGTTGGCGTTCAAGCTGTCGGCGATTGAGCAGTCGCTGTTTGTAGGGCAATGGATGGTGAATATACATGGATCTCGCATTTCGGCACCGTTCAACACCTACCAGCCCATGGAGTGAAGACATGAATGGATTCAGGGCACTCAGGCTGGAGGGTCCATTCGTTTGGCCCGGTGTCCACCATGTCCACTTTCTGGGGAGCCACGGCGCGACCCTGGCATCCAGAGACGAGGTGGGCACGCTTCTGGCCCAATGTGGCGCTCAGCTGAAGTCCTCGATGCGTGCGATCGCGTGGACTATGCTGCAAACCCCTCATTTAAGAGGTGCGAGGAGGGCATCGTCTCGCCAATCAGATTGCGCGTAGCATCGAGCTCGCCAGGGTATGCACGATTTCCGGAGTAACACCCAGAGACACCTGGAGATGGCCGCGCCAGCTCGAGCATGCACGGTGGGAGAAATGACAGGTAATGAGAGAGTCCTGGGAGGGGAAAAGGTATCGCTTCCATGCGAGGCAATGCAGGGCTTGATTGACTTTTTTCGGCCCTGCTGGGCAACCTGGTTGGGTAAATAACGGTGGTGTCTCTGCGCAAGTCTTAGATTATGACGCCGGGCTGGTCTCTATGTCAAGCTTTCGCAGGTTGAGGCTGAGTTGTGCTCTATTCGACAGGATGCGCTGTCGATTGGTGTCATACCCATCAACCTCAGGCTCCCGCTGTCGATGCGACGGGTCATGCCATGCTTCCCGTATCGGCTGAGTTGGCAGTCTAGCATCCAATAGAACACGCGGACGCAGAGAATCGGGGCGCTGATGAGCAGGCTGCATCATAGTCGGTAGTGAGTCCATCCTGGCCACATGCACGCACGAATCGGTATAGGTCGCCGGGTACCAGTTGTGTTTTCCCAGCCTCTCCCAGCCTCTCATGTTGTCAGTATCCTGCTCTTGTAGACTTGTCATCTCTTACTGCCACAACCTCTTGCCGGCTGTCCGCGCGCACCGACTTCAGCGGACCCAGATTGGTGTACGAACCATCTTCGCCGGATGAGGGCGCAATGAGCGTACCGGCCCGCATTCCGGACGGCTGAGGCGGCGCACTCTGTCTGCCTGGGCGTTATCGTCGTTAGACGGATGATCCGGCTCGCTTCCGCAAATGGGCAATACCAGAGTATGAGGTCAAGCATCAAGCACGAGTACTTAAGAGTGAGGAGTACGTACCGTATAAATGATTCGTCCACTAAACAGCATCCCCCTAATGGACACCATACCTAGAAAGGGAAGGTGGGGCCAAGTTTTAGCGGCTCAGTCGTTATTACCAAACGTCTCTAATGCGACTAGTGGCAGACAAAGGCGAGAGGGACGGAGTAGCCCGGGTATCAAAGTACAAACATACGGAGTACTCGGACTTCCATGCTGTGTACACACACACGTACATAATGTACTAAGCCAGTCGGACTCGATCCAGATAACACTGTACTGATCGCTACGAAAGCGACGCACTCGCCCTCCTAGCCGGATGGATATGCGACGCACGAGGGGCCAAATGCGCGTGCACTTCCTGCCGGTACGACCGCCGAACGTGAAGACGACGCAGCGAGAAGTCGAGCTCGACCAGGCCGAGGCGCGAGTTCATGCCGCGACGGTCTCCTCGAGATGGCGACAATATGCGGCGCCGCCAGAGTCGCTGGCTGATTCGAAGGGCCGAAACAGCAAGGGGAAGAGGACCGGTGGTCGCACTCGTAGCGCAAGGTCCCGACATCTCACGGCGCGGCACTTTGACAAGGAAAACCGGCCAGGCCCGATTCAGGAAGACACGGCACTGCGAGTCCAGGTCGCCTACCCCGTGATTGAGCGCGGGAAGAGTGGCAGGTTGGACCCGTTCATTCGACTCGCCGGAGAGGATGACCTGTCGAGGCGGGATCGTGATCTAATCCACTTTTGTGAGTGGCTTGTTCTGCTCAATCCTGCTCTTGCCTACGAGTACCCTACTTTACCGTGTGCTGCGTTCTCTATCGTTCCCTGGCCGTGTTTTGTTACTGCGCCCCGTTCTGTCTCAAGTCTCGACCTCCAAGTTCAGACCTGGCGGTAAGGTGAGTGGACTAGACTAAGATGATGGTTTCGAAGATCTCACTACCGGTCCCGCCCAGTATGGCACGTCGGATCGCCCGTCCTTCTGCCCCACGCGCGATTGCACCGTCCCGCAACTCGCCACCAACGCCGTCTACGTCCGGTGGCTGGCCTTCGTGGCCGAGATGATGACCATTTCCATGACGAAAACCGACACTCTGACCGGCAAGATGGCCATCGCGGCGCGACGCGCCACGAACTACAGACTTATGCGCCGGATGATGGCGGACGCTGACAATTGGGACCGGACCTCGACCGTCTTCAGTTTGATCGTCGCTGCGATATCGGAGTTCAGAGCAGGAGACGCGTCAGTGGCGAAAAAGCACCTGGCCATGGCGACTGGGTTGTTGGAGCGGAAGCGTGGGTTGATGACCATCCAGGAGATGGAGTTTACAGAGGGGGTGATTATCTTATACGCCTTTACGAGTCTTCAATTGCCGATCTTGGAGACATCGGCCAGTCTGGCGGGTGCTTTGGAGCGATGGAGAACAACGACGTCGATGCTCAAGAGTGAGAAGATGCAGGGGGCAACAGTGCCTGGACGCTTGATCACCGAGCTTGCGTTGCCGACAAGGCCGCAGTGGGGACCACAGTTGGCGTGCCTACACATCTTGAACTGTATTCTTTCAAGGTGCAGCGAGGAGGATGGCCAAGAGTATGTCGAGAACCTTACGAGGATGACGAGCGGTAGCCGAGGGACCGGTAAGCTCGCTCCTGTGGCGATATTCTTCATGCTCTGCTCGTGTGCAGAACGCATGGGCTGGTGGCACGCACGGACTGCAGGTCCCTTGACGACGTGGGAGACGATCGAACTTATCGCCTTGATGTACTTTGCCCCAAGGAAGAGAGTAGACTTCATGGCCTTTTTAGCATCGAGAATCCACAAAGGGCCGATGCTTGACTTGGACATCAACGAGGTGGAGGCCGAGATCGTTTTGAATTGGGAACTGAAGCATGGAAACCACGGCGGTGCATTCGGCTGAGTCGACTACGGCTTTGAAATCAGCGAGCAAGACGGAGAAGATCTCAGGAGAGATTTAGAAGCCGCAGAAACGCCTGAGCTACGAGGGCCTTGCAGCAACGAGGGCAGCCGAAGGGGCCGACCGCCGACGTCGACGACGACACACATCCAACGGAACTTGCGGGTGCCCAGACATCGGTACCCGGGCACCGGTGTGGGGGGCACATCATCGTGATACAGTCCAAGGTCGACCCAGCCTAGCATCGAGTATGTTTTACAACCCAGCATCGTAAAGCAATCGTGGATCGTTGCCAGCTCAATTCGGCGAGGTACGAGATTCTGTGTACTCCCGTTCATACTGTGCTGCCACCATTCGATTGGGAGATTTTGGTCTTCGGGAACGCAGGTCATGATTCGGCCTCGTGGAGACAGGGACTCTCAAAGAATTGTATGGGCCGCTTATTTGAGTCGGGGAGAAGCAGGTCAACGAGCGGGTCAGCAGGGGACCGTGCTGAAGGCCTTGCGGATAGCTCCATTCCGCAAGAGCAGCACCATGCCGCAAACTGTCCCTTTTCGAATTTATGAGTTCCACGCTTCCCAACTGCTTGAGACCCGATGCTCCGCGAGGAACAGTCCGTTAGTTGGTGCGGCTTCATCAATGCCCCTCCCCTGGGTATTGACGCTGGCACTGTCGCCCTGTGCAAGGTTCGGCATTTCTGATGAATGAGCGCGGAACGGCGATCAGGCTTCTATCAGGGCTCTCATCTCCACCATTTGTTGCAGGCGAGCGGCAGCCTCACCAGTCTGCGACACTCTACCTGTGTTGTGTTTGTCTGTTTGAGGATGCTGTAGATAGATTGAATGGCCCATGTAGTCATGCCGGCACCTTCGTCGCGTTCGGGGCGGCATCTTCGGAACAACCTGACATTCCTTGAAATACAGTAATTACTGTCCTCCTGGTCCCGACCTGGCCGAAGGCTGCCGCATGAGCGCATCGGCTTGAATCTGCCCGCTTACCCGCCGGCCGCAACTTGGACAGTCTCGTAAATCAGCCCTGACCAGGAGGCCATTCTCAGGCGGCAAGGCTGTGCTCAAGCCCTTTCAGAGCTTACATCTGCAGTCCGGCCTTTGCCTTGCAGCAGCTCCGTATAGCTCTTTGGACGGAGAGTGACTGATCTTAAGAGCGCATGCTCCGTGCTCTCTGTCGTTTCCATATGTCTCGTGTATAGTAGAAACCATTACTGACAGACATGCAACTTGTTACCGAGTACCTCCTTTGGATCATAGCCACACCCCTCGTGAGCGAGATCCCTTTTCACATCCTTGAACTCGTCGACGAGGAAGACGGCGCCACCGTCGACCCGGAAAGTCAATCTGAGCAGAGAGACCTAGAGCCAGTCCATGACGATAGCGCCGAAGGCTCGTTCGATCGCAAAGACCCCAAACCTCATTTCAGCACTGGCAACCACGGCTCCGGCGACCCTCATGATGACAACACAGCAGCAGCAGCAACGCGAAGGAACACGTCTTATGGCACCATGGCAGCAGTCGTGGCCATTCTTCTCCTTTACATGCTGTGGCGGGTGATCAGTTTCACTTGGGTAGTGCAGCTTAGCAACCAAACAACTCTGATATATTGGTGGTTTTACTTGATCATGCCTCTGGGAACTGCTGGTTGGCTTCTGTACGCGCTCAGTGCCTGTGCGAGATTCTTCGTCTACGTCTTCCGTCCTCGCTGGTTACCGGAGGGGATACCACTCCGCGTGCAGGCGTTTGAGGCATGCGGTGCGGTTTTGACTTTGACGATTCAGCTATTCGTTGTTGGTGTCGCTTGCGTCTCGGTCAAAATTCTGGTGTATAACAATCTGGTCAAGCTGCTTGTCGTCATTCTTGGTCGCGGGAGTTCATGAATGCTTGGAACGTTCGTGGAGTTCAGGTACAGCGGGATGACCTTGCTGGATGATGATGAGGCGGCCCGAACAAAGATGTTACGTACTTCCGCACGCCGCCCAACTTTGCTAGCCGCTCAGTCTGGTCGTGCCACTCGGTCTACTCTCGCCTCCTAGACATATGAAGGCATGTGTCTTTGGGCCTGGCGGAGGTGCAACGAGGAATATCCCCGGATCGGACGGTCGGAGAATAATGTACTTCTGGCAAAGGAGCGGGACATGCGACATCTTCTGGTGTCCACCGTCGTGTTCGTCGACGTTGGTTGAGCCGTATTTTGAACGATCTCAGGCTCACAGGAAACGACTTTACCTGCCAGAACGGCGGCACAGGAATCACAATGAGGCTGCTGAAGTAGCATAGCTTCCTGGTTGGCACACCGTGTGTACAGAGTACACTAGCTACGTATCGACAAACGCCAGCGTATTGCTTCAGGCAACAATGCTGTACTGTCCTTCGCTGAGTCTCTTCTCCTTTGGGCAGTTTCGGAACTCGGTCTGTTGGCAACGGAATTGCGCGAGGCCTCGCCTGGATGAGCATATCACATCATGAATCATTGCTCACTCGTGTCTACTACCAAAAAGAGCGTCATATTGTCGTCACCGACCAGCATGGGTGTTCAGACACTGCCTTCGACACCGACATTTGGACTTTTGTCGGACTGGTGAGGGCCTGCCCTCGGAGTGCCAGCGGATGAGGAGCCAAGGCGCTTGGCCGACAGGACAGACTGGCGTCTCTCGGGGACTTCCCCCTGTTCCCTAAGCAAGGCAAGGGTCTTCTCCGCTTCCCAATTCCAGATACTGTCTGACGCGAAGAGCAGATTGATTTCTTCGAGCGTGCGCTGAGAGGTTTCCGGGTAGAGCGCCCAGATCATGGGAATGGTGATAGCGTTGCAAGCAGCGAAGATGTACAATGTCTTTTCGCCGAGCTGCTGGAACATGATGGGGCACAGCAGCGTCAGCCAGCCGTTGCCGATGGACCAGCCTATGACACCCCATGCGTTGCCCTTTGCGCGAATCTCCAGGGGAAAGATTTCGGCCGGATATAACCAAGGAACCGTTAACCAAGTGGCACCGAAAATAAAGGTGAAGATGTAGACCATGGCCACGGCGGCATTCCCGTAGCTGCTGGCCCTGCTGAGGTCGCCGTCGACACGGGCATTCTGACCGAGTCTGGAGAACCCGCCAGCAAGGGCCATGGCGATGCCTTGCCCGATGGAACCCCAGTAGCAGGTCCATCGACGACCTATCCTGTCCAGCGTGAAGACACAGATCAAAGTCGAAAACATGTAGAAGATGTTGTTGAGTCCGGCAATCCATTGGCGTTTCTCGGGACTCATCCCCGCAATGCCAAAAATGGTGGGCGCGTAGATGGTGACGCCCGCAATACCGATCCATTCTTGCATGATCTGGAACCAGACGACGAGCTGGACTCGCCTGCCAATATGCAGCTTACCGGAGCGGGCGCCGAAGAGCATATGGAGGTACGATTGCTTGCGGAAGTTGTTGCGCTCATACTGGGTGGATTGAATAATGTCCTGAAGTTCCGCTTCAGCTAGCTCCTTCTCCTCAGCAAGTGAATCACCCCGAAGTCTGCCAAGGATGTAACGAGCCTCGTCCTCCCTGCCCATCTTCACTAGCCAACGGGGGGATTCTGGGAAGAACAGAACCGCCGCTGCCAGGCCAATAAGCATGGGGATCTGAAAGGCCACCGGGAAGCGCCAGATGAAGGAAGATTCGCCGTTGCCGTAGAACGAGCATCCATACTCGAGCCAGTACGCGATGACAACACCAACGATGTTCAGGGTAAACTCGATAGCGACGAATTGTCCGCGGGATTTGTGCTCTGCCGTCTCCGTAGCCCAAACAGGAACAATAGCGTTGAGAATACCAGTGCCCCAGCCGTTGACCAGACGAGCACAGATCATCCAGGAGTGATTCATGGCCGAGCACTGCAGCGAAGCACCAACGATTCCGATAATTGCGCCGATAAAGATTGACTTGACACGGCCGAATCGGTCGCCAATGGTGCCTCCGATCAAGGCCCCTACAAGTGTTCCCAAGTAGTAGACCGCGACAATCCCTCCCTGAAGCAAAGTGTTGGTTACGACTGGGCCGCCATCTGCTCCGCGGTGACCGAAGCCCATCCGGGTATAGTAGTCGAAACTAGTATTTACTCCTCCCATCATACCCTGATCGTAGCCGAAGAATAGAATTGACAGCCCGGCGACACTGTTGATGCTAGGAGAGATGTCAGCACCCCGCTCATTCAGAGGAAGATGAACAGTGCACATACGCAATCAGAAGGCTTCGCTTCTGGAGCCGGTGGGCAACGTTCCACCTGCTGAGCTTTTCCATGATGGGCCACAAATGTTTGCAAACCTGGAGGCGTGTTGCAGGTTTTGGTAGAGACCGCGACACACCCGTAGGGAGAAAGGACCACATCTTATATGGTCTCTGAAGCAGAGACGTTCACTGCTTTCCACTGGGATATTTCCATTTTCGCCTCATCCTCACACCGGGGAGGGAAACAGCAGTTTCAGTATCCCTTCCTCATGATCATTGGCCGCGGCGGTTGCGGGCATATTCCGTGATCGACAAGCAGCATCGTGTCGTGGCGTTTTGGACTCCACTATGACCAGACGGCGGCGCAGGTTCCCTGTCTTCGGGGTCGGCATGCCTTAATTGGACAATCCGTTGTGGTTCGAAGTGCGGAGACTGCACGCAGATTGGAGCACTGCTACCTCGTACTCCGCCTGTCCATTTGACAAGCCTAAGACAGTGTCCGATAATGAAGGGATTTTCGGGCTTTTGCCAGCTAAGAAATGGCGATGCCAAAGCCGGAGAGCCTGCCAACACGCTGTCGGCTTGTGAAGGGTGTCACTTCAACGGCGGAGTGCAGGACTACCGCAGTCAATCGCACTTGTCATTTTGTAAATATCTGTGTGCGACAGGCGGATGAAGCCTCGCAGCGTTTTGCCAAGAGCTACAGCATGTGACCTCGCACGTGACACGTCCTAACATAGAAGCACTTGAGCCACTCCTGCGGCGCAGCGATGACGCCATTTGTCTATATATCAAGCATGTTGGCGCGGTCAACGTGCTTGGCGGGACATTTCTGGCTCCTTTGCGGTGGCTATCAGCAGCTATAATATTGGAGCATCTCGTAAGCTTGGACATGCTCTCACGTGGCCCTCAAAGAAACTACTCGGTGTATTCTATACCGGGCCGGTCTGGGCGCCACCCGCCGTACTACAATACACTGCAGTTAAAGATGTTTTGCGAGTGTGCCTTGTACAACCGCTATTTCGAAGAGGAACCGGTATTTGAACCCACCCGAAACCGCAGCGAGAAGATGGAGATCAAGTCACGCATAAGAAGTTGCGCAATGTAGATCGATGTAAATCTGTTACACCTGCTCCGAACGTGCAGAGAAATGCCAGCATCATAAGGTGCCGTTCTCCGTACACAAAAAGCCGTCTGTAAGAATGACGAAGCTTTCGGGAGACGCTGTAGTTCCGATTGGCTGTTTGCCCACTACGCCTAGTTGGGTACTTTGAGCCTAGGACGGTGCTGTGCAGCCCATGCTGTGTGCACAGTACTCGTACGCAGTACATGTTAGAACGTTGTGCGAGTAGCAGAAACTCGTCTGTTACTGGGTGGCTAGGGTCATTCTAATTAGAGCGGCGACACCTTTTCGTACAAGCATCCACAGAAATTTTTCGCTATCTGCTACAGTAAGATCGGATGTCAGGATTCCTGGCGGCCGCATGGGATGCTCTGTCGGGCACAATCCCTCCCGCCACGGCGCATCTGCGGCAATTCGACTGCATGAGCTCTGATAATACTGCAGGGACGAGTGAGTTGTCTGGGGGCCCGTGGTGGCTCGACACATGTTGCAGTTTTTATTGGTTGTGGTCGCCGGTCCGTCGACTGGAAGCCGCATTTCTACAGTTTCCTCAGTCTTCTCCTCACTCAACAAAGTAGTATAGTTTGACATCGTGGCAATCTGGTAGGTGGCAAGCTCGGGTCGATGAGTACGGAAGTTGCTTCGTATACGAGACCTAGCGGCTTAAAGGCGTACCTCGTACTACCAGTATACTTCTAGGGCAACTTTACCGAGGCTATGACGACCATCCCAGCACCAACGGCGTTGCAGCTTGTTGGTTGGTCCGAAGCACTCAAGATGTCCATGTAATTGACCTGAATACTTCCTGCCCGGAACAATATCTGTGTCACACCTGCAGCAGGGGTCATCAGTAACATGTCTCGCCCCAGCAAAACTGCGAGGAGAGGCCCCAGTGTCTTGGTCAGTCGCTCCCATGTGAATCACGATGCTGCCACTGGACACCACTAACATTGAGCTCGGCCAGGTCTCTGACTCTCGAGAAGCCAGGCCGTTCCCGCCGCCTCGAAGACAACCGTCCCGATTCATCACTGTCGATAGCGTCTTGCAGCATGTCTCCGATGTTCCGTCGGCTCAGATGCGCGTGCCTCAGCGACCTCGACCATTCAGAACGAACTCAGGCAGACCTGTCGACCCGAGACTCACCGGCCGATTCGTTGGTCCTGTTGGCCCCCGAATGCCAGCTCGCTCCACGAAGACATCTGAGAAGCTCGTCTTGCTTCCCGAGGCTGTCGAGGAGGACGACGAGAAAGGCGAGTTCGGCCCTGGCGCCGACACCGACAAAGGTCCTCCCCGGGACGACGAAGACTACCGCAAACCGGGGGGGGAGCGATTCAAGAGCTACGCTGAGAGGTTGCCCAAGTCAAGACGGACGGAAAAGGAGCTCCCTAGGGTCACGGCCTACTGCACGGCACAAGCATACAAACTGCAATCCACGGCAACTTTCGTCCGCCAACGCCATGGCGCCCGAGCGAAACTCTACGACGACTGCTTATACTGCGCATATCACCTACCCTTAATACCAGGCAACGATGGATACCGCCTTCGAAGCAGCCCGCCGGTTCAGAGCGCGAAAGGTGGGACGGTCTTGGATGAGGCCATTGCGCGTAGTGAGCAAAGAGACTATCGAGAGCCGTATTATGCCGAAGAGGAGGAGCAGCATTCCGTGAGAGGAAATTACACGCCAGATGAGCAGCCTGTCGACCTGGATCGCAGTAATGCTGACGAGCTGGAACCACCCCGGCTCAACGGCCAGCGCAGAGACAGCAACCATTCACAAAGGTCAAACAGTCCAGGTGGAGGCCAGTCGTTTGACGCCTACCGGTTCGCCGAGATGTTCGTCTTCAGCTATGGAGTGGTGGTGTTCTGGAATTTCAGCGAGAGGCAGGAAAAGGATGTGCTGGCTGACTTTGCCTTCGCGACCATTGTCGACCCGAACACCAACATCGTATCTCCGTTGACTCTCACAACAAACGCCTTGGAGGAGGAAGATTTCGAGACGGAGGAGTTCCATTTCGAATACAACAACGAGATCTCGCGGCCTCGGGTCTACAACGACATGATCACGTTGCGCACTGGCGATCACATGATCAAGCTGGCCATCAGCCACGCCATCGCGCAGAGCACCAAACTGGGCTTCTTTGAAGAAGCAATGGCGGCTCAGATGGAAGCTGCCAAAGACGTCCCCGGCAAGCTCGCCAAAACGGGCGAGCTCGGCATGAAACGAGAAGAGGTCATCAAACTGCTCGGCGGCTTGTTCAAGAGTCGAGTGGATGTGAATTTGTGTAAGTCAGCTCTGGCTCTTTGCTCGGCTATATGTGGCTGACCGATGCTTACCTGCAGCCTCGAATGTGCTGGATGTCCCGAACCTGATTTGGGATAGCGAGCCGACCCTGCATCCACTGTACAACGCAGTCCGGGAGTATCTCGAGATTAAGCCTCGGATCCAAGTGCTAAATGAACGGTGTCGGGTGTTCCTCGATCTGGCCGAAGTGCTGTCAGACTACATTTCCGACAACAAGATGTCCCAGATCAACTGGATTATCATAGTGCTTATTGTCATCTCCATCCTCGTGACCTGCAGTGAGGTCTTCCTACGCTTTGGAATGCTGAGTACGCGAGGAGGTGGAGCCAAGGATGGACAGGCCGTGCACGTAACGTTGTCAAGCAACGTGTTCTAAGCCATGAAGAACTGGTCAGCGGTGCCCACGTGGACGGATGCACTGGGTATCTTGTTTATCATCTAGACGAACTGGACTAGTAGCGAGGAGTTGGAAGGACGGCGTCATGCCATTCCACGTGCATTAACACACGTCGCTTTCTTTTGCTTGTGCAGTTCGAGAGTGCATTATTGGCAATCGTCAGCCCAGTTGTGCTCGGCAACGCCAGGGCGACTTCTGGAAGTTCGCGCGCAGATTGCAGGTGGCAGCAGGGCGCAGGTGGAGGGGCGTCACGCACGCGACGTAGAGATTGTGGCAAAGGGCAATAGGAATGTCGTGTGCTTGTGAGTGGTCTACTCGAGATATCTCGTCTATCTCTTGTCGCCCGTTGGTGCCCTCATTACCCACTGTCACGGGCCTCAAACTGCTTGCAGCTGCCCAGAACGCGGAGGCGACCGAAGCGTGGGAAATGGATAACCGGCGCTGACAGGGAAGAGATCGAGGACGCCGTGTCCGATTCGCCCGTGGGAGGAGAAGGCAGGTCAGCACGGGGAGTCGAGGTTGCATTCGCCCGGTGACCGCGAAGGGGAAGCAGTGGGAGCAGGCCATTTGAGCCTTGTGGGATCAATATGCACTTTGCCCTTATCACTTGGCAGGGCGCACGGAGGGTCGATTGCTGGGCCGAATGGTCGAACTGCCAGCTTCAGCAAGTCAGATCCGTGACTTATCACCACCGTTCGGTTCGGGGGGGTTGAAGCGAGAGATAGACACGCTGCTGGCGAGGGCATGATGCATCGCCTGGAGCGTCCACGAGCCAGACCTCCGGGCATGCCCCCAATCCAGAGCCAAGGCTTCTAGCGCTGCAACCCTTGAGCCCTCAGTGGCGTTTGGGCGACGCCTATCCGCCGCGATCCCGCCAGTCACAGGCCTGGAAGTCTGGGTGCCGCGGTTGGCGGGGCAGATCATCCACTGCCATCGCGATCCACTTTGAATTCACGTTCGCACAATCGACAGTTGAAGCGCTGTGAAGCCCTGGTCAAGCTCGTCGGAGCTGCCATCCCTTTACGGCATGTCGACGATAACCGTCCAGCGCTGCTGCTCACTGGCCGCCGCTGCAAAATACATAACCTCTCCACCATGTCTCCCTGGTTGATCACTTTCGTCGCATTTGTGCCCGTCCTTCTGTTGGCACTCTCCTTCCTGCGGTCCACCGTCTTGTCCAAGTACCTCGACGACAAGTACGAGCGCAGACAGCCTCCAGGATGAGTTCCAATCCAGACTCGATTGACCCCAAAGACACCCGGGGGGTCCAAGACGACGGTGTCCACGCCGCCCACCCGATCGATGCTCCTGCGCAGGGCGGTGAGCGACGACGAACCCACCACGACCTCCCCGACCACGGGCACAACCTCTCGCTGCAGAAGAGCGTCGACGAGAACCCCGACCTGACGCTGCGCTACTCCCATGAGCATCAGCACCAGCACCTCCACCACGGTCGTACCTCACTGTCCGGCAAGCGCGATGAGGTCCTCTATGCTGAGGGCACTACCGCCGACAACCACATGGCCTTTGTCAACAACAACCCTCAAGATTACCTGAAGCATCAGCTTCGCAAGCCCTCGGAGCAGATCAACGAGAAGGATTTCAGCAACTCAGACGACGCCGAGAAGGGAACCGTCGACCCGACGCGGGTCATGACGAACGGCTCGGACGATGGCCAGAAACATCGCATCTCGCGGTCTTACGCGAAATACAAGATCTTCGTGCACATTTTCATCTGGCTGTTCTTCACCGGGTAAGTGCGATAGGGTCCGTTGGCGTCGAAACCCTTACTCATTGACTCGTGACAGGTGGTGGATTGCCGGCCTCGTTCTGCACCGCACAGACAACCTGGGCTGGCTGAAACCCTTCCTCCTGTGGCTGGCCATCACCCTCCGTCTGATCTTCTTCTGGGTTCCTATCACCACCGTCACCCGTCCGATGCATTGGGCCTGGAACAACACTGGCGTGCGCGTCTACCAGGCCATTCCAGAGAAACTCCGCATCTGGCTCGCTGCACTGGTTGCGCTGGCCACCATTCTCGTCGGCTCTTTCGTGTCGGCGGAATCCGCAGACAACACGCGCGGCAACCGTGCGATTTCCCTGCTCGGTCTCGCGGTCATGATCGCCGTGCTGTGGATCACGTCGCGCGACAGGAGGAAGATACGCTGGCACACAGTCATCGGCGGCATGTTGACCCAGTTCGTCATCGCCGTTTTTGTCCTCCGCACCAAAGCCGGCTACGACATCTTCAACTTCATCTCCTTCCTCGCGCGCGCTCTCCTGGGATTCGCCGACCAAGGCACCTCCTTCTTGACCGCAGACAGCGTGATCGATCTGCACTGGTTTTTGACCGGTGTCGTGCCCCCGATCATCTTCTTCGTCGCTCTCGTGCAGGTGCTGTATTACTTGGGCATTCTGCAATGGTTCATCGGCAAATTCGCCGTCTTCTTCTTCTGGAGCTTGCGCGTGTCTGGTGCCGAGGCCGTCGTTGCTGCTGCGTCGCCGTTCATCGGACAGGGTGAATCGGCCATGTTGATTCGACCTTTCGTGCCTCACTTGACGCTCGCCGAAATCCATCAGGTCATGTGTTCTGGTTTCGCCACTATTGCGGGTTCCGTGTTGGTTGCTTATATCGGCCTCGGGCTGAACCCCCAGGCGTTGGTATCGAGCTGTATCATGTCCATTCCGGCTTCCTTGGCGGTGTCCAAGATGCGATATCCCGAAACAGAGGAGACGATCACGTCCGGACGCGTGGTTATTCCTGACGACGACGAGCACCGCGCGACGAATGCACTTCACGCGTTTGCCAATGGCGCTTGGTTAGGTATCAAGATTGCGGGCATGATTGTGGCTACACTTCTCTGCATTATCGCACTCATCGGTCTAATCAACGGCCTGCTCGGCTGGTGGGGAAGGTGAGTTCATGACTATCTGTTGTTCAAAATTGGGGCCCGCACTAACACTGCGAACCAGATACATCAACATCACCCAAGACGGTGAAGCATATCTCACCCTGCAGCTTATCCTCGGCTACATCTGCTATCCGGTCGCTTTCCTCCTCGGCGTCCCGCGTGGCGATCTCCTCCAGGTCGGTCAACTCATCGGCATCAAGGTCGTCGCGAACGAGTTCGTCGCGTATAACAGTCTCACCAGCGAGGCGCAATACATCAACATGAGCCCGCGCTCAAGGCTGATTGCGACCTATGCTCTTTGCGGTATGCTTTCCCTTCCAGCTCGATCCCATCCATCCGCATCACACAATGACTAATTCAATGCTCGATAGGGTTCGGCAACTTCGGATCCCTGGGTACGCAGATCGGCGTGTTGTCACAGATCGCTCCTTCTCGCGCCGGCGACGTCTCCCGCGTCGCGCTTTCGGCTTTGTTCTCGGGTGTCTTGTCGACGTTGACGAGCGCCAGTATCGCGGGCATGCTTGTCACGGACCAGGTCACGCTGAGCCAGGAGACCGGTTCGTAGAGGTTCGTAGAGGTTGTGGAAATATAATGAGAGAGCAAGGGCACGTCGAGGTAGAACAGAACCAAAACAAAACAGAAAAGCACCGCAGCTGAGGCTAGCGTAGCAGTGGCCTATACTATTTAAGACCCCTGTACTCCAAGCTACTGACCAGTGCTCTCTCACGTTGACTCGGAGGTCGTGTGCGTACACGGTACATACGTGTGTGAGTGTGCGTGTGTGCGAGTGCGAGTGTGTGGAACTGCAAACCCGAGATTCATATAATAAAAAAGTCCTCCGTACTCTATGAACACTAATAATCTAGGTGGTTACGATACCTACTTAGGTACCTGGTACCTTATGAGATTAACTATACCTCCTCGTTAGGTGCTCGCCTTCACTTCACTTCACTTCACTTCCAAGTTGTATTTATCTATAGCTATCGATGGATGTATGGATATAGCCCTGTGTCGTCCCGATGCCAATGTCGGCGGAATACAACAACAAAAAGAATAATACTATCAGTCCGAATCGGATCATTCGTCGTTGGCACCAGTGGTACCTACCTACGTAGTGCATTGATGGGTCGAATTTTATGATTTATTCAATATGAGGTGGAACCTAAGTACAGTATCTGTCTTTGGCGCATGTTCCGTCACAGAGACTGGTCCGCGGATGGCTTGATACGCACCACTACCGGTCTATACCTGTGCGGATTACGGAGTATACCTCTGGAATTATATAGGAATTATACCTCTAGGAATTACAGAGTATACCCCTGGGAACTATATAGTGCGTGCGATGCAACGACGCAACGACGCAACGTAGCGGAGCTATTACCACCATTTATAGGAGTCGCAGGAGACGCGAGGGACGGCCTCGGTTTTTGATGCGTGCAGTCTCCCGTTGTTCCACAATGGCAGAATCGAGCTCGTCTCGACATGACATCTCATCTCATCTCGTCTTATCCCGTCTCATCTCATCCCGCTCTCGAAATCTCCTCGCCCTGCCCGGCCGTCCTACCGTTCGCTACCTCCGCAACGCCACTGGATCCCGTATTTGTCATGCCCACGACGCCCCTCTCCTTCGCGATCGCCGCGATCTTCCTTTTCTCCCTCTCGGTCTCGATCGTGCCCATCTCGCCGAGTCCGTACCAGATCACAGTGCCCACGCCGAGCAGTCCTGCAAGGATACTGAATGTCATGGCCACGATTCCCTTTGTCTCGAACCCATCCGGTAGTGGGTCAGGGGAGACGTTGGCACCGGTAAGATCGTAGAAATTCTCCGTGTTGCCGGCTGCATTGCCGAGGGTCGGCATGGGTGGGTCCATGGCGGCGCAGGCGGCGTAGTGGTCGGCCGGAATGCGGCTAGGGAGAGTCTCTTGGAGGACGAGCGGTTGCTGTGTCTAAAGTCAGCATCGGTGAAATAAAAGACGTGAAGGACACATGACGAAGCACGGGGGCGTCTAGGGCAATGACAACAACATACCTCCACGAAAGTCATAACAAGTCCTGAATCAACGTGCCACTCGATATGGCAGTGGAACAACCACACTCCCGGGTTATCACTTTTGAATCTCATCACAATATGTCCGTTCGGCCTGACCAAGAGCGTATCTCTCCGCATGGGTTTCCGAGGAAGTACCACCGACCCGTTAATCACAGCATTGGCATCGTAATCACCAGAGTCGTCATCCCCGCGTATAATAGCTTGGAACTCGTGGCCGTGAAGATGGAAAGGGTGCTTGCCAGGGTCATGATTGTTCACCACGATCTCGATGGTTTGCTGGTGGCCTAGGATGTAGGCGTTTGTATTAACACCGTAAACGAGCGGGTCCACAGCGAGGTCTCCCGTCGTCAGCGCCGTGTACAAGGAGGGTACCTTGGGGCGGACGTAAGTGACGCCGCTGAAGAAGGCGTAGTTCTGCACGTCGAGTCAGCCAATATCCTGCTCAAAAGTGTCACCTGTGCATGAGATACTCACAGCACCGTCACCGAGGTTATCCATGAGCACATCAAGCTGAACGACCAAGTCAGGATCCTCCAAGAGCTCCTTGCCATCAGTAGGCACGAGTGTCATGTCATCAAAAGGATCAAATTCATCAATGAACTGAGGCGTAGGCATGGCCTTTTCAGCATCGTAGACCAAAAAGCTCGTGACGTTTGGGTTTAGCCCATCGGGGATGACATCGAACAGATCCTGGTCCATCGATCCTACAATGGCGAAATTCTCTGTTGTGTCATTCCTCGCTGTGAGTAAGATGCCGTACCGCTGTGCAGCGGTGACGTAAATCTGGCTGGCTTCGGTGGGCTCATGGTAGACGCCGTCGACTTCAATGATGCGGAAAGTGTGGCCCTCAATCCAAAAGTACTGTGCTGCAAATGCGGCCATGTTGATGATGCGGATAAAGTACGTCCTTCCCGGTTGCATAGGGATCTGAAGGTTCTGTGTGTCGTTCATGAGTGCCGCTTGTGGTACTAAGCAAGCAGTCAGCGTCGCCACAAATTCGTATCAAAGGCTATCTTTGTCTCACCTGGTTCAGCGCCAGTAGGATTGGTCACACTCATGAACTGCTTGACCAGCGTCCGCATCTGCTCATGGTACCAGTCCGAAAGGGTCAACACGAGCTCCTGTTCGAAGAGGTCGGCATATGGATTCTCCGGGTCATGGATGATAAGTGGCCCTCTCATGCCGTCTGGATACTGGCCATCGACGTGAGAATGGTACCAGTAAGTGCCCGGTTGGGTGATCTGGTCGGGAGTCAGCCACTGAAGGGATGCACACAGGGTTGCCTGCTGTCATACGTTGAAGTCATATGTGAAAGTAGCTCCCGGAGGCACAGGGCACTGAGTACCGCTGCCCACACCGTCCATATGGTTCGTGCCATTCATGAACAGTCCATGAAAATGGATCGAGGTAGACTGGTTCCCCAAGTCATTCTTCAAGTTGACGATGACTCGGTCGCCCACATCGGCCTCGATGCGAGGCAGGGGCCATTGGCCATTGATTCCGATGGTAGCTCTTTCAAACTGCCCATCTGGGTTTGCAGTCACCCAGCCAGCTGTAAAGTTGTACACGCGCGTTGCTGCAGAAGAAAAGGAGAAGAAGGAAGCTGCACATATGACTAGGAAGTAGGACAGTGAGAGAGCCATTGCTCCGCTCTTCCCCTTAGGAAATGTGGCAGACACAGACGAAACTTGGTCGCTGGATGAGAGGAGGGATATCGATTATCAAGATCAGATAAGATCATTCAACCCCAAGGTCGTTCAATGCCACCTACCTGGAAAAAGCAAGGCGCTGGAGAAATTCCTCGCGATCCATCGTTGCGATGCAGCGGCCGCCTCCGATACTCCTCCGATGTGTAAAAAAAGCTGAAGGATCAGGTGCGCGATGTGATAAGATGATCAGACAACTTGCCCGATCAGGAGGATCACTCAAGCGAGCCAAGACCATCAGTCGGGAACCACGTTGCGCGGGAAATGGGCTAGACATGCGGGTCGTGCATTTGGGTGTGACAAGATGCATGCAGTTCGTAAGGGATTACCAGACTTTGACAGCCTGGAAGGTAGGGGCCACGCGCGGCGGGAATTCAACGACAGAGCATACACTCCTTGAGACACCCGGATAGGCCCACATGCTGCGGGGGTCTGGTAGGCGTGAAGAGGAAGCGAGAGCACTGCCAAGGTGATGCTTGGCGACCGCCAACCTTGCTTGGCAGAAGCGTGATTATTGCCTGATCGTGGTGCGACACTGCTTTCAAGCTCTCAGACAACGGCATCGAATCGGATTTGGGTGGGAGCGACGCCAAGTATGTTGGTTGCGGTGGTCTGAGCGGATCAGATAAATGTCGACATCGGAGCATCTGATCTTATCAAGATCTAGAACCAATAGGCGAAGGGGAGAGCCTCGTATGGTCGGTGCTTTTTACTTATCTGATCAAAACTGGTCAGCAGCCGGTGAGCAGGGGCGGAGCTCGTCCACCATTTCCGTGACACACCCCTAGCTACTCCGCAAAGAATTTTCACCTGCTTTTTGCTTGACATTAGCTAGGCCTCGAGCATGTGAACATCTAGCCCGGTTCAAGCTTTCGAACAAGCGAACACCAAGCATTCGCTGTCCCGGTGTCTGTGTTTGGTATGTCGGTACCAAAGTAGGCAACCCGTAGTCGCTCGAGCACATCTCGGTTGATGCATGCCATGGAGTGCAGATCGACTCAACTAAGCCCATGTGCAAGCAAAGCTGCAAAAATCCTCCAGCTGGGGCGGGCCGAGAAGAGGAATTTTGCCGTACCGGGCATCAGCCGACTTGGGGGGACTAGCAGTCGGCCAATCAAGACGTGCGTTCCGCGCTACGGAACTGCATGGACGGGCGGGCTTCTCCAATGCCTGCTGCAAACGGAGGCTGCAGGGAGAAGTCATACTTGAGCAGTCATGTTGTGGAACCTCGTGTTGGCTGATGTTGCTGAAGAGCGACATCGGCGAAGTTTGACTTTCTGCGTGGAAAGACCGCAAGAGAATCCTAGCGTCAACTGATCGGTGTTAGTCGACTGTTGCTCTTGCTGCTATTTCCGCTGCGCTGAATGCTCCATGCCAAGACCGCAACCTCCCAGCACTCTGCTGTTTCCCTCCCGAGAGGATATCTTATCTGATCAATCTCCTCCGTCTCCCCTCGTGCCCCTTCTCCTGCAGCATTCTTTCACCCGACTACCTTAGGCAGAGGCTTTGCCTGCTTGGAGCGCGGAAATAGTTGACGAAGAAAGCCTCATTCTTAGGCACTTACCTGGCGAGAACCCAGATATCCTTCAAGATGCCCGACGTATTCGCCGTTCCCGTCTTCTTCATCGTGTTCAGAGAGACATTGGAGACCACGATCGTTGTGTCGGTTCTGCTCTCGTTTCTCAAACAGCAACTTGGACCGGACAAAGACCGGAGTGTTTACAAGAAGCTGCGCAACCAGGTACCTTCCTATTGTACTCTGTCAACAAGCTCCATCGCTTACCTTGTGCTTTCCTGCAGGTCTGGTACGGCGTCCTCGTCGGCTTCGTGATATGTCTGATTATAGGTTGCGGCATGATCGGGGCCTTCTATGGTATTGGCACCGATAGCTGGGGTTCGGCCGAGGACATCTGGGAGGGTGTGTTCGCCCTAGTCGCATCAATCATCATTGCTCTTATGGGCGCTGCTCTCCTGCGCATTTCCAAGATGCAGGCGAAGTGGAAGGTCAAGCTCGCCAAGGCACTGGAGGCCAAGGACAACAAACATGCCAGATTCGGGAACCGCTTCAAGGCATGGGCTGAGAAATATGCCATGTTTCTTCTCCCGTTCATCACCGTGCTGCGTGAAGGCATCGAAGCGATCGTCTTCGTTGGTGGTGTGAGCCTTGGTGTCCAGGCAAGCTCCATCCCGTTACCAACTGTCTGCGGTCTGCTCGCGGGCTGCGCCGTCGGCTTCCTCATCTACAAGGGTGGCAATCAAGCTCCTCTGCAATTGTTCCTCATCGCCAGCACGAGCTTTCTCTATCTCGTGGCGGCCGGTCTGTTCTCACGCAGTATCTGGTACTTCGAGACCGATGCTTGGAACAAGGCGACTGGTGGCGACGCATCAGAGAACGGCTCTGGGCCTGGCTCGTACGACATCCGCAAGAGTGTGTGGCACGTCAACTGTTGCAACCCGGAGCTGAACGGCGGAGGTGGTTGGGGTATTTTCAACGCCCTCCTTGGGTGGCAGAACAGCGCGACCTATGGCAGTGTTATTGGATACAATGTTTTCTGGATTGTGACCATCACCGGATTCGTCGTGATGAGATTCCAGGAGAAGAAAGGACACCTGCCCTTTATGAAGAAGAATGCCGGTGACGGAGCCATGATTGACAGGAAGACGAGTGACGACGAGTCAAGCAGCGTTGGTCACGCGGAAGAGAAGGGCTTGGCCGGCAAGAGCAAGGAGGTCGATAGCCATGCATGAGGCGTCCGTGTCCAGTAGACAGCGCGTTCCTACCATGGCAAGCAACACAGGAAGCAGCACGTCTTGGATATTGGAATAGAGGCCAGAAGGTTGTGACGGGTCGAGTTGCTGGTCATCGTGTCGTCGTGGGAGCTCGCTGATAGTTTGTCCGGTAATATCTCTGCCGCTGCAGGAGGAAGATCATCGCAATCTGCCGATGTTTGGGAGCAGTGATAGTTAACAGAAGCGAGAGACAGGGAGAGAGAATGAGACATGAAAAGAGTGTGGCCACGATTGTTGCTGCCCTCAGCGAGCTGTGCTGCTCATTTCACCTTCATTTCACCTTCTGCGACGCGTCACACAATTGGCTGCGTAACATGGACCCTCTGATTGGCCCAGTCACATGACTTGTGGTCACGTGATCGTGCCTTCCCACGGCACCGTCACAAAGTATAACAAAACTGGGCAATTATGGGACACACGAAACACCAACGAGCTGCAACACGCGGTGACCCCGTACGTTACATGAGCGTCCCAGTGTCGAACTTGGGTTGTCATATGGAAACTGATGCTGATAATTTGTGCTCCGATATCCCGCATCACCGTGAACCACAATACCCTGACTATGCCTCTCCTTTCGTTAGGCCATCTTCGACTTCCTCGTCCTGCACAAGCGATTCCCTTCTCTCCCATGCAGAATAGCAGTACAATGACCATCCTTCTCTCAGCTATAGTGTTGTAGCACAGATATGTTAAAGGCAGGAATGAAGATCGCTTTTCCGTATTCCAGTCCATCCTTTGTCTCCTCCTCCTTCATACTACTTACTGCGGCTGCAAACCCACCCACCCAACCGTTGCAGCCACGAGGATACGATCGTGTCATTGTCTGTCGGCAACCGAGATCTGATGCTCAGCGACACTGGAAATTCGTGCTCCACGACCGGAGAAACCGAGGATGTCTGCTGATAATAGTACCGAACGGGCAATGTTGACCGGAGAAAACTAAGGTTAGTAACACAGGGGTATAAAACAATCCGGTTACGTTGGAAACGCAGACGCAGGGTGTTGTCACAAAGAGCAACAAAAGCAAGGGGGTCTACGAGAGTTCCTGGGGAAATTAGGGCGAGTGTGGTCAGTAGTCTGGGTGCAAGCTTGTCGGCTCGATCGTCGCGCTCAGTCGTTAGGGCGAGTCAAATCCACGGCTTGGAGCTGTGGCCAGAACCAACCGACGGTGAGAGGACGGTAGCAACGTGGCAGCAATAGGTATTTACGAAGACCGTCGCCGTTTGGGGTCCGGGGTGTCCAGATCCAGGAACAGAAGCTCGTCAGCATCTTCAGCTTTTCGCTTGGCCTGCTTGGGTGTTATGGGGGGACTGAGGTTGTCCAGCGTGGGAATGCTGGCTGTTGATGCGGACTGCGGCTTTTCTTGACCATGGAGATCATCAAAGTTCGTAGACGAAACGACATCCTGTGGTGGATCTTGCGCAGCGAGGTCTTGTAAGGTCGTATTCTGGTCTCCGGCTGGGATATCTGCGGTGACATCTGGTTCGCGGACTCCAACATCGTCTTGTGGAGCGGGAAAGAGCTCCTCGTCATCGTAAGGCCCGTACCCAGAGTCCGGCTCAACAATGCCATCTTCTGGTGGGAAGACATCGTCTCCCTGTACGGGACCATGGCCGCTACCGGAGATCTCTGCGCCAGAATTACCGGCACCGTCAGCCTGGAGAGATGCCTCGTCCGGGTCGCCATCAACAGTGTGTGAACTGTTCGTCTCGTCATCACGATCCTCATACGAGCGATCAGTTTCCCCAGGTCCTTGCTCTGGCTCATCACCAGCACTTTCGGGAATTGGAACCTCGTCATACCCATCTTCTTGCTCGCCATTTCGAGGATAATCATCCCCATGAAGACCGACCTGTTCGGATGTGTCGGTACCTGCAAGGGTTTCCGAGTTGTCCGCATCTGGAGGGGGTGCATCCACTGTGGTAGCTGTGATCTGAGCAGCAGCGTCATTCTGGGCTTGGTCTTCCAAATCAAAGAGGTCTGGTTTATCACTGTTTTCAGCGATATCCTTAGACAGAAGATTGTCTGTCTGGTCGCCGGTGGCGAGTGCTTCTGCACCGGTCGAGGGATGACTGCTGTCCATTGCCTGCTTTTGATCCGCTACTGCTGTCTCTTCGTCTTCCAACTCCGGACTATGCGAGTGATCTGCAGCGATCTCGGCATACGTCTTGCCTTCGCCACTCGCAGCTGCGAGGTAGGCGTATTGGGATGCTAAACTAACTCTGCTGCTCAGGTGGCAATATAGAGGCTGGGCCTCCTGGCCTTCGTCGTTGTGGCAAAGGCGAAGATAAACATCGATAATCTGAGCTAGGGTGATTTGAGCAGCATATTTCGAATCTTCGCAAATGTGGAGACCGAGCCCAGGCACGTCCAGCACAAGCTCATCGTGATGATCCAAAGTCCCGACCAAAATCTCACGACATGCCGCAAGCAATTTGTCCAACGGCTCGAAGGCTAGCGATGAGTCAGACAGGAAATACACGCTCGACGCGTCTCCAAGCATAGGCGGAAAGAGCGACATTTCTTCTTCGAGGTAGTAAAGAGTTATAGGATGCATAGTCTTGGGAACCTCGGTGTCTGCATTGCTCTTGGCCGATACCTCATGTTGCTGCTGTCCCGGTTCTCCGGCATCAGCTGATACTAGGGACTCGTCGGGTTCGGCTCTTGCCTGGGGCTCGTGTAGCTCCTCAAGGCTACCTTGAGGTTCGTTTTGCTCTTCCGCGGGCTCAACTTGGTTAGGGTCTTCTGGGCTCCGTGGGAGAGCATCGTGTTGCTGATGAGCTTGCTCCTCGCGGGTTTCTCCTAGATACTCTTCGGAAACGTTTAGTGATTGGTCCTGGTCAAGGTTGTTGGCGAGTTGATCCCCGGTAACGGTACTGCCGCTGACTGGAAGGCTCTCTGACTCATTAGTAGGGAAGTCTTGCCGTTCGTTGGGTTCGGTTTGGTGGTCAAGGTCTTCTAAGACGACCTCAGCGGCAGCCTCCAGATAGCCTTGCGAGGTTTGATTGCTGTCGTACTCAACTATCGCATCATTCTGTGGAGGTCCTGATGTAATGTCATCTTCATCTTCGTACAAGATATCCTCATCTTCATCACGTTGCACCTCTTCAATTGAGCCATCCATGTTGTAGTCGGGATCCTGCTGTTCAGGTGGGCCTTGTCTTGTGTCATCAAACATATCATCGTCGGCGAGAGCCTCATCGAACTCGTCTTGCATGACATCGGAGACCGCGTCGGCAGCTACCGCCGCGTCATCGATCATCTCGTCCTGCACGGAGCCAATCACCGAAGATTCACGAACGGAGTCAAGCTCGATGTCGATATCGTCAACGTGCCGAAATGGCGACGAGGCCACGTCCATCTTGTCGTCGAGGTGTGACGCGTCCATGTCTGGAATTGCGAAGGAAGGGATTGCCGTCATCTCAGGCCTAAATGGTAGCGTGGAAAGGACCTTGCGCCTTGACGTAGTTTGTCGCCCGTGTCTTGCCTATAGACCAGCGATGCGGCTGCGATTGCGGTGTCTGGGAAGGGAGTGGCGGTGATTTCAAATGCAAAAGGGCGTGAACAACTCGGAAATGGTGGATTCAGGAAGCTAAGGGCTGTGGCTCCGAGCGTGTAGAGCGAGTAGCAAAGATAGCCTGCACTTTTGCTGATGCCGGTGCATGCTCTTTTGAATCATCTCATGGTTTGCCGTGTAAGCGGAAGGTGAACGTGAACCTGAAGGCAGCAGCGGCAGCGGCAGCAGTTGCAGTCGCAGTCCATGTGAAAGAATGCGTGACTCGCTGGACTCTTGCCAAGCTTTTTTTCGGCCCAAGGTGGTTAGCGCGTCTTGGCACCGTTTGTGTTTCGTTTGCGAAGTCTCACCTGCTTCTCGCAGCTTCTTTCTCTCAGGCACTGCTAATGTCTAATGACAGGTAGTGCCGAAACACATGTCCAGACATACTGAGTTCTACTTCATATCTCTCTTTGTCACTGCGCAAAAGGGTCGCGCGTATGCGTTGCCCGTGCACCCCTGGACCACCATTCGCCTATCGTTCTGATTTGGAAACTCGTGCAGGAAGTCAGACGTTGGGCTAGGCTTAGATGCTTTGTTAGGTCTAGGACATTGCCACCTCGGCGAACTATATCTGGCGACTTGTATGACGAGCACGGGTCCGCCATCTGTACAGTAAAGAAGGGAAACCCATCGGCAGCCACCCAGCTCTGTGCAACAGGCAAGTCACGTCTCAGGAATGATATATCTGGGATGTGAGCACAATAGGTGGCGGCTGATACCGAGCAGATGTTTGCCTAATTCTTCCCAAATATATGATAGTCGAAGAACCTGGAGAGCAATCCCTTGAGCCCCCGTACAAGTGCCAACATACGTGACCCTCGAAGCACGAAGCCGTCTGAACCACGGCACCACGGCATCTTTCATGCTCGATTTCCATCTGCGACGAGTGATTCCAACAAGGAAAATCAAGGGACACCGCCATTCTCACCACAAGCCAATGCCCCGCAACCAGAAACATGTTGTTTTTCATTATTTTTTCTTGGTTTCGACCCTGTCCCTCCGTTGACTGTTCGTACCCAAAACTTGCTACGTTCTCAAAAGAGCACGTGCGGTGAAGCCCTTGGCACAGTCGCGGCGTGGCGATGCGCACTTCTGCCAGTCGACGATAGCGAAGGCGGCGACGGGAGCATGGAAGCAGGACGGAGGATGAGAAGAATAATCACACTTTCTTCCTCTGTGCCTCGTTTGGACTTGTCAAAGACATGGAAATAAACATGTGCATGGATGGAACAAGTCGTGGACATGGCGATCACTTCCAAGCTGAATAGCTCATTGCTGTTTCTCCCAATGTTATCACATATTCATACAAGGGGTATCTTAGTTCGTAAGTCGTGCCACCATCAATTCATCATCTCGTGTCCGTCGCATAGTATTGGACGCCATTCCAATCTGACCTGAACCTCAATCAAAGCTCATCATCTTCGCTTTCCGTTTCGACCTCAAGCTGCACCTTGGTCTCCAGGTTCATAGAGATTCTCTTCTCCATCTTGACGTGAGTATCTTCCACTTCATTTACTTGCTCTGCCACACTCTTCGGATACCCTTCCTGCGTTTCATGATCCTTGTTCCTGACACGTCCACGGAGCACATCCCTTCGATACTGGTAAAACCGATCAAGACACTCCCTTCTTTCGGCCTGCGTCCAGTTCTCGACTACCAATGCAAAAGTGACAACGTCGTCGCCATACCCTGCCCACTTTGCCATACTGCAGAATTGCCTCTTCCTGACAGCCTGAGGCGGCCGATATTTGTATTTGACTCCGCCATCAGGTGTGTCGGTTCTCTTCTCCCGCTGCCGTTCATGGAAGGTATTGTCATAAACATTCTCATACAGATCGTCGTCTTCATCGCTGTGTACCAGTTGCTGTGACGGCTCGTCCTCGAAAACCTTTGCTTTTTGCTCCTGTGTGCCCCAACGCTCTTTGCTGGCTGCGGCTTCCTCAGCACGTTTCGACAACAGCGCTTCGACCTTCGAAGAGCCGACAACCTCGCTATTCTCGTGAGTGTACGAGACGCCAACCGAAGACAGAATCGCCTGTATTGGGTCATGTTTCTTGGCTGCATTCTTGATTGATCGGAATGGCGTCCCTGAGCTGGATCGAGACGAACGACTATCGTCGCCAATTATCTCCGCAGCAAGCTGGGACAGTGCTGCATCCTCCGTGTCGGACTCTGCCCTGATTCGACGTGGGTTGTCATCCTCGTTATTTCCACCCGCTTCATAGCCGTTGTCGTCAGAATCCTCCTCGAGCTCCAGGTTTGCGACTCGAACGTCGGCTTTGGACTCGGCAATATTTGTCTTGTTCACGATATCTCGTAGTACTTGATTCTCGCCTTGGTATGCGAACAGATTCTGCAGGCCAAAGATTTCACCTTTCTGGTCCTGGCGGCCCTGGACGCCTTGGAAATATCGCCGTTCGCTTGTCGCGTTGTATCCGATATTGGCTTGTTGTTGCTTGTAGATTTGCCGAGCGTAGACTATTTCCTCCAACGTACCTTGGCTGATCAGGCGGAATACCTCTACGTCTCTGGTCTGTCCGATTCGATATGCCCTATCTTGAGCTTGTAAGTCATAGCTTGGGTTCCAGTTCGGATCGACGATAACCACTTTGTTGGCGGAGGTGATATTCAGTCCAACACCTCCGGCCCGGGTGCTGATGAGGAACACAAATTGAGAGGGATCGGTGTTGAAGTCTCTGACAGCCTTGTAACGCTCGTCGTACGCCATGCTCCCATCCAAGTATGTGACGTTGAACTGGGTGCTGATGAACAGGTTTTGTAACATCCTGAGTAAGCGAACGCTGTGAGAGAAGATGAGGACTTTGTTGTCGCCTTGGTCATGCCAAAAGTTGAGGAGTTTCTTTAGGACCCGCCACTTTCCGCAGTACTCTGGGTTGCCTGTGTGCATGATGCTGTCACGAGTCCGGTAGATTTCCCGCCACTTGTCAGGCATGCAAATCTCAAGCATGTCAAGATCCTTTGCTTGCTTGTCTTTAGGGTCAGTACCCTGAGGAATAAGGATGGCCAGATGATTTGACAAGTTTCGCAAAGCGTTGATTGCAGGAAAGACCCAACTTTGCCAAGGAGTCCCATCCTCTAGTGTCATGTGGCAGCACCAGCCCGCCTTTTTCTTTGGCACTCGGTTGCAGTCACAGAACTCAGTGGCATTCTTGACCAGCTGGCCGATGTCACTATCGAGGAAATTCTGGTAGGCTTCTGCCTGAGTGGGAGTGAGGGGACAGAAGACGACGCGGTCTGATTTTTTGGGTAGCTGATGTTTGATGAGAGCTTTCGTTCGTCGAAGAAAGAACTTGGGTAGCAAGTTCTGCACAAGCGCTTTCGCTGTCTTTCGGGCGATGGCCAGTTCATACTGCGTAGCATCGTGACTCTGACCCAATTTGAGCGGTTCGCAAATGGATTTCTTCCACGTCGCAATCGGTCCTAGCCTACCAGGATTCGTCCAGTTGAGGAGGGTCCACAGCTCCTCGTATTTGTTCTGTATCGCGGTGCCGGTCAGGCCGATGCGGCAGAGTGCGTTGATATCGTTCATGGCTATGGTGGTTGCGGATTTCGGTTCTTTAATGATGTGACATTCGTCGGCAACAACACAATCCCATTTGATCAGGTTGATCTCCTCCTTGTGAGCTCGATAGGTGTGATAGGTGGTAATCATAACTTCGAGCATCCCCGCTTCAGCTTGCAGGAGGGCATCATGCCTCTGTGTTGGACTGCCGTGATAAGTCTCAACATACCACCAGCCCCAACGCTGGAACTCATCTTTCCAGTTTTCCATGAGCGTTCCTGGGCAGATGATGAGGGTTTTGGGGTACCGCTGTCTTAACCGGGCCATTTTCCGCATCCTCTTTTTGTCACGTTCGTCGCCAGTCTTGCCATAAGCCACAGTCAAGAATGCAATGACCTGGACGGTCTTACCCAGCCCCATATCGTCACCGAGAATGCCACCTCGTTGATAGACGAAGAGCTCATGCAAGAACTTCACGCCGTCAACCTGATAGTCGCGCAAGAACTGTGCAATTGGTGCTGGAATGAGGCCCAAAGAGTGAGGGAGCTCAATATCCTTGTAGCCTCTGGTGGCGGTCGATAGCGGAAAGTCTGGTCGTTCGAGCAAATCTTCCAAGTGCTCCTCGTCAGAGAAGTAGACCTCGTCGTAATTAGGAGGCAGTTCCAGTCCACCTTCTTTGAGCTGTTTTAGGCGCGCGTCAAAATTGGCTCTTCGATCCCTCATGTACTCAGGCACGGTCCATTCCATCAGATCTTGGTCATCGTCGGTGTCTCCGTGAACTAACACCTTTCGACGCTTTCTGGCAGGTCCCTGCCTTCCGACACCCGTGGTCAATTGTGTCCTTCTGGCTTTGGAACGTGGTGCCAACTCCTCGTCAATTGTTTGGAGTATCTGTGGTGTCGCGCCTCTTTTCGCCCTGGCCCTGGGTTTTTGCTTCGTGTCTTCTGCTGACCGTTCATGATCTTCCTCCCATTCTCGCTCGAGCCGATTAAGCTCTTCATCGGCTGAGTCGTAGTGGGTCTGCGTGATTGTATGGGGGCTAGACTGAGGTTGCTTCCCTGAACTGTGACCATCCGCATCGAGTGTGATGTCAGGGCTGTCATATCGGCGCGGAGTCTCAGGATTGAGCTTTGAGATCGTGGGAACATCGACATGTGGCTTGTCCACCTTTCCAAGAGATGAATCGGCTCGAGCATGTTTTTGTCTTACGCGGGGGGCATCTAGATCATCATCGTCGCTATCGGTGAACACCATCGTCTTGGTGATTGGCGAGTGGGATGATACATACCTAGTAGCGAGAGGTAGTAACGAACCTGTTGGATAACCGCAGTCAAAAACCACAAAGAGGGGCAATTGTGGGCAGTGAAAGCGTGGCAACGCGACAATCTTCCGGTAACTCGGTGACGCGCTTTCACGTGACCATCTCGTTGTACTTCAATTTGGGAATTTCCCGCTTCCTCCAATCTCTCCAACATCTAATTAGATCAACTGTGACTTGACACCGTGACATCCCGTGCCAAGTCGCAGACGTGAGAGACACTCAAGTCGCATCCCGTCGGCAGTTGTGTCTGTATCCCACCTTACACCCGGAGAGTGGCCGTCACAGCTGCCATGGCTGAAGCTTTCGCAGTAAGCCACGACGCCCACCTTGGCCCGAGGCTTGGTGGGAGCCCATCCGGTAAAGCCATCCCTACACAGTCCTGATATAGGTCAATCATTCGCTGTGTCTTGGGATTGGCCGACTCCACTCTTTGTCGACCTCTGAGTACTCGCGGTCCGACTGTGCACGCGGCCTTGGACACCCTCGACATCGGGTCCGAACCTGTTGTTCATCCCCATCCCGGGTTCGGCAGATAGATCCTGACAAGCGAATACTTGTTAGGCCCCATGGGGAAGTCTCTACTCCAATCTCACGCTGGCACGCTGGTCAACAGACTTCCCCACTGCCGACCTTGAGTGGAAGACTCCGCATACATCTCCATGCCAGCACAATTCGGAGGCCCCACGACGACGATCGCACTGCCACGCATCAGAGGATTCATGATATCTTGAAGCTCCGTCGTCTCTGCTGCTGCGACTTCTGACCATCAAAATCCTCTGGCATCACGAGAAACTGCTAGTCAACACCATAGAGCAGCGGTACCAACCAACCAACAATGGGTTCGATCTCACACATGAAGTTGAAGCGCACCCCGCTGAAGAACTCCGGGGCGATCGACCATCTCGAATATGTCGACGTAACGCCGATTATTGGGCGCGAGTACCCGACGGCCAAACTCAAGGACATGCTGAATGCCTCCAACGCTGAGGCTCAGCTTCGCGACCTCGCCATCACCATCTGCGAGCGTGGCGTTGTCTTCTTCCGTGCGCCTCAGGATGACCTGACTGTTGAGGAGCAGAAGAAAATCACCGATCTACTAGGGAAGTTGACGGGCAGACCGGAAGATCATGGACTGCACGTCCACCCGCTGTACAATGACCCCAACAACATTCCCATGGCGGACGGCACGACAGATGAGAACATGTCAGTCACCCCTGGGAAGCGCAAACTACAGTGCTGACGTACAGGAAGCTATGTGATCAACTCAGAAGCCATGAAGAAACTATATGCAACCATGAAGAACCGACCCAACAGCTCGACCGAGCCAAAAGACCTGAGCCGAGAGTGGCACAGTGACTGTCTGTTCGAAGAATGCCCCGCCGATTTCAGCTTCTTGCGCATGCAAGATACACCTCCGAGTGGCGGAGACACTCTCTGGGTCTCTGGTTATGAGCTGTAGGTTGCGTCAACTCGTGCTCGCCGTGCGGTTGTTAACATGCTTTCTTTCTTCCAGCTACGATCGCCTCTCCCCCCCGATGCAAGCCTTCCTCGAGTCCTTGACGGCAACCTGTGCTCAACCAGTGTTCGAGTCTGCGACCAAAGCCGGTGGTTACGAAATCACCTCGCCCCGCGGCTCGCCATTGAATCATGGCATGAATTTCTCCCCTGTGCACCCGGTCATCCGTACTCACCCAGTGACTGGCTGGAAGTCCCTTTTCGCCGGTGTTGGGCTGCACGTCTCTCGGATCAATGATGTCTATGCCTATGAAGATCAGATGATCCGGGATTACGTTCTCAGGTTGATCACGAGGAACCACGACTGTGTAGCAAGAATGCACTGGACAAAGCAGGCTTGTGCCATTTGGAGCAACGCGTGCACACTGCATGCCGCGACAGTATGTCCCCACGTCCGCTCACTCGCTGCGTTGATCCCTATAATCTCAATCCATGATCTTCCAGAACACTGCTAACCGATTCTTCCAATCTAGCCCGACACACACCTTGTGGATGGAAACAGAACTGGCGTGCGCGCCTCGGGTATAGGCGAAAGGCCATATCTCGATCCTGCGTCCACGGGAAGAAGAGAAGGCCTTGGTCTGCCCCGGTCCTAGCTTGCCACACGATTGTGCTTCGATCATGCTATCGGCTGCGAACGTTCCAGCTCGGCAGCGTCCGCATCCACAACACGAGTCATCAAAAGGATCTGCAAGCCATGACCCGGTTGACGGCCCAGGAATGGATGTAGTTGTAGGCTACCGATATAGCTGAACAGGAGGCTTAGTTTCATGGAGTGTATAGACTGATATCATCAATATATTAAGCAAATCCCGCCCGTTTCTTTCTAATATCCGCCTTTCCAGAAGTGTGTATCTGTCGTCCCTGCTCCTTTTAGCCATGAGGTTCGTGTATCACCGCCACCGCCACCGGTCCCAACGCGGCAGCCACATCTCTTATCGCTTGGACGCCTCACGACCACGGAGGGTTTCGTCACTTGGCTTCCCGCCACGATTTCTTGAGCATACCAGTCATGCGGCTCTGCTGTGCGACTCCCACCTCATTACGCCGCGACACCAGACGATTCTTTGCCTGTATTCGTCACTCTCAACATGAGCTCTCAGTCAGCTCTTTCAAAGCGATGAGAATTGGCAACATTCCGGCCCCTCTCGCCATCTAACGTCATCTTATGCCCAGCTCGCTTTACCCTTACTTGACACGACGTTCACTCGGAATTCATCGAGAGAGTTCTGGACTTGGACTGCGACGTATACCCTTTCCACTCGGGTTCGCCTATGTACCGGGGTACCCAGTACCAATATCAAGCCCAAGAGTGCTTGAGCCGATTCTAAGTTTGATTGGCACAACGCTGCAAGCTTGGCGCCGAGGCGCAAGGAGATTTCATTCTCTGGTGACGAGCCACTTCTTGTCTCTTCCCTCTGGCTTTGATCTCTGTGCAGGAAGCATGGATGCCACCACACCGGTCCAGTCATTTAGTTTCCGATGTGCTAACGCTCAATTGTTCTCGCTACAGTTTTCTGTGTTTCATGTGCCTCCCTGTTTAACCGCCGAGTGCCCCTTATAGCACCATGTGGCTGGTTTCAGGCTTCCCGTCGACGCAGCATGTGTCGCTGCTGCCACGCTTGTTATGCAGATCTCCACTGTTTCGTCTTTCTGCCATGCTTGCGAGACGTTTCCGCCTCAGTTTATGGTATAGGTCGCTCTAAGTTGGGGAGAGGAGGATCCACTTCTTTAGATGCCGTTCGTATGATTGGAAACCCGGTTCGAACGGTCAAGTCTTGACATTTCGCAGTTGCGGACCTCGGCGATCTCGTTCATTCTCAACCTCTCTCCTTCACGTTGATGCCTTTGGGCGCATGAGCTGGGATGGCTTCATTACCATCAACTAATGCTCGGTCCTCCTACAGCGACAAACAGGTTGTGTCGAGCGTGGACCATGGCAAAGAAGTTGTCGCAACTGCCCAGCCTTATCCCGACGCATACGCGTATGCTAATCCCAACAATACCAACAACGATGGTTCGACAGGCGGCGAGGGAGACGGCGGTCTTGAGGTCGTCCACCCTTTATTTGCGAGCGATAAGGCGACGCCAGCATGGTCCGAACAGAATCCAAAACGGAGGATATGTGGGCTCAGCAGAAAGAATTTCATAATTGTGATCGCAGTTGCGACGGCCTTGGCTGTGGCTGCCATCATCGGAGGCAGCGTGGGAGGCGTACTTGCCAGTAGAAATAGCTCGGGAGGCTCTCAGGCTGATGCTGTGGAGGTGAGATGGATTTGTTCCCTCCTCACTCGCACTGACGGTGTACTGATATCTCCTGCCTTGAAGTCGAGCAGCATGTCTGCAGCCATCACGCAGACCACCGCAACATCAACCAGCACAACACCGACTACAGCGAGCACGACCGAGTCAGTGACCGCCACAACCGTCTCATCCTCGTCGGTACCCACGAGCGCGACCTCCACCTCCACCTCCTCTGCCGCGACACCCACCTCCTCCGAAGGAAGCTACAACTGCCCCTCAGACAACAACAAATCTTACGTCTCGTCTCTGCTCAGCACAGCAACCTGGACTATCCTCTGCGACACGGATTGGCCGCTGGGCGTCGACAGCTTCAGCGGAGGAACCGTAGCCGACATCACTGCCGTGGTGGCGTACAGTATTGAATCTTGCATCGACCAATGTGCTGCATACAACGTTGCCGGTGGGCCTTGTGAGGCGGTCGTTTACGGCGCCAATATTACCCTCGCGCTCAGTCGGGGCGGGGTCCAGGGCAATTGCTTTTTAAAGACGGATCGCGGAGCAGAGAATTTTTCTGATAATAGTGGTCAGGTAGAGGCTGCGTATCTATCCTCGTAAAACAGTCGTGGTCGAAAGGCGGTCAACTCAATTTGCATACCACGCCAGGAGTGCCTAAGTGCTTGGACTGGATTGGCGTAGGCACCCCGTCACAGAAGGAAATACTGTTCCTGCCATGCAGGGACAGAGCACGACCGATCCGATGCCAAAAACGGGAATCGACAGCAGCATTGAATTAATCGTGTCCATCGGATCGTGATGTTCTGCGAAGCATGTTGTCGGCGAGGACCCCCTTTGCGCGCGCTCGAATTGGCTCATCGTCACGCGCTGGAACCCGGAGCAAAGATAATGAATGTCCTTGCCCAGCCTGACGAAGCCAAGCATGATGGCCTGCGTCGCCGGATGGCATTGGAGTATTCTGGCAAGGATGACTTGTCGCTTGTATTCTGGCAAGGATGACTTGTCGCTTGCAAGGGATACCGAAGACTGCATCCTGGAATTAGTCAACTTGGTAGATACAGTATGAAGTAGGTGAGAGGCGCAGGACACAACGTCCCGAAAGACTTGGACTTGGCACGGAAGATCAAGTTCTTTACCCATCCACCGACATCATGAGCGGGCTGTCCTGCGATGAACAGTGCCATGACTTGCAGGATGATAACGACACAGTGGGCTAGATCCACGAGATGAAGGGGTTCCGAATATCTTCTTGACGTGCACGATACCTGTGACTATCGAGTCCCTTACATAACTTTGGCTTTTGCGACTGTTCTAGCTGTCTGCAAAGAGCTCCCTTCGCCCGGGCAAGGTTTTGGCCAATACGAGAGACCGAGTTCTGAACCGGTTTGGCACAGGCGGGAGACCGACTGGTGGCATTGATGACAGGCTGGGGAATTTGATTCGGCAATGGTTTGTCGGCGCTAGAGTCGAGAGCGTCATGCTGTGGTGAGCCACCCTGTCGCGGTATCCTGCGGTTAGCTCGGGGACTGATTCTGTTCGTGGCCCAGCTGGATCTGACGCGCCTAAGACTAGAATGCGACTGTCAACGAGCTGCATAACCCCGAGGCCCGTCGTGTAAAAGAACCCGATGGCTGAGGTGAATGCCGGCGGAGGAAGCAGGAAAGATTCCATCTATCGGTCAGGTCATATCGGACGCACAAGCAAGGGAACTGCCGTAACTATCTGCAACCAGTTATCAAAGAGGGGGGTTCATTCTGTCAAGTACGAAGGCCGTGTTGTGGACTAAGAACAATGCAGAGTCTGCGTTGGTCTCGTCCTATCGCTGAGATGTCGCCAAAAAGGCGAACCCTTTGGAGCGTGTACATACCGATGATGCTGGAAAGCTGGCAGAACACACTGATGCCACCCTGTTCAGCCACCATTGGATCGCCTTCCCGCGGAGCGCTGGCTTTTGACTATGGACGGTGGCGATGCGCAACTTTCCAAAGGGTCAAAGGCCATGGAGCAAAACAACGGTGTCAGCTTCGGAGACGGATGTTGATGTTCAGGCAGCAATGCCGCCTGACTGGAATGAATAAAGGGTTTGTGGGGTTATTGAGGAGACCTGAGTCCCACAGTACGTTGAAGGATTCTCTACACGTGTGGGTTTCCAATTGTCCTGGTGTCCACTCGCAGGAACATATGTACGCATAGGTAGAGGTCAGGAGACGGACGAAGGATTGAATGAATGATTGACCTGTGATGTGGCTTGTTGAGATGAGGATTGTTGGGCCTTGCATCTTCCTCCAGGCGGCCGCACAGAGCGGTCGCTATTTGACGAGTGGCTTTCGGGTGCGTAGTAGCGTCTCGATATCTCAACCCAGGCGAATTCATGTGGAGCTAAGTAAAGCCGACGGATCGGAGTGTCGTGTGACTGGTTGCTTAGGTCTTACTCACAGGGGTAATATTCACCCATACTGGGGGAATGCTCGGGGTGGTGGGGTGAGTGGGTGATGACTAACTGGTGCGGCGGAAGTTTCTATAGTGCAGCTTCTTAGCGTCTTGGCGGATCAGCATCTCTTGACTGTCCAATTTGTTTCACTTTACACGCCCTTCACTTGACCTTCACTCAGCACCAAATAGCACTCGCTGATGTGTCAAGCCTGACTTGGTCCTGGTCGCCAAAGCTTCGCCAGAGCCGCGTTCTCTTTTGACATTGGAGCGCGACAGTGGGTTCATCCTTCCGTCATGACTCGGCCTTGAAGCTATGCTGGACCTTCGTGGAGAATTTGAAGTACAGCTTCTGGTGAGGTCTTCAGCTACCCAGAGATCACCATGCTCTACGGGCTCTACAGGTCCTCCATGTTGCTCCCCCGCCCGCTTGGGGTGTGGTGGATCGATCAGAGACATTGGAGGCAGATCCATGGCACCAACCTCGTTGGCACTTCATTCACACGTTGTATTTTCTTACAATTCTTTACAAGGATTCTTTCGCCCCTGGTCCGCCCCCGTAAGGCCCGATCCATTCCAGACCGGAGCCATGACCGCAATCCCCCGCTAGCGATCGAGGAGCAGCCCCTACCGTAGGGCTTACCACTAAAGCCACAACAGATGCCAGTATAGGTAGGCGCACGATATGGGATAAATACCCAAATCTGCTCCAGATGGTCGGACGCGTCTACTCAGCTTCAAACCCTCTCATTCTATTCTGTCAAGTCTCTCTCGGAATTGTCGACTCTTTGTTACCTGCAAAGTCGACACCATGGCTACCCAGCAAGCAGTGACGAAAGAAGTCGCTGTGGATGAGGTCGAGCGCGGAACCTCGACCAAGCTATCTAGTGATGGCTCTGACGATCTCAACGACCCTCGCCTCACCCAGTTCACCCCCGAGGAACAAAAGAGGATCATCCGTCGGGTCGACAGACGCCTGGTCCTGACCCTGGGCTTCTTGTACACCGTCTCATTGATGGACCGTACGAATCTCGGGAACGCAATTGTCGCTGGTATGGGCGTCGACGTGAGTTTCTTGCGTTCATGCAAGACGATGCCGCTTCTGATGGAGCCATCACCATCGCTTTGTCGACTCCAATGCCAAATATATGCTAACCGAGATGTGCAGCTACAACTCGTCGACAGCCGGTACTCGATTATTGTTGTTGTCTTCTTCCTCACCTATGTCCTACTGCAACCGCCTTCAACTGTTGTGATCCGAAAGATCGGACCTAGAATCTTTTTGCCGACCATTACACTACTGTGGGGCTTGACCCTGCTGGTCTTCGGCTTCGTCAGAGAATGGACTGACATGGTCGCTCTCCGGCTGATCTTGGGTCTCTTCGAAGCTGGTTTCTTCCCAGGTAAAGATTCCGTATCGTCTCCGTTACTTCTACATTGCTGACATAGTGGCTCTTGTGTTCAGGCTGCGCCTATCTCCTCAGCTGCTGGTATCCGCGTTACGACCTCCAGAAGCGGTATGCTGTGTTCTACCTTCTTGGCTCTTGTGCCTCTGCTTTCGCCGGAATTCTCGCCTATGGTTGCTCTGAGCTCAAAAACCGCGGTAGCGGCCCGGATTGGTGGGGTCAACACTACGGTCCAACGGCAGCAAACCCAGATGCCCCTTCTGGTATCCTCTCTGGAATAGCCGGATGGAGATATATCTTCTGGATCGAGGGCGCAATCACTGTTGTCCTGGCCTTAGGATCTTACATCACCATTGTCGACTTTCCCGAGCTTTCCGCCACCACCTCCTTTGGTCTCAAGTTCCTGAATCAGCAAGAAGCTGATTTTATGGTGGCGCGCATCGAACATGACCGACGGGACGTTACACCTGAAGAGTTTCACTTAGGAGCATACCTGCGAAACGCTCTTGACCTGAAGGTCTGGGGATTCGCTGTCCTTTATATGTTGTCGACGACATGTGCCTATGCCATTGCGTATTTCCTTCCCATCATTCTCAACGGCGACATGGGATTCAGCGTCGCGGCAGCTCAATGCCTCACCGCACCCCCGTACGTCCTCGCCGCCATTGTCATGTACACAGTCGCTTGGGCCGGAGATAAATATCACGTCCGCGGTCCCTTGATGTTGCTGAATACCGCCATCCTTCTTATCGGTGAGTTTGGGCGGTCCTACAGGCCCTGTATCATCCATGCTAATTAGGGTATTCCAGGCCTCCCACTGCTAGGATACGCCAAGAATGTTGGGGCGCGGTATTTCGGCGTCTTCCTCGCCACGACCGGCTGCAACGCCAATATCCCCTGCATCATGGCATGGCAGGCCAACAACATTCGAGGCCAGTGGAAGCGCGCTCTCTGCTCAGCAACGCTAGTGGGCTTCGGTGGCATAGGCGGCATCATTGGCAGTACAGGTACGTAAAGACTTCCCTGCGTGGTTATGTAACCCGGCCCCGTACCAGGGTCCACCCAGCCTTCATGTCGTCTAGACTTTCGAATCCACCGAGTTCTGGATGCTAACGAGAGGGCAGTCTTCCGGCAGCAAGACTCCCCTGCATACAGGCCGGGGATGCTGACTTGCATTATCGCCGCGGCGCTGACCGCCGTGATCACCTTGGCCTTGGAGTTCAAGTTCTACCGGGCAAACCGACGGGTCGACGCCGGGGGGAAGTGTATTGAAAACTTAGAAGGTTTCAAATATACCTTGTGATTGAGAGGTACACGGCCCAGCTGTAGAGCCTGTCTCATGGCGGTTGGCAGCGACATTCCCACGTACTTACCTCTTAGTATAATACTGAACCCACACATAGAGATAGAGATACCAATAATGCACACCACGACCTCAGAGTCATGTACTTTGTCCCACTGGACAAGGGTCCTATTCGAAATGGCCTCCTCACGCACCACTCGAGCGCATTCGGAATTTTTGAGCAAGTATTCTTACAAAATGTTACTCCAACGATCATACACCACATCCAACAGATCGACAATTTCCTGCGAGAAATGAAGCAAGCCGCCCCAAAGATGAAGCTGAAGGTGCCCGAGATCGCCCACGCGGTCTCGGACCCGGAGATTGCAGGCTCCGGCCTCGTCACATCATCCAACCATTACACGAAGTCGTCGGTCTTTGTCAGGAGAACGAGCGTCAGTAGGAGAATCCGTCGCGGGGCTCGTGCCCGACGATCGACCGGAACAGCATCGTGAACTTGTACCCCAGCTGAACTTTTTGACGGATCGTCGGGCAGGGAGGCCAGAATGTAAATGTCGGACTTGTCGCGGCACTCCATGCGTAATCGTGGTCGTGGGTCGTTGGTGGGTAGGTCAGCTGGGCTTGACTTCACCACTTACTGTAAATGTCGATACGCGGCGAGACGTGATATACTACTGTAATTACTTGCAGTATAATACCAGCTTGAGCGCAATGTTAAGGGAGTATGACTCCGAAGGTGGTATAGAAGTGGGCTGGGCCCTGGTGTGTACCTCTACATTCATCCTCAAAGTAGTAATGTCTCCTGCATTGTTACATTGTTGCATTGCTCTCGAGCACACCAAATGCGTCAATGTCCCTATTTATTTCCCTTCTGAGAACTCGCCTGTCATCACGTGACTTTATTGCCTCTTGTTCAGAGGACATGATGAATCCGAAGGGGGTCTGGGGGTAGACCTGAATATATAGTTACAGAGGCCTACGTGAACAATACAGCACTTCACACAGGGGGGTTATAGTCCATAACACACCCCTTGACGCTATCTAGCCACCTATCGGGTAACCTTCCCAGTCACAGCCTTGCCAGCGAGGCTGTTCACCCCTGTTTTCCCAAGATCGGTTTCGCAACGTCTTGGAACAATAGAACGGATTGAAGCTGAGGGAGAGGACAGAGCGATCGGGGATACAAGCCCCAGCCATTTCTGCGTCAACACAAGCCCCAAGAGTCTTTCGATCCGCCGGCTTTACTTTGATTCCTAAGCAGTAGTCGCATCTGGAACAGGCTCAACGGAGGTGAGGAGAGCGCAAGCCAAGGCCGTGTTGCTCGCAAGACTGCTTGATCTACATAAAATCCTCGTCGATGAAGTAATTGGCTTTCAAGATCTGCTCGTCGGGGTTCGCGTCAGGAGCAGGCTCGACGGTGTAGAGGTAGGTCTCGGAGTCGAGGAGACCGCAGGCAGCGCTGTAAGTATTGCAGCTCACGCATGAAATGTTCCATAATCTCGTCGCGCTTGATCTTCGTCGTCGAGGGTGCATCCGTGCCTTCCGGAGTGGGCTCGCCAACGGACTGGAGTTGAGGTATGTGCCGTAGGTGAGGAGGCCGCACGCATGGCTGTAATTGCTGCACATTCGCTCTCAGTTAATTTCTGTGACCCGTTAGTAAAAAGAAGGGAAGGGGGAAGGGGAAAGAGAAGGGGCGCAAGATTCAGAGTGTTGATGGGAGTCGACAACCTACTCCTTGGCTGATGCAGCTAAAGTGGTGGCGGTGAGGCCGAGGAGAATGGCGTGCCGGAAGAGCATCTCGACAGCTTTCTACACGGCTCTTGTCATGCACGGACTGTGGTTGGTTTTGGATGAACTCAGGTGAGAGAAAAAGCGGGAGAGACAGATGGGCAAGAGGAATGCTTTTGTTGTTTGCCTGCCGTTACTCCTGTCGGGGGGAATACTCTCGACCGCTAGGTGATGGTCACTGGGTCTTTTATACTCTTTCTTCTGGCTCCCTGGTGTTGATATCCCGCACACTTCTTCTCTTGCCACCTTGCTCGTTGATAATTCCCACATCTCTTTCAGACGGTGTCTTTCCACCGATAGCTCTCCGATGCTCGTCAATACGAGGGCAGAATCTTCTACATCTTCTCACCCTGCTTGGACTTGTCAGTAAGGCGGAGCCTCCAAGTTCTGAAATCTGTTTTCATTGTACTCTTGTCGCTCGCTATCGTCCCACCTCCTCATCGAGTTCTGCTTTACGAGTGAAAGATGGAGTGACGCGCCTCGTATGTAGAAGCTCTTGAAGCTCTTTTTGGTTCCCACGATGGTGTTACAATGGTACAAACCTGACGACCACCGAGGAGGCATACTGGTCATCACAAATACCCGCTCCGACCAACCCATCATGCTTACTCTGTTACTTTGCTTGCCACGTTTTGCACCAAGTGCCGTTTGACAAACACCAATTTTTCCTCCTCCCCGCGATACCGCCAGCGACAAACTAAGCAAAAGCATCTTCCCGGTCCGCCCAGATATCCTCCAGCTCATTAAAACTGCTAAAGTGAACCGGCCGATGCAAATCATCATAGAACCTCTTCGGCGTGTCGATCTTCACATAGACAGGTCTCTTCTCTACAGTCGAGAACTGTGCGCCCATAAAACTATAATTCCACACGTCCGTCTCGGGTACCAGGAAGTAGCCGCGGATCTTGTCCGAGAGCAGCAGTTGTGTTTTGACGCCAAATGAAGTAGAGAATCCAGAGGGATTGTCGGATTGAGTGTCCTTGTTTTGGGCGCCCCAGGTGTAACCCTGTGGAGTGAGAGACCACGAACTGAGGGACACGGAGCCGGGTGTGAAGTTGACGGTCAAGGTGATTGTCTTTTTGTCCCATGTCGAATGCTGAGCCATCAGACGAGAGTGCATGGTCACATCAGAGGCCGGCATGTAAGATGTCTCATTTCCTGACGCCGTGTGGATTATGCCCAAAGGTTCCATGTTCTTCAGATATTCGTGCTGAGGAAGTTGCTGTGGTAGTTGTACTTCACGTGTAGAGCCGACTTGAGGCACCAGCACGATTGTGCGAATCTCTTTGACTTGGTCGTTGTCCGGCGGAGACGAGCCGTAGAGGTACCCAGCCACTTGAACACGTAAATCGGCGATGGTGATGAATTTCTTGAGGATGTTTTTGGGCAGGATGTAAGTGAACGATTCCTCGGCCTCCTGAACATCGTCACCGGAAATGTAAATGTTGTTCGCACGAGTTCGGAGATTCGAGGTGGCAATGGCTCGAGTTCGCCATTCGGTCTTCGACGCAAAGGATTGCTGCTCGTATTGAGACGTGGTGGTAACAATGATCTCTTCACCTCGGACGTTCTGCGTCTTGGTGGTCACAGCAGTCAACTGTTGCTGTTCCAATTGCTGCTTCTCGATCTCGGCAGCTTGTTGTCGTTGCATGGATGGCGCCGAAATCTCCATACCTAAGATGATATCACGCACTTCGCTGCTGGTCAGAGACTGGACATTGACATTGTTCTTCTTGCCGTAGTCGTTGAGGATCAGATCTCTCAGCTGAACTTCTACCTTGATCCAGTCTTCATCCGACAGCGTGGGCCAGATATGATGTGCCTGAGTAATGACGGTCTTGTCAGGTCGCAGAAGCAGCTTCGTTTTATCCGTGTTGACGTGCAGTGCGCGCAGGATCAGGATCAACCTTGAGAAGGCCGTGTACGAGGAAATCGTTTTCAGCCACTCGTCATATAAGTTGAAGAGCACCATCTGTGGCTCCTTGGCTTGTAGGATCATGTCGGCCAACTTCTCGACCTTCATTGCAGCCTGGAAGGGCAACTGGAGTTCGGAAGCGCGGATGGAAATGTTGGGGAAATCCAGCAGGTGAACCTCCAGCGGATCGAGGAGACCTTTCCGTGTCACAATCAGCTGCTTGGGCTGTTCTTCGACCGGCAGGGATCTGATGAGCGCTGCTACTTCCTCGGCAGTCTTCCACTTGGCCAGCTGTCCAAGACGCTTTTGACCAGCCCAGACGCTGGTGTGAATGATCTTCAAGAACAGCTGGCCAGTTTTCGGGTTAAATATAAAAATTGCACCCTGCGAGGATTTGTTAGCTTGAATACTAGCGCTTCATAAAAACCACATCCTTGACAACTAAACACTCTCTCAGCGGAAGGGGCGACTTACGTTGATCGGTTTCGTTGTCAGATTCCCCTCGAAAGTCTTGTGGATAGTCACCTACAGACATGTTAGTACGCATATTGGTGGACTAGAGCTCTGGGAGAGCAGCCTGGAAGTGCATCAACCAAGAGACTGTTCGACTCACCCTGTATACATTGGTATCGTCAATAAACAACTGGGTCTGGTTGCTGAACAACTCCGAATAGTTCTGAGAATTCAGGAACTCTTGTGTACTCTCAGAAGCATAGAGCTGAAGACCTTTCCTGATGCGTTCGCGCAGCACATAGAGAGCAGGGTTGGCCTTCATGATCTTTGCCATGGCCTGCTGTATCAGAGCCTTCAGACCAGGGAAGTATTGCCCATAGGCGGAATAGAGGTTGTATGCCAAATCAATGCCGATCATCAACCCCGTCGCCGAGGGATAAATACTCATGCTGTCGGTCGTGTAATCGAGGTACTTGGCTCGGACGTATCGTTCGATGTCGTGGGAGTCGTAGTCACCGTAGCGCAGCTGGACGTCGACCCAGAACTTGTTCGTGGTGTTTGCTTCAATCTGATCCTTGGTGTCGAACAGCAGAGATGGTCGTGTGACGTTCCACTTATGACTGGCAAACAGCAGGATATCCGCGCAAGAGCTGTTCATCTTGTATGACTTCCGGGGATGAATGGTCTCTTTTTGGACAGTCTCTATACCCAGCTGTTCGAGTTCTTGATCGAAGACCTGGCACAGATCCATGACGACGCTCTCGTGAATTTTCTGCCACAAATGGGCTCTGAAAATCTGGATCAAAGAAATCTTCAAGGTTGGAATCTTGCCATGCAAGAAAATACCAGTCAAATCGAGCTGGACCTGGAAACCAACGTAGACATTTGCACCTGCGGGTGTCCATTAGCACTTGTCCATCGAGATTGATAGGCAACCGTCGACTTCAAACCGAGACAATGTTGAGGGAAGGACAGTACTTACGGTTGATTGTTGGCGACCACCACAGAGTGAACCGTCGATTCGGAATCTGATTGAGACCAGAGCGCTGCGCGTTGGTAAGCTTCTTGAACTTCATCGATTCTGAGCAGATGGTTAGCTTGTCATTCCACAGATGCTGGGTACCTTTGAAGCAATGATATCTTACCTTCGAAGCCACTGGCGCGCTCCCAGAAGAGACCTTCCCATGAAGGGAACGCCGTAGCTTTGAACAAGGTATGCTCCAGGATGGTCTCGACGCCGCCCAGCGCCTGGATGACATCCGTCCTATACGCATTCAAGTTCCACAATTTCCCATCATGCCGCTGACTCGTCCACCAGAAGGGGTTGCTCTTCATCAG